CAGAGCTTATATATATATATACATATGTAGTAGGTTTCTGGATGTAATGTTTTAACAACTTACGATGATCCAGCTGGCAAACCAGGCTTACAAGGTTTTTTTTTGGAAGCATTTTTTCTGAAAATCACCCTTTCTATTAAAAATATGGTTATGTCGCCTTAATTAGCATTAGTTAAAACTGCAGTATTTCAAATTTCATTAATTTATAATGCAAAATAATTAAATGTAAAAGTGCAAGACGGTCCTGTCTAAAAATATGAAAGTGACATAAGGAAACTCTATTATTCACTTGTTATAAACAGCAATGTCAATAATTCATCAATTCTTCTTTAGCTGTTTCTATTGCCTCTATTGGAATAGGAATTCAATAAATTTTACATTTTAAGCCTGCTTAAAAATTTTTCGTTCTTTACGAATTAATTCACATTTGAGATACTATGATATACATATATAGGCCAGTCATTATAGCTTTTTTCGGGAAAAAAATACTATTAGAAGTTTCTCTGCAGAATATTGTTCAGAAACGTGTTATAAACAAAATATCAAAAAATCAACTCGAGACTAGTTGGGAAACTTTGTTAAAACAATGGTCAAAATTATGGAAAAGTGGTTTTTTGACTCGCGTAAAAAAACTGTTATTCATAGAGAAAAAAGTTTTATACAAAAAAGGTAGGTATTAAATAAATCTGTAAAATAAGATAATTCCGATTAAATTCCGATAATTTGTTTATGCGCAAGAGCTCAAAAATGGTCGAAATTGTCCGCTTTTTTCAATTGCTAATAATTCATGCAATTTTCATCGCAAACACTTGTAATTCAGGATTTTTGAGGCTTTTTGCACCCCTAATAAGTAGTAAAAATTTCAGCACAAAAGCTTCATTAGCTTGGCGTTGGCGGAATTTGTTATCTAAGAAGATGCTATTTTCAATTCATTTTTCTCAAGCTCACAAGCGTTGTATATGTCAATACAACTATTTAGGTACAAAAACAACTAATGATCGAAACCGTACAACTCCTGTGAGCTTGGGAAAAATGAATTGAAAATAGCATCTTCTTAGATAACGAATTCCGCCAACGCCAAGCTAATGAAGCTTTTGTGCTGAAATTTTTACTACTTATTAGGGGTGCAAAAAGCCTCAAAAATCCTGAATTACAAGTGTCTGCGATGAAAATTGCATTAATTATTAGCAATTGAAAAAAACGGCAATTTTCGACCATTTTTGAGCTCTTGTGCATACACAAATTATCGGAATTTAATCGGACTTTTATCATTTTATAGGCTTATTTAATACTTACCTTTTTTGTATAAACTTTTTTTCGCTATGAATAATAGTTTTTTTACATGAGTCAAAAAACCACTTTTCCATAACTTTGACCACTGTTAAAACAAAGTTTCCCAACTAGCGTTGAGTTGATTTTTTGATATTTTATTTATAACAGGTTTCCGAACAATATTCCGCAGAGAAACTTCTAATAGTATATTTTTCCCGAAACAGGCTCTTTCATGTCTATAATGACTGGGCTAATAGTGATTTTTCGAAGTATCGCTTACAAAAAACAATTGCAGAACACCAACTGAATTGTCTTAATTGCTTTAACAAATACCTATAGAAGGCACTACATAGAAAAAAGATAATTTGAATTGTAAACCTACAAATGTTCTAAAAGTTTGTAAACTATAAAAAAACATCTGACGATATCTATCAGTTGTGAAATTTAAATATTTTGCATATACATATGTGCTATGCTTTTCAAGATCTCAGTATAGGCACATACTTCTATCATACATAGAAGTATGTGAGTATAGGCTACCACTGTTATAATATTTCCTATATAACTCTTGTTCAAAATTTTTTCGTCATGAGAGGTCTCCAGCATAGAAATACTTCCAAAATATTATGAGTCCCATGTTTCATTTTCAAAATATGTCAATTTCAATTTTCTGCGACTGCCACTAACTTTTTGGAACACTGCAATAAAAAATATAATTTAAAATTTAAAAATAGTAAATAAACAACAATCAAATAATACGAGAGAAACTGTATTATTATTAAAACATATTACGTTAGTAGATATTGAAAATAAAATAAAGGAGCACTTCATTTTTCTTGCATGCTTTTTAGCTTCTGCTGTAAATAACTGCTTCCTTTGCAAAGGGGATAAAAAGGTAAGGATAATCCCCCAACGATAACGAGCTTCTACATCAACGCCGTTCCCCAACCCCCCATACCACGCTAATACCCCTCACAACGCCTTTTGCTACAAAAAAACCAATTGCTAAATACTCCCCCCCCCCAACAAATAACAGAGCTTTATAAAACAAAATGCGGAAAAGGTTCACGAGCGTAATATACACTGCCCCTCCCTCCCTGATGCGCTTACAATATTATAAAACTTAATCAAATGCTTCCACAAGCAAAGCAGTTAATAAAGGTTCGAGATATAAAATTACATGGTGGTGAATAATCCTAACGTTGTGCTTTTTGCGATATCCCAATGGAGGTTTAATCAAAACAAAACTAGCAAATGACGTCTCCCCAAGCTATTAATGAAAGGCAAACTGTCAATAACAACCATTTAATTGTATATTACAATTTTTTTACGTTATAGAAAAAGTCCAACCCCCAGAACAAATTAATCCCTGCGTGCCTTCCCCTTGCGGAACAAATGCAATTTGTAAGGAGCGAAATGGAGCTGGTTCTTGCTTATGTTTACCCGAATATGTTGGAAACCCCTATGAATCTTGCAGGCCTGAATGTGTTCACAACTCAGACTGTTCTTCCAACAGAGCGTGTATTAGAAATAAGTGTGTGGACCCATGTCCGGGAACATGTGGCACAGATGCTGATTGCCAAGTCATAAACCACTCCCCCTCATGCAATTGCAGACCAGGATACACCGGGGATCCATTTAGATTTTGCGCCATAATCCCCCCAGAGCGTAAGGACATTGTTTACGAAATAAAAATTCTTGTTCTTAATACAATTTCTCCCCTGCACAGCTGTTTCCGATGTTACGCCGACCATCCCTTGCCAGCCAACACCTTGTGGACCAAATAGTCAGTGTCGTGAAGTTAACGAGCAAGCTGTTTGTTCTTGTTTACCAAACTATATAGGTAGTCCACCTGGTTGTAGACCTGAATGTGTAGTAAGTTCAGAATGTCCATCAAACAGAGCTTGTATTAACCAAAGGTGCTCTGACCCTTGCCCTGGGACGTGCGGTCTCAGTGCTAAATGTCAAGTCATAAACCACAGCCCAATCTGTAGTTGCATAAACAGTTACAGCGGAGATCCCTTTACGAGATGTTACCCCATACCACGTAAGACCCCTGTTGATTACATTTTTACATCTAAATTATATCCACACTTTTTAGCACCTGCACCTGAACCTGAACCTATAAGAAACCCTTGTTTACCTTCGCCTTGCGGGCCCAATTCTCAGTGCAGAGATATCGGCGGATCACCCTCTTGCTCTTGTTTGCCTCAGTTTATTGGTAACCCTCCTAACTGCCACCCAGAATGCGTAATGAACTCTGAATGTCCAAGTAACTTAGCTTGCATTCGAGAAAAATGTGTAGATCCTTGTCCGGGATCTTGCGGAACTAATGCTCAATGTACCGTATTAAACCATAATTCTATTTGTACTTGCACAGAAGGTTTTACTGGTGATCCATTTACAAATTGTTATCTCAAACCTACGGAAATCGAACCACAGGTGGTGAAAGACCCGTGCAACCCTTCACCTTGCGGTGCAAATGCTCAATGTGACGACGGCATATGTACATGTTTCCCCGAATATCAAGGAGACCCATACAGGGGTTGCAGGCCTGAATGTGTACTTAACAGTGATTGTCCTAGAGACAGGGCTTGTGTCAGAAACAAATGCATTGATCTTTGTCCAGGAACTTGTGCATCAACGGCTATCTGTCAGGTTATCAACCACATACCCATGTGCAGTTGCCCAGCCGGTTATACCGGAAACGCATTTGTAGACTGCAGAGCAGTAGAAAGTAGGTTTTTAACATTCATTGTCAGTTTCATACTAAGTGTAAGTGTATTTTAGTACCACCTAAACGAAACCCATGTAATCCATCCCCGTGCGGACCAAACAGTCAATGTAGAGAGATTAACGGACAGGCTGTTTGTTCATGTGTACCTGGTTTTATTGGTAGCCCACCTACTTGCCGACCTGAATGTCTCACTAGCTCAGAATGTTCTCTCACTCAAGCATGTGTTAATCAAAAATGCATCGACCCTTGCCCTGGTACTTGTGGAATTAATACTCAGTGCCAAGTCATCAATCACAATCCGATTTGCAGTTGTATTGCGAACTATATTGGCGACCCATTCACAAGATGTCTTCCAAAACGTAAGAATTACATGTTATTTGATTTATAGAGCAATAGATGTAAAAAATGTGTAGTAATTGAAAATAGAAGTTTGATATTCAGATGCCATTTATAAAACATTTCCTTAAAAGAAACAAACTAAAATTTTGATATAACAAAAATTAATTTATATTTTACAAATTCTTTATTAATAGCGAACTCTAAATTCTTTTAGCTGCAGAGGACTTGCCAGTAATCAAAATAAACCCTTGCGAACCGACCCCTTGCGGCTTGTATTCCCAGTGTAAGGCAATAGGCGATTCCCCATCATGCTCTTGTTTACCAGATTATACAGGCTCTCCTCCAAACTGTAGACCAGAGTGTGTTACTAACAGCGAATGCCCGTTCCATCTTGCGTGCATAAATCAAAGATGCAAAGATCCCTGTCCAGGAACGTGCGGCACATTCGCAGAGTGCCGTGTAGTCAGCCACACACCCAACTGTGTGTGTAATTCTGGTTATGAAGGTGATCCTTTCACTCAGTGTAGACTCATTCAAACCCCCATTTCACAAGAATTAGTAAATCCATGTGTGCCAAGCCCATGTGGTGCAAATGCTGTTTGTAAGGTACGAAACAACGCAGGGTCTTGTACATGTCTACCGGATTATATTGGCAACCCCTATGAAGGTTGTCGACCTGAGTGTGTCCTAAATTCTGATTGTCCCTCTAATAAGGCTTGTATTAGAAACAAGTGCATGGATCCTTGTCCAGGAACTTGTGGACAAAATGCAATTTGCCAAGTCATTAACCATTTACCGTCCTGTACCTGCACACCGGGGTACACAGGAGATCCGTTTAGATTCTGCAATGTCATAGTAAAAGAAAGTAAGGATTACAGACTTATATTTTTTCAAAATAAAACAAGTTCTTGTTTTAGCAATAAAAGATACACCTCCTTCAAACCCATGCCAACCGTCGCCATGCGGACCAAACAGCCAATGTCGAGAAGTTAACAGTCAAGCCGTTTGTTCGTGTTTGCCAAATTATATCGGTAGTCCTCCCGGTTGTAGGCCCGAATGCACTGTCAGTTCTGAATGTCCTCATGTCAAAGCTTGTATAAACCAGAAATGTGTTGACCCTTGCCCAGGCACATGTGGTTTAAATGCTAACTGTCAGGTTATAAATCACAGTCCAATTTGTAGTTGCCAAGCGAGATATACTGGAGATCCATTCACCAGATGTTTCCCGATACCACGTAAGAAGTCATATTATATTGTATATTTGTTCCTTATTTGACAAACACTTGTTATTTTAGCACCCCCACCAGAGAGGATACCCATTATTGTAAACCCTTGTATTCCTTCTCCTTGCGGCCCCAACAGTGAATGTAGAAACATTAACGGTTCACCTTCATGTTCTTGTTTGGCCAGTTACATTGGCAGTCCACCAAATTGCAGACCGGAATGTACAATAAATCCAGAATGTCCAAGCAACTTAGCGTGTATGAGGGAAAAATGTAGAGACCCTTGTCCGGGTTCTTGCGGTTCCGGAGCCCAATGTAGTGTTATAAATCACACTCCGATCTGTACATGCCCTGAGGGTTATACTGGAGATCCATTTAGTTACTGCCAGCTCAAACCACCGACAATCGAACCCCAGATAACCGATCCTTGTAACCCCTCACCATGTGGCCCTAATGCCCAATGCGACAATGGAGTTTGTACCTGTCTACCTGAATACCAAGGTGATCCCTACAGGGGTTGTAGACCAGAATGTGTTCTCAATAATGACTGCCCCAGAGACAGAGCTTGTATAAGAAATAAATGTGTCGATCCATGCCCTGGTACTTGTGGTACTAATGCCCTTTGTTCGGTTATCAATCATATACCGATGTGTACTTGTATTGAAGGATATGTAGGAAACGCATTCATTTTATGTAATCGAATTCCAGGTAATAATTGATAACATTGTTTAGAGGTAGTAGATATAACTTGACCCAATTTTAGTTGAAGTTCCAAAGAACCCATGTAGCCCATCTCCTTGTGGTCCCAATAGTCAATGCAGGGAAATAAATGAACAAGCTGTTTGCTCATGCGTTCCAGGGTTCATAGGTAGCCCACCAACATGCCGCCCAGAGTGTGTTACAAGTTCAGAGTGTTCACTTAACCAAGCATGCGTAAATCAGAAATGTATTGATCCATGCCCAGGAACTTGCGGAATCAATACCCAATGTCAAGTTGTCAATCATAATCCTATATGCAGTTGTCTACCTAAATATTCAGGAGATCCATTTACAAATTGCATCCCAATACGTAAGAATCTTGATTTCGTGTTAAATTACCAAAATAACTTGTCCTTCCTATTTTAGCTGATGTACAACCAATACAAGAACACATCAATCCCTGTCAACCTTCGCCATGCGGTTTCAACGCCGAATGTCGAGTTATAAATGATAGCCCCTCTTGTTCTTGTTTGCCAGATTTCGTCGGTGCACCGCCAAACTGCCGGCCAGAATGTGTCAGTAACAGCGAATGTGCTAGTCATTTAGCCTGTATAAATAGAAAATGTAAAGATCCCTGTCCTGGCACTTGCGGATTAAATGCGGAATGTAGAGTTGTTAGTCACACTCCAAACTGTATTTGTTCTTCCGGCTACTTTGGAGATCCTTTCACGCAATGTAATGTTCAACACCCTGTCCCTGAAATTATAAATCCCTGCAATCCATCCCCTTGTGGTGTTAACGCCCAGTGTAAGGAAAGAAATAATGCTGGATCATGTGTGTGCTTACCTGAATACATTGGAAATCCTTATGAAGGTTGCAGACCAGAATGTTCTGTCAATTCAGATTGCCCCTCCAACAAAGCCTGTATCAATAACAAGTGTAAGGATCCTTGTCCTGGCACATGTGGACAAAATGCCAACTGCCAAGTTATTAATCATTTGCCTTCGTGCACTTGTATCCCAGGTTACACGGGTGATCCATTTAGACGTTGCAATTTACAATTGCCAGAACGTAAGAACAATCCAGTAATAAATTATTTGATTTTTATCTATCAGACCTTCATTTTAGCTCAATTGGATGACACTCCCAAGAACCCCTGTCAGCCTTCACCCTGCGGACCAAACAGTCAGTGTCGTGAAGTTAATCAACAGGCCGTCTGCTCATGCTTACCAAATTATATTGGTAGTCCCCCTGGTTGCCGCCCAGAATGTACTGTCAGTTCTGAGTGTGCTCCAAATAAAGCTTGTATAAACCAGAAATGTGCCGACCCTTGCCCAGGCACGTGTGGATTGAACGCTAATTGCCAAGTTATAAATCATAGCCCCATTTGCAGTTGTCAATCGAAATATACCGGTGATCCATTTACCAGATGTTTCCCTATACCACGTAAGTTAATTCTGTGAACTCAAAATTAGGGATGTTCCGAATATTCGCATTTGAATTTGCACATTTTGTTGCAGACTTTTTGGTGAATGCGAATTTCTCAACAAAAAAAAAAGTGTATTTGATTCTGCATTCAATATAAAGAAGTCTCTTCCATCTTATTTGGAAAACGAATTATTTTCAAATTATTTTTTTTTTTTAAATAAAATGGCTTAGGTACTACAAAGTGGAATAAATTGAAAATAACTGTAAATCTGCTCATTTCAAGGAAAAGATCTATAATAATGTTTTGTTGTAAACACAATTACAATTACTGGTCAAGATAGATTTTGACTGCGAAAATTACTGGAAGAGAGAACTTTTTATTTTTCGCTTTGTAAAGTTGTCAGAAACAACATATAAAAAGTTACCAACTGTAGTATACGCTAAATTATTTATTTAACAAATTAGTTGCAAAATTACAGTTTTTGCAAAATATATAATTAAAAAAAAAAATTAACTGTGCCATTCGAAAGAACAGGAAATTTTACATTAAAAATGTTAGTTTTTTTCGAAAATACGAATTGAAGGCTGTAGATTTTTTTTCTAATGTATGAAAAATGAGACAGGCGGTACCCAAGTATAGCTCTCGAAGAGCGCACGGGCCCGAGCGCGTTTCACTAAATCTGTTATAACTTTTGATCTAATTGATCAAATCGACCTCACAAAAATTTAAATGAAAGAAGAGTCTATCAAAATTTTATGTCTTTAAACTTGAGAAAAAAAAAATATATATATATAGTACGTCTACAAATTTACGTCATTCTATAATTTTGTATAATAATAATAAAATAGCTGTCATTCTTTTAATTTTTAAAATAAATATCTGTAACTTTCACAGATTACTCTTCAAATGACGATTGAAACAGTGAGCGATATGGAAAAAATCTTAAAAATTTAATTTAAAAAATATTGAGCCCAACATATTCAATAATTTTAAAAAATCACAAATTTGACTTTTTAGGCCATACTTTATAGATCAAAAACTATATGTAGTTGCAAATGTGATTGAAATTTTATGAGAGCACTTTTTAAAACTTAAAATCTCTACTTTAAGTTGGTGCATTTTATTTTTCTTAAAAAATTGAAATAATAGATGAAAAAACAAAAAATAACAAAAAATAAAAATATTTCATAAAAAATCCGTGAAATTTATTGTTAAATGAAGTTTAATAATGTACAAAAATTTTTTTTTTGTTTAATAAACCATCAAAGAATTAACTTAAGACCTTAAAAAAAGTAAATCCAGCGAAAAATATTTTTTTTATAATAAGTGGAAAATTGTTATAACAGCAAAAAAATAACATTTTTTTGATGAATTGATTTAATATTCATTTTTAAAACGTATATTCTGTATCTAAAATTGTGAATATAAGTTCTCTTATTGATGTAGACTCAGATATAAGTCTAATCAGTTTTATTTATTTTAAAAGCATTTTTCGTTTATAAGAATTAAATTATTATTATTATAAATGGTATAAGAATATGATTTTTATATTTTCGAGTAAGCTGCAGATTTCATTTTCCAACTTCATATTCTTGTTCAGCGACATCGAAAACCCCTATATTTTAAATTTGAAAGAATTCGATTTAAAATTCATTGAATTATTTTAAATGTTCTTAAAAAAACTATTTATTATTGTTGAAACAATTAAAAAACAATTAGCGTACATCTCCAAGTAATTTTAAAAGGTTTTAGGAAAATCCATATTTCCCAAATTATTTCAAAATAATGCGTAATTTTAAGCTATCTTGACCACTAAATGTTACCATTCAAATTTTATATTTTCATATATTTTTTTTAACTTAATTAAGCTGTATTTCCAAAATTAAGTCATTTACGAACTTTAAAATGAGCGCAAGAATCACCTTTTCTATTTCAAATTTGTTAATTTCACTTACTTACAAATACACTGAAGTTCTTAATTTATTTTTAGTATCTGTTAGTTACTTTTTAATATCCACTTTTGCATTTACGAATATCAACATGAAATATTTACACTTGCTTTTGTATTTGCGAATATCGAAAATCTCACGTCAGGAACAACCCTATTCAATGTACATAGCTTCCACTAATTATATGCAAATTTTAGCTCCCCCAGACGTTAAAATCCCCCCTGCCAAAATAAATCCGTGTGTTCCCTCACCTTGCGGACCTAATTCTCAATGTAGAGAAATAGGAGACTCTCCATCCTGTTCTTGTCTAGTTGGTTTCATCGGCAGCCCACCTAATTGTAGACCAGAGTGTGTGATCAATCCGGAATGCTCTAGCAATTTGGCTTGTATCCGAGAAAAATGTCGAGATCCATGTCCTGGTTCTTGTGGCGCTGGTGCGCAGTGTAGCGTAATAAATCACACTCCCATCTGTACTTGCCCTGAAGGATACACCGGAGATCCGTTCAGCTATTGCCAACCAAAACCACCTTCAAGTATGACTGGTTTTTATATTGTTAATTGTCTTTATTTACTCTGATCTGTCTTTTAGCACCAGCACCTACAATAACGGACCCGTGCAACCCTTCACCTTGTGGTTCTAACGCACAATGCAACGATGGTGTTTGCACTTGCTTAGCTGAATACCATGGTGATCCTTATACAGGTTGTAGACCCGAATGTATCTTGAGCTCTGATTGTCCGAAAGATAAAGCCTGCGTAAGAAATAAATGCATAGACCCCTGTCCCGGCACTTGCGGAACAAATGCTGAATGTGCTGTTATTAATCACATTCCTATGTGTACTTGTATACAAGGTTACGCGGGAAATGCCTTCTTAGTATGCTCTCCGATTCCAGCTGAAGTCAAGAAAAATCCTTGTAATCCAACACCTTGCGGGCCTAACAGTCAGTGTAGGGAGATTAATAATCAAGCGGTTTGCTCGTGTATCCCAGGATTTATCGGTAGCCCTCCTACATGCAGACCAGAATGTGTTACGAGTCAAGAATGCTCGTTAAGTCAAGCATGTGTTAATCAAAAATGTATCGACCCATGCCCAGGAACGTGCGGCATTAATGCCAAATGTCAGGTCATCAATCACAATCCCATTTGCTCATGTCTACCATCTTATTCCGGAGATCCCTTCGTTAGATGTTTAGTGATTGGTAAGACACGTAATGTCCCATTTGAATAAGAAATTACTTATTTTCTTGTAGAGCGTGAACCAGAAGTAATACCCACGAACCCCTGCCAACCATCACCATGTGGACCTAATAGTCAGTGTAAACCTGTTGAAGATTCTCCATCATGTTCTTGTCTTCCTGAATATCAAGGTTCTCCTCCGAACTGCAGACCTGAATGTGTTAGTAACAGTGAATGTTCTAATCATTTAGCGTGTATCAATCAAAAGTGTAAAGATCCCTGCCCTGGTACTTGCGCACCTAATGCTGAATGTAGAGTAATTAGTCACACTCCGAACTGTGTTTGTCCAACTGGTTTCACGGGAGACCCATTCACGCAATGTACTCCCAGATTACGTAAGAATTATAATGGACAATTTTAAATAAAATATTACAAAACTCTTACCCTTTTAGCGGAAATATCGCCAGAACGTTTAACACCCTGTACCCCATCACCGTGTGGAGCCAACGCACAATGTAAAGAACAAAACGGTGCCGGCTCTTGCACTTGTCTTCCCGACTACATTGGAAATCCTTACGAAGGCTGTAGACCAGAATGTGTCTTAAATTCAGATTGTCCATATAACAAGGCTTGTATAAATCAAAAATGTAAAGATCCCTGCCCAGGTACTTGTGGTCAAAACGCAGAGTGCCAAGTTGTTAACCACTTGCCGCTTTGCACATGTGTAGTAGGATACACTGGAGATCCATTCAGATATTGCAATATAATTCCTTCTGAACGTAAGGCAATTTATTCCTCATTGTTATTTTTACTAATAATAACCCATTGCAGCTTTAAAAGATGAACCTCCTAGGAACCCATGTCATCCTAGCCCTTGCGGGCCTAATAGTCAATGCCGCGAAGTTAATGGTCAAGCAGTCTGCTCTTGTTTGCCGAACTATATCGGTAGTCCTCCAGGATGTAGGCCAGAGTGCACTGTCAGTTCAGAGTGTACTCAACATAAAGCTTGTATAAATCAGAAATGTGCTGACCCTTGCCCAGGCACGTGTGGCTTGAATGCCAAGTGTCAGGTTATAAACCATAGTCCAATTTGTAGTTGTGAAATAAGATTCACTGGGGATCCTTTCACGAGGTGTTATCCAGTACCTCGTAAGTTATAAAGCATTCAATACCTTAGGCTCTTCTATTAATTACAATTTCTTTTTAGCACCTCCACCAGAACCCATTCAACCCTTAACACTTAACCCTTGCGTACCATCCCCTTGTGGGCCAAACAGTCAATGTAGAGATGTCAGAGGTTCCCCTTCCTGTTCTTGTTTGCCAAATTACTCCGGAAGTCCACCAAACTGTAGGCCAGAATGTTCTATCAACTCAGAATGTCCCAGCAATTTAGCTTGTATCAGAGAAAAATGCAAGGATCCCTGTCCTGGTTCATGCGGTTCAAGAGCCGTTTGTAGTGTAATAAACCATACACCCATTTGCACATGTGCTGAAGGATTTGTCGGCGATCCGTTTACTTATTGCCAACCTAAACCTCCAATCAGAGAGCCCGTCGAGCAAGATCCCTGCAACCCCTCACCTTGTGGATCAAACGCACAATGCGATAATGGAATTTGCAGTTGTTTACCAGAATATCAAGGAGATCCTTATCGAGGTTGTCGGCCAGAGTGTGTCTTGAACAATGATTGTTCCCGAGATAAGGCATGCCTACAAAGTAAATGCAAAGATCCTTGTCCAGGAATTTGTGGCGAAAACGCACAGTGCAATGTAGTAAACCATATACCGATGTGCAGTTGTTTGCCGGATTATTCAGGAAATGCGTTTGTCAGCTGTAGGCGTATTGAACGTATGTTGTGCATTTTCTTTAATGTGTCCCTTTTTTTCTAAACTGTATAAATTTTAGGACCTCCACCTAAAAATCCTTGCAGCCCAACCCCTTGCGGACCCAATAGTCAATGTAGGGAAATAAACCAACAGGCCGTTTGCTCCTGCATACCCGGATTTATAGGCAGCCCTCCTACATGCAGACCCGAATGTGTCACTAGCTCTGAATGCCCCCTCAGTGAGGCTTGCGTGAATCAGAAATGTATTGACCCTTGTCCTGGAACGTGTGGTGTGTCCGCTCACTGTCAAGTAGTAAATCACAATCCTATATGTAGTTGTCCCCCGCAGTACACAGGGGATCCATTTATTCGATGCCTCCCGCGACGTAAGACCATCTTTAAAACCAAAATTTGCTTTATATAACATATTTTTATTTTAGTAGAAGAAGATCCAGTAGTTGTTCCTGTCAATCCTTGCCAACCCTCTCCTTGCGGTCCAAATTCTCAGTGTAGAGCCGTAGGTGATTCACCCTCTTGTTCTTGCTTGGAGGAATTTGTCGGAACTCCACCTAATTGCAAACCGGAGTGCATCAGCAACAGTGAATGTCCCAATCACTTAGCTTGTATAAACCAGAAATGCAAAGACCCATGTCCAGGCACTTGTGGATTGAATGCGGAATGTCGGGTGGTTAGTCACACGCCAAACTGTCTGTGTATTCAAGGATATATCGGAGACCCGTTCAGTCAGTGTTCTCTACCGGTAGCCATTCCAAATGAAGTTGTGTCTCCATGTTCGCCATCACCTTGCGGTTCCAATGCTCAGTGCAGAGAGCAAAACAGAGCTGGCGCTTGTGTCTGTCTTCCTGATTATATAGGAAATCCTTATGAAGGCTGTAGACCCGAATGCACATTGAACACCGATTGTCCATCCAACAAGGCATGCATAAATAACAAATGTAAAGATCCATGTCCGGGAACCTGTGGACCCAATGCAAACTGTCAAGTGGTTAGCCACATACCTTCCTGTACTTGTATCGGAGGTTATACTGGTGATCCATTCAGATACTGCAATCTTATTATCGTCGAAGGTAAAAAAGTAAATAATCTCATTTCGAATCCGTCATAATATATTCACATGTTTAGATATTAAACCAGAACCAACAAATCCTTGCCAACCGTCTCCATGTGGTCCAAACAGTCAATGTCGGGAAGTTAACGGCCAATCCGTATGCTCCTGTTTGCCAAACTATATCGGAAGTCCACCTGGTTGCAGACCAGAATGTGTGGTCAGCACTGAATGCCCCTCGAACAGAGCTTGCGTAAACCAAAAATGCATTGACCCCTGCCCCAGCACTTGTGGTTTAAGTGCGGAATGTCAGGTTATCAACCACAGTCCAATATGTAGTTGCAAGCATGGAAATACTGGGAATCCCTTCACTCGTTGCTTCCCAATACCACGTAAGATTTATCTTAACTAGTATTTTATATGGATTCCTGATGATCGTACATTTTTAGCACCACCACCGCTGCATACAGAACCAGTTATTGTTAATCCATGTGTACCTTCTCCGTGTGGTCCGAACAGCCAATGTAGAGATGTCGGTTCCTCGCCATCTTGTTCCTGTTTGCCAAACTTCTTTGGAAGTCCCCCCAATTGTAGGCCGGAGTGCACCATAAATTCAGAATGTTCCAGTAACTTGGCTTGTATAAACCAAAAATGTGTAGATCCGTGTCCAGGTTCTTGTGGTATTATTGCCGAATGTAATGTCTTTAATCACATACCCACCTGTTCTTGTCCTGAAGGATATACTGGTGACCCGTTCACTAGCTGCGTTATCAAACCACCTCGTACGTATTCCAGCCGATAATTACTACAACCATCATTATTTACCTTAATTAAAAATTCCCTTTTTAGAACCGTCGATACCAGAAGATCCTTGTAATCCATCTCCTTGTGGCTCCAATGCCAAATGTGATAACGGTATATGCACTTGCCTGCCAGAATATCAGGGTGACCCTTACTCTGGATGCAGGCCAGAATGTATTTCCAACAGTGAGTGTCCTAGAGATAAAGCTTGTATAAGGAATAAGTGTGTTGATCCTTGTCCTGGAACCTGTGGCCAAAATGCTCAATGCACGGTGTACGATCACATACCGATGTGCGCCTGTTTGCCAGGTTTTACTGGAAACTCTTTCATTGTATGCACGGAAATTAGAGGTAATATATAAAACAAAAAAAGAAAAAAGTGATACTGAAACTTTTACATTACAGTGCCTGTCATTGTAAATCCGTGCACGCCATCACCATGTGGTACAAACAGTCAGTGTAGGGAAATCAACCAACAAGCAGTTTGCTCGTGCTTACCCAACTATATAGGCAGTCCTCCAACATGCAGACCTGAATGTATTTCTAGCTCAGAATGTTCTTTGAATCAAGCATGTGTTAATCAAAAATGCATCGACCCTTGTCCAGGAACTTGCGGAATAACCGCTAAATGTCAAGTTGTCAATCACAATCCAATTTGTAGTTGCCCTCCGCGATATACAGGCGATCCCTTCATCAGATGCTCTTTAATTCGTAAGTTTCAAGTTGTAAATTTCTTAAAATCGTTCTATAAACAAACTTTTTTGTAGCTCAAGAAGAATCCCCACAACCTACGAATCCTTGTCTACCATCTCCTTGTGGACCCAATGCACAGTGCAAAGAAATAAATGGCTCTCCATCATGTTCTTGCCTTCCTGAATTTATAGGGTCCCCGCCAAGCTGTAGGCCAGAATGTGTCAGTAATAGCGAATGCGCAAATCCTTTGGCTTGTATAAACAACAAGTGTAAAGATCCTTGTCCTGGAACTTGCGGAGCTTATGCAGAATGTAGAGTACTCAGTCACACTCCGAATTGCGCCTGTACACCTGGTTACACCGGAGATCCTTTTACCGCCTGCATTTTAATTCAAGCCGTAGTCCCCGATGAGGTTATTTCTCCTTGCAATCCTTCCCCATGTGGGGCAAATGCTGACTGTAGAGTACACAACAGGGCCGGTTCTTGTACCTGCCTTCCGGAATATATCGGCAATCCTTATGAAGGATGTAGACCAGAATGTAGTCTGAACTCTGACTGTGCCCCTAATAAGGCTTGTATTAATAATAAATGTGCCGATCCTTGCCCTGGAACTTGCGGTCAGAATGCCAACTGTCAAGTAATCAATCACCTCCCATCGTGTACTTGCCTGCCCGGTTATACTGGAGATCCGTTCCGATACTGCAATTTACCCCCACCAGAACGTAAGCGTTAAATTAAAAAAGTCACAACTAAAATTAACGGGTTGTATTTTTAGCATTAGTACCTGAAGTACCGCAAAATCCATGCCAACCAACTCCTTGTGGACCAAATAGTCAGTGCCGAGAAGTAAACGGTCAGGCGGTATGCTCTTGCCTTCCCGATTATATCGGTAGTCCTCCAGGATGTAGACCCGAGTGCACTGTCAGTTCGGAATGTGCTCAAAACCGAGCTTGTATTAATCAGAAATGTGTTGACCCATGTCCCGGTACTTGTGGTTTGAGCGCCAATTGTCAAGTGATCAATCACAGCCCAATTTGTTCCTGTGTAGCAAGATTCACCGGAGATCCGTTTACGAGATGTTATCCTGTCCCACGTAAGGCAGCCATTTCATTTCCCCCTAAGTTTATTTGCTAAGGAATTTACATTTTGTTTAAATGAAATGTACATAATATATACAGGGTGCAACTTAACATATATTATTTTTAACCTATTTTTTTTGTAATTTTACAGCTGGACGGCATATTCCTAATTGGGAGTTATTGCATCCATTTTTGTCAAATCTCATCTTTCACACGTTTTTTCTTATCCCATAGAAATTCGACAATGAAGACACACAAATCAATGCCGTCACTATAGTAGGATCATATTCGATGCAAAGTAATAAGTCATTGCCTGTCGAGGGATCCAGTGCCATACGCTTTTAAGGGTTTTAGAAATTGAATAATTTCTTTATACATTATTTTACATTTATACATTCTGAAGGTCACCCTTATTCCTACAAAAATTCCTTTATTCTCATAAACTATTTATTTTAAATGTAATTTATTATAAATCCGTTGTTTTTTAAATTCTACATATGTACTACATTTTACCTCTGTACGCGCCACTGTTGTTTACTTGTTTTTTGGAGGCACTCTCTGATTTACGACCAAGCTTGCTAGGTTAGTATTTGACGTATAACCGACCACTTCATACACTCGATGCACCTGGGCGACTACAGCTACTACCAGAACATAGTGCGTATGCAAGGGTATTTCAGATTTTACATTCATTTTCATTTTAAATTTGAAATGGTTCATCTTACGCCTCCTAAAAATGATGACAGGATTTTCCTTTGATAAAAGACCGACAACTTTTTGCTCTACTTTGCAACGATCCTACTAGAAATACTTACAAAAATAACTTTATAAGATTATACACTTACACTTCATTAAATACCACTTTCAATTTTACAATTATAAAATTAAACTCAAATCCAGTAAAACCTAACACTTCATGTAGAAAGTCACAAAATTACTTGCAGTATTACAAGCACTTTCTCACAAACCGATAAACTAAAAGAAATTTGTCATAATTTTTATGAAATGTTAATATAATGACCTAAACAATTGAAGCAACTTGTTAAAAATCCTGTAGAGTGCTGCCATCTTTGAAGACTCACTGAAACAAGCCAATAAACAGTTTAGAAATAGCATGGGTGCTATGATGTAGCAGATGATGGTAAATAGAAAAACTTTGCTTCAGTAGGAACTGAGTAACAATGGCATTTAAAATGTGACATATGCTTTTTAGGTTATATCTCACCCGCACATACCACCACCCCCTAAAAGAGTGACCACCCACTTAAAGTTACACCCTGTATAAAAATATTTTTATTAATATAGTCCACGGACATTACACTAGGTGAGTGTTAATATTATAATAATATTTCAGCCCCTCCACCCATATTATACACGGAACCTGTGCGAGACCCATGTGTTCCGTCCCCCTGTGGTCCAAATGCGCTCTGCTCTAACCGCCAAGGATCTCATTCCTGCGCCTGTCTACCAAATTACTTTGGCAGTCCTCCAAGTTGCAGGCCTGAATGTACCATCAATTCAGAGTGTTCCAGTAACTACGCCTGCATCAATCAAAGATGTAAAGACCCTTGTCCAGGATCTTGCGGATCGAGCGCACTTTGCAACGTAATAAACCATACTCCTATCTGTAGTTGCCCTGTAGGATTCACTGGAGATCCATTCAGTTACTGTCAACCTAAACCTCCAGTTACAGAACCCGTTGTTCAAGATCCTTGCAATCCGTCACCTTGTGGGCCTAATGCGCAATGCAATGATGGCATATGTACTTGCCTGCCAGAATATCATGGCGATCCTTATAGAGGTTGCAGGCCCGAATGCGTTCTTAACAATGATTGTCCCAGAGACAAGGCTTGCATAAGGAACAAATGTGTGGATCCATGTCCCGGAACTTGTGGGCAAAATGCGGAATGTTCTGTCATCAACCATATTCCTTCCTGTACTTGCTTAGTAGGTTATGTTGGAAATGCATTTGTTGTGTGTAACAAGATACCTGCTCAAGTCATTACACATCCATGTAGTCCCACACCTTGTGGTCCTAATAGTCAATGTAGGGAAGTGAATAGTCGGGCGGTATGTTCTTGTGTTCCTGGTTTCATCGGTAGTCCACCTGCTTGTAGGCCTGAGTGTGTGACGAGTTCCGAGTGTTCTCTAAGTCAGGCATGTTTGAATCAAAAATGTATCGATCCATGTCCGGGGACTTGTGGTATTAACGCCTTATGTCAAGTTGTAAATCACAACCCCATATGCAGCTGTCCAGCAAAACTTAGCGGGGATCCCTTCACAAGATGTTTGCCAATACGTATGTACGTCAATTTTCAAATTTACAATTTGTCTAACGATTATCCAATTTTAGAAGCGGATGTACCACCGACTCCAACGCATCCATGCAATCCGTCTCCTTGCGGACCTAACGCTCAATGTAAAGAAATCAATGACTCTCCCTCCTGTTCATGCCTTCAAGATTTTATTGGGTCTCCCCCCAACTGCAGACCAGAATGTGTTACGAACAGTGAATGCTCAAATCACTTGGCCTGTATTAATCAGAAATGTAAAGATCCTTGTCCAGGAGTTTGCGGACAAAGCGCCGAATGTAGAGTCGTTAGCCACACACCAAATTGTGTTTGTATTTCGGGTTATACTGGCAATCCCTTCATCCAATGTCTGCCACCACCACGTAAGCTGATTTCTAAACACATTTAAATCACCTTTAATATCCTTATATTTTATTGTAGCTCCACCTAGAGATGAAATAATTGCTCCATGTTCTCCATCTCCTTGCGGTGCAAATGCTCAGTGCAAAGAACTAAACAGAGCAGGGTCATGTACTTGTCTGCCCGATTACATTGGAAATCCTTACGAGGGTTGCCGCCCAGAATGTACTTTAAATTCCGACTGTCCGTCTAATAAAGCTTGTATCAATAACAAATGTAAGGATCCTTGTCCTGGTACCTGCGGACAAAATGCGGAATGTCACGTAATAAATCATTTGCCATCATGTACTTGTACAATTGGATACACAGGCGATCCGTTTAGGTTTTGCAATTTACCCTTGCCAGACAGTAAGCAGTAAACAAACTATAAAAAGCTTAATTTATTATGCACAATTTTCTTACAGCTCCAGCTCCTCCTGTAAATCCGTGCAACCCATCGCCTTGTGGGCCAAACAGTCAGTGTCGCGAAGTAAATAATCAAGCTGTCTGTTCTTGCTTGCCGACCTATATCGGCAGTCCACCTGGATGTCGCCCAGAGTGTACTGTCAGCTCTGAGTGTGCTCAAAATAAAGCATGTATCAATCAGAAATGTATTGATCCTTGCCCCGGAACGTGCGGTTTAAATTCTGAATGCCAAGTCATCAATCACAGTCCCATATGTAGTTGCAGGTCGAGTTATACAGGAGATCCATTTACGAGATGTTTCCCTGTGCCACGTAAGATAGATTTTAATAACGACCGCAGTTCGTCCATCATAACATATTTATTACAGCTCCACCACAACAACCGTTGCCAGAACCGTATAGAAACCCATGCGTACCTTCTCCTTGCGGAGCGAATAGTGAATGTAGGGATATTAATGGCTCTCCGTCTTGCTCTTGCTTACCGACATTCATTGGTAGTCCACCTAATTGTAGACCAGAGTGTGTGATTAATCCGGAATGCTCCAGCAATATGGCTTGCATTCGAGAAAAATGTCGAGATCCATGTCCGGGTTCTTGCGGTGCTGGTGCACATTGTAGTGTAATAAATCATACTCCAATCTGTACTTGCCCTGAAGGATACACTGGAGATCCGTTTAGTTACTGCCAACTTAAACCTCCAACATGTATGTTAAATACTTTATATACAGAGTGAGCCGTATTGCATACGCCCAACTTTGCTTGGTCGTAAAATAACTCAGACTAAGGAAAAGGTTCATATAAACAACAGGTTGCAGAACATTTTATTTTCTGGATACAGTGTTGTTTAAAAAAATGAATCATAATTATTCAAATATCTCCTCAAATATTGTCTGAAGTTATTTATTTGTGACATTCTTTTAGAGTCGAGGGTTTTTTAACCATTTTTGCTTAGTCAAAAATCTCACGCTGACAAAAAATAGAAAAATAAACTATACGTCACTGTCCCGCGTACCTCAGTTACAGTTAACATTTTGAAAAATAGTCTTTTTTCGTTAGAAAATCTTGTAATGACCTTTCTTTTTTTTTAAATATAATTAAATAAGAAACATCATTACTGTTAATGTTTCGATAATAAAAAAAGACTAATTTTTCGAAATGTTAACTGTAATTGAAATACGTGTGATTGTGTATTTTTTATTATTCTTTATTTCTCTGCTTTCTTCCGTGAAAATTTAGGTTAGGCAAAAATAGTTTAACAAAAATAAACCTTGATACATTCACATGTTTTTTACAGTGCATTTAATTAACGTTGCTGTTTCCAGGAACTCATATGTCATTATTACTTTACAGAAAATAAGCCATTTTTGAGTAATATTTTTTTAATTGAAAATTGACAGTTGAGTAAATCAATAACAACTTTTAAAACTATTTGTTTCATAAAAAAATATGAGAATATTTTGGAAGAAACTAAATTTTAAATATAATATAATGAAATGTTAAAAAAAAAATATTGTTATAGGAACTTTAAATTTTCTGGGGTAATATTTTTCAAAAAATTTAAAATTTCTGTGCCAATGATTGTTTTTTTCTTCTGAAGGTTTCTAATTAAATGAATAATTTTATTATTTATTATTTCAATTTATTAAATGTGTAGTAAACTATTTTAATAAAAAGAGTCAAAATGGCTCATTTTTCGAATAAAATAGAAGATATTTTTTTAGAAGCACCAACTGAAATGAAATGCACTTATCCAATTTAAGAGGTTTAAGAAATATTAAAATAAACGTGATTTTTTTAATTTCACTTTTTATCTCAAAAATAAAGCTTTCTACGACCCACGCTTATATGAAATTTTTTCTTATTTTGAGATATTCTCCCTCCAAAAAAAGTTTGGTGTGTGCAATTCTGGACACCCTGCTTTCAAAAATTATTTCCATACCAAAAACAAACCATTAAAATATATTCTCATTTTATAATTTTAGCGGTACAACCTGTTGAAAAGGATCCTTGCGATCCATCACCTTGTGGTCCAAACACTGTGTGCAAAGAAGGTATTTGTAGTTGTATTCCCGAGTATCACGGAGATCCTTATGCCGGTTGCAGACCTGAATGCGTTTTAAATAACGATTGCCCTAGAGATAAGGCATGTATTCGTAATAAATGTGTCGATCCTTGTCCTGGAACATGTGGACAAAATGCCGAATGTTCCGTTATGAATCATATACCAATATGCACGTGCATTCCAGGCTATGAAGGCAATGCCTTTGTACTTTGCTCCAAAATACAAGGTACTTTTTTACCTTACTCTTTCGCCCCAAAACGTTATATATTTACAATTACAAGTTTAAACGATCTTCAAAGTTTTGATAAGTTTAAAGAGAAACAATTTTTTATTTTAGCTCCCTTAGTCACAAATCCATGTATTCCAAGCCCCTGTGGCCCCAACAGTCAGTGTAGGGAAGTAAATAGCCAGGCAGTTTGTTCTTGTGTACCTGGTTTTATCGGCAGTCCACCTGCTTGTAGACCAGAGTGCGTTAGTAGTTCAGAATGTTCTCTCAATCGGGCCTGTGTTAACCAAAAATGTATCGATCCTTGCCCCGGAACGTGTGGCATTGGTGCTCAATGTCAAGTGGTCAACCACAATCCAATATGTAGTTGCCCCCCTAGACAGAGCGGCGATCCTTTCGTTCGATGCTTACCTATATTATGTAAGTCACAAAACTTTCGCCACTCTTTGGATATTCATTGTGTTACTTTATAGCGGAACCAGTAGTAATACCTGCTAAACCCTGCGAACCATCCCCCTGCGGTCCTAATGCAGAGTGTAGGGTGGTTGGAGATCAGCCATCTTGCTCTTGTTTGGCAGAATTTATTGGTACCCCGCCAAACTGTAGACCTGAATGTGTTAGCAATAGCGAATGTGCCAATCACCTGGCATGTATTAATCAGAAATGTAGAGATCCTTGTCCGGGTACATGTGGACAAAATGCGGACTGCCGTGTTATAAGTCACACACCTAACTGCGTGTGTCTGTCAGGTTATATCGGGGACCCCTTCGCCTACTGTTCACTACCACCATGTAAGAAACTACGTATATCTTAACCTTTTATTAACTGCTCAACAATAACAAACACAACGCAAAACTAATCCATCATTGGCTTAAAGCTGCTAGAAAATATATTCTGCAATTTTTCCCAAAATGTTTTAAATTTCAGCTCCTCCTCCTGATATCGTCCAACCCTGTAATCCATCACCATGTGGAGCAAACGCCGTTTGCAAGGAACAAAATAATGCTGGTTCGTGTACTTGTTTGCCCGAGTATATCGGTAATCCTTACGAAGGCTGTCGTCCTGAATGTGTCCTCAATTCTGACTGCCCCTCCAATAAAGCATGCATTAGAAATAAATGCCAGGACCCTTGTCCTGGAACCTGCGGTCAGAACGCTAATTGCCAAGTAATCAATCACTTGCCCTCTTGCACTTGCATACCAGGATACACTGGAGACCCCTTCACATATTGTAGCCAACCGCCACCTATCCCAGAACGTAAGAAACTGATTATATTACTGTTTTACCATATCTTTTACATGATTTTTTTAATCAGCCCCACCGAAAAATACACAACCTTGCCAGCCATCACCATGCGGCCCTAACAGTCAATGCAGGGAAGTTAATGAACAAGCAGTTTGTTCTTGCTTGCCAAATTACATCGGTAACCCTCCAGAATGTAGACCTGAATGCGTAGTTAGCTCTGAATGTTCACGCGACAAGGCTTGTATAAATCAAAAATGTGCGGATCCTTGTCCAGGCTCTTGTGGCCTAAATGCTAAGTGCGAAGTGATAAATCACAGCCCGATTTGTAGTTGTTCTCCTAGATTTACAGGAGATCCATTTACCAGATGTTATCCAATACCAGGTAAGAAAATATAAATGTGTATAAAGACTAGCCCTAAGAAAAATATATTTTAGTTCCACCTCCCGATACACCACCGCCTGCGAAAAACCCTTGCGTACCTTCTCCTTGTGGACCGAATTCTGAATGCCGTGACATAGGTGGAGCCCCATCATGTTCTTGCTTGACAAGTTACTTTGGAAACCCACCAAACTGCCGACCAGAATGTACAGTTAATTCAGACTGCTCCAGTAACTTGGCCTGTATACGTCAAAAATGTACAGATCCTTGTCCAGGATCCTGTGGTTTCAATGCTAAATGTGACGTTATTAATCACACACCAATCTGTTCCTGCCTTGAAGCATACACAGGAGATCCATTTACCAACTGTGTACTGAAACCACCTGTAACGGAAGCTGTAGTTGACAAATGCAACCCATCACCTTGTGGACCAAATGCACAATGCGACGACGGAGTTTGTACATGCCTTCCGGAATATCGAGGAGATCCTTACAGAGGTTGTAGGCCTGAATGTGTATTAAACAGTGATTGTCCAAGAGACAGGTCTTGCATTAACAGCAAATGCAAAGATCCGTGTCCTGGAACTTGTGGTCAAAACGCAGAGTGCTCGGTCATCAACCATATCCCTATGTGCTCGTGTATCCAAGGATATATCGGAAATGCTTTTGTTCTCTGCAGTAAAATACCAGAAGAACAGCCTAAGAATCCCTGCAGTCCATCCCCTTGTGGACCAAACAGTCAATGTAGAGAAATAAATGGGCAGGCTGTATGTTCTTGTGTGCCCGGCTTTATAGGCAGTCCACCGACATGCAGACCAGAGTGTATTACCAGCTCGGAATGTTCTCTAAGCGAGGCTTGCGTAAATCAAAAGTGTATCGATCCTTGCCCTGGTACATGCGGTATCAACGCCCTTTGTCAAGTAGTAAATCACAATCCGATTTGTAGCTGTCGTCCCAGATATTCAGGTGATCCATTTGTCAGATGTCAACCGATTGGTAAGAATAGTGATTATTCCAAATAATTAGACAATAATGTAAAATTATTGCAGTCGAGGAGCCTCCACTGATATTAAATCCTTGTCAACCGTCACCTTGCGGTCCAAATTCTCAATGCAAAGCAGTTGGGGATTCCCCATCTTGCTCTTGCCTACCAGACTTCATCGGTTCTCCACCAAACTGTAAACCAGAGTGTATTAGTAACAGCGAATGTCCCAATCATTTGGCATGTATCAACCAAAAATGTAGAGACCCATGTCCAGGTGTCTGTGGTCAGAATGCCGAATGTAAAGTGGTCAGTCACACGCCCAACTGTGTATGTATATCTGGTTATATCGGAGATCCTTTCGCGATATGCAATGTACAAAGTAAGTATATACATTAGTATGTGTGAAGTTGAAAGAAATATATGTTCTTTAATAAATTAGGTGTAACAATCCCGACGGAAAGACCAACCCCCTGCCTTCCTTCCCCATGTGGATCAAATGCAGAATGTAGAGAACGTAACGGAGCCGGTTCTTGTGTATGTTTACCGGAATATATAGGAAACCCTTACGAAGGTTGCCGACCTGAATGTGTTCTAAACTCAGATTGTCCATCAAATAAGGCATGTGTGAGGAATAAATGTGTAGATCCATGTCCCGGCACGTGCGGTCAAAACGCTGAATGCCAAGTAATCAACCACTTGCCATCTTGTACTTGTGTACCCGGATATACAGGGGATCCATTCCGGTATTGTAGTTTAGTAGGTAAGACTAGTAAACAAAAGCTTAATAAGTATACATATCTGAAAATATATAATTTTAGTTGTGAAAGATGTTCCACTGCCGCCAGAAAATCCTTGTCAACCTTCACCATGTGGGCCAAACAGTCAATGTCGCGAGGTTAACCAACAAGCTGTTTGCTCATGTTTACCAGAATATATTGGAAGTCCCCCAGGCTGCAGACCAGAATGTACCGTCAGCTCTGAGTGCCCACAGAATAGGGCCTGTATCAATCAAAAGTGTGTTGATCCTTGTCCGGGAACTTGCGGCCTCAACGCAGACTGCAAAACAATCAATCACAGTCCTGTATGCAGCTGTCAGATATCTTATACAGGAGATCCATTTACGAGGTGCTATCCTATACCTCCTCCGCATGTTCCAGTTGAGCCAATAGCCAACCCTTGCGTGCCATCTCCTTGCGGTCCTAACAGTCAATGTAGAGATATAGGCAACGTCCCATCTTGCTCTTGTTTACCAAATTACATAGGAAATCCACCAAATTGTAGGCCGGAATGTACTATCAATTCTGAGTGTCCAAGTAATTTAGCTTGCATGCAAGAAAAGTGTAGAGATCCATGCCCAGGTTCTTGCGGCACCGCAGCAGTATGCAGTGTAATAAATCATACTCCTATTTGTACATGTATCGAGGGTTACACCGGAGATCCGTTTACATATTGTCAGCCGAAGCCACCAGTAATAGAACCTCAAAAAGAAGATCCATGTGATCCTTCTCCATGTGGTGCCAATGCGCAATGCGACAATGGGATATGTACGTGCCTTCCAGAATATCAGGGAGATCCTTACCGAGGCTGTAGACCGGAATGTGTATTGAACAATGACTGTCCGAGAGACAAAGCGTGTGTTAGAAATAAATGTATTGATCCATGTCCAGGAACATGCGGGCAAAATGCGGAGTGTGTGGTGCTTAATCATATTCCAACTTGCACTTGCATTCAAGGTTATATTGGTAATGCCTTTGTTCTCTGTACCAAAATACCGGGTAAGCTTTGTGAATGAGGTGTAGAAATCGTGTTTCTATCAAACCATTTTTCAGAGGAAATACCTAAAAACCCCTGCAGTCCAACTCCATGCGGTCCGAATAGTCAGTGTAGGGAAATAAATGGACAAGCCGTATGTTCTTGTGTTCCCGGTTTTATTGGAAGTCCACCAACTTGTAGGCCTGAATGTGTTTCCAGCTCAGAGTGTGCCTTAAATCGGGCTTGCTTAAATCAGAAGTGTATCGATCCATGTCCAGGAACCTGTGGTTTAAGCGCCAATTGTCAAGTGGTGAATCACAATCCTATATGTAGCTGTCCACCAGGACAAACTGGAGATCCCTTCACTAGATGCACACCAATAAGTAATTTTTTAAATTCTCCATACCGACAATGCGTTAATTTTCATTTGTTTTAGTTGAATATCCACCGGAACTTCCATCCAATCCATGTCAACCATCACCTTGTGGTCCTAATTCCCAATGTAGAGAGATCGGAGATGCGCCTTCCTGTTCTTGCTTGCCAGAATTTATCGGTTCACCACCTAATTGTAGACCTGAATGTGTCAGTAACAGCGAATGTGCTAACCACTTGGCGTGCATAAATCAGAAATGTAAAGATCCTTGTCCCGGAACCTGTGGTCAGAATGCCGAATGTAGAGTAGTTAGTCATACTCCAAACTGTGTGTGTATAGCTGGTTATATCGGAGATCCATTTATCCAATGTCAACAAATTGTGGAACAAGCAACTATTGCAGAAAAGCCGACACCTTGTGTACCTTCTCCATGCGGTGCAAATGCAGAGTGTAGGGAACGCAACGGAGCAGGTGCTTGTACTTGCATCTTGGACTATATAGGAAACCCTTATGAAGGATGCAGGCCTGAATGTACGCTCAATTCTGATTGTCCATCAAATAAAGCTTGCGTAAGAAATAAATGTGTGGATCCCTGTCCAGGAACTTGTGGACAAAACGCGGAATGTCAAGTAATTAATCACTTGCCATCCTGTACTTGTGTTCCAGGTTACACTGGAGATCCGTTCCGATTTTGTAATTTACCACCTACTAAAAAACGTAAGTATATTGCTTTTATGTAAGTAGAAAATTACTAATTTTAATTTTTAGCCGAACCAGAACCTAAGCCTTGTCAGCCGTCACCTTGCGGAGCAAACAGTCAATGTCGTGAATTAAATGGGCAAGCAGTATGTTCATGTCTGCCTAATTATATCGGTAGTCCTCCTGGTTGTCGCCCTGAATGTACCGTCAGCTCTGAGTGTGCACAGAATAAGGCTTGTCTTAATCAAAAATGTGTCGATCCCTGTCCTGGAACGTGTGGCCTTAGTGCCGAATGTCAAGTCATCAATCACAGCCCTATTTGTAGCTGTAAATCAGGCAGCACAGGAGATCCATTTACCAGATGTTATCCTATCCCTCGTAAGAACAAATCGTAAAAAATATATATCAAAATTTTAATTAACATCGCTTATTTTAGCACCACCCCCAACTCCTATACCAGAAGTAAGAAATCCATGCATACCATCCCCGTGCGGACCAAACAGTCAGTGTAGAGATGTAGGCGGTTCCCCCTCATGCTCCTGTCTGGAGAATTATGTTGGAAGCCCGCCGAACTGTCGACCAGAATGTACAATTAACTCTGAATGTCTAAGCAACTTGGCCTGTATTAGAGAGAAATGCAGAGACCCATGTCCTGGTTCATGTGGATCGTTAGCGCGTTGTAGCGTTGTAAATCACACTCCAATGTGCACTTGCCCCGAAGGGTACACAGGGGATCCATTCAGTTATTGCCAACCTAAACCTCCAGTTACAGAGCCACAAATAGAAGACCTTTGCAACCCATCACCATGCGGCCCCAACGCCCAGTGTGATAATGGAGTATGTACCTGTTTGCCTGAATTCCAAGGCGATCCTTACGCAGGTTGCAGACCAGAGTGTGTCCTAAACAACGATTGCTCTCGCAATCTAGCTTGCATTAATAACAAATGCAAAGATCCATGTCCTGGAACTTGTGGTCAAAATGCTCTGTGCGCTACGATAAACCATATTCCGACATGCACTTGCTTGGAGGGGTATCAAGGAAATGCATTTGTTCTCTGTACCAAGATTCCAGGTAAATATTGACTGAAGTACAGGGCATAACTTTGAATGGGGTTATATTTTAGGGAGGCTACCTTTGATATCATAAGTATGTTTTCTTTCAAATTCTGTCATGAAAACAAATTTTTTTATAACCTTTTTTGTAATCTTCATACGTTGCCGCTGGACAGGCTAATGTAACCTTAAACACAGAAATTTTACACTGTACCAACACTAAACGCTGAAATAAATAACTTTATAAAATTATACACTTATACTACACAAGACACTTTTCTAAATACCACTTTAAATTTTACTATAAAATTAAACTTCATAAAACACAACACTGTATAGTTGTTACGATGTCCTATGCTTTGACCATGATGTATCTCGTAATTTATAGTCGAATAGCAATTCGGCGAGTTCGGTATTGGTAAACTGGTCTGCCTGATGTAGAATTGACGGCGGCGCGCTAGTCATCAAAGCAAACCTGTATTGCTCCACTAGGTCGTAAATAATTTTTTTGTATGGTACACGGGTTCACCTAGCTTTGCCGCTTCGCCAGTGCAGTGCAGAGCATTGCTTGGTGGGGTATGTTGTTGGGTATGATTGATATCATGTAGTTCGCCTAAACTAGGCCAATGTCAGAGGTCATTGTGATGCGCAAACTAAACACTGCTTTCAAGAATAGCAACAAACACTTTCTATTATGATTTTTTAAAATATTTCAAATCTATCAGACTGGTATTTTTTAATTATGTACATTTTATAAAACAACAAACATTCTAAAACATAAATTAGTTTATCGAAATTAGTAACTAGAGTATATATTTGATTTAAAAAAAATTATTCCAGATTAGTATTCCGACAACAAGAGCTATTACCCCAAAAATAAAAATCACTTAAAGTTAAACCCTGCAAAAGAAAATAATAAATAATTAAAAAATAAACATCGTTTCACCTGGTATTTATTTGTAGACCAAATCCCTACAAATCCGTGCCAACCCAGCCCGTGTGGCCCCAACAGTCAGTGTAGAGACATCAATAACCAAGCAGTTTGCTCTTGCGTCCCCGGTTTCATAGGCAGTCCTCCAACTTGCCGACCTGAATGCGTTACCAGCACTGAATGCTCTTTAAGTCAAGCTTGTATAAATCAGAAATGTATCGACCCTTGTCCTGGCACCTGCGGTTTAAATGCAAGATGTCAAACTGTAAATCACAACCCTATTTGCAGCTGCCCATCTAAGTACACCGGTGACCCATTCACCAGATGTTTCCCGTCAGGTATGTTCTACTTTGTGACGGACATCGATGATATGCTTAATCATTTTTTTATATAAAGAGTTAACATTTACTGAATTTCAGAAGAACCATCTGTTCCTCCAACAAACCCATGTCAACCTTCACCTTGCGGCCCAAATTCTCAATGTAGAGAGATTAACGGGGCACCATCTTGTTCTTGCCTGCAAGAATTTATCGGATCTCCACCAAACTGTAGACCAGAGTGTGTCAGTAATAGCGAATGCGCTAATCATTTGGCTTGCATCAACCAAAAATGCAGAGATCCTTGCCCAGGAATTTGTACTGAAAACGCGGAATGTCGTGTTGTGAGCCACACTCCCAATTGTGTATGTATCCAAGGTTATGTTGGGGATCCGTTTGTTTCCTGTCTTAAGCCAGAGATCATTAAACCTGAGTATGTTAACCCGTGTTTCCCATCTCCTTGTGGAGCAAATGCCATATGTAGACAACAAAACGGTGCAGGATCCTGTACGTGCATCCAGGATTACTTAGGAAATCCTTACGAAGGTTGCAGACCAGAATGTGTTCTAAACTCAGATTGTCCTTCAAACAAAGCATGCGTAAGCAGTAAATGTGTAGATCCATGTCCGGGTACGTGCGGTCAAAACGCCGAGTGTCAAGTGATCAGTCACTTGCCATCATGTACTTGCATCCCTGGTTATACCGGCGATCCATTCAGATACTGTAATCCGAAACCAGTTGAAAGTAAGGTTTTTCATTCTTTTAAATGAAACTTGAAAACTACTCTATACTTTATTTTAGCTCCTGAGCCCACCAATCCTTGCCAGCCCAGTCCTTGTGGACCAAATAGTCAGTGCCGTGAAGTAAACAACCAAGCAGTTTGCTCTTGTTTACCTGAGTATATCGGTAGCCCCCCCAGTTGTAGACCGGAATGTACAGTTAGCTCAGAATGTAGTTCAAACAAAGCCTGTATAAATCAAAAGTGTGTAGATCCTTGTCCGGGCACATGTGGCATTAACGCCAACTGTGAAACCATAAATCACAGTCCAATATGTAGTTGCCAAGTGAGATATACCGGAGATCCATTTACAAGATGCTACCCGGTACCACGTAAGTCAACAAAATACATCCATCATAAGCGCGAATATTAACAATCTTCTATTTTAGCGCCACCTCCAGAACCTACTCCAACCATCACACCTAATCCATGCGTACCATCACCCTGCGGGCCCCACTCTGTATGTCAAGATATAAACGGTGCACCATCTTGTTCATGTATTGAGAATTACATCGGAGCTCCGCCGAACTGTAGACCTGAATGCACAATCAACCCTGAATGTTCAAGCAACCTCGCTTGCATTCGTGAGAAATGTAGAGACCCTTGTCCCGGTTCCTGTGGCGCTGGGGCATATTGCAGCGTAATAAGTCACGTACCTGTCTGTACTTGCCCTGAAGGATACACAGGGGATCCATTCACTTATTGTACTCCTAAACCGCTGCCTGTGCCAGAAAAAGAAAGAGATCTTTGTAATCCCTCCCCGTGTGGTCCCAATGCGCAATGTAATAACGGAGAGTGCACCTGTTTGCCAGAATATCATGGAGATCCTTACAGAGGTTGCAGACCTGAATGTGTATTAAACTCAGATTGCCCCAGAAACAAAGCGTGTGTCAGAAATAAATGCGTCGATCCTTGTCCAGGACTGTGTGGTCAAAACGCAGAATGCGCGGTTGTAAATCACATTCCCTCCTGTTCTTGTATACAGGGATATACTGGTAACGCTTTCCTTATATGTTCACTGATACCAGGTAATACATTACATTCGATTAAAAAATAAAATTGAATATAATAAAACTTATAATTTTTAGAACCACTGCCCAAAAATCCATGCAACCCATCACCTTGTGGCCCCAACAGTCAATGTAGGGACATAAATAGTCAAGCAGTATGTTCTTGTGTACCCGGCTACATAGGCAGTCCACCAACATGCAGACCTGAATGTGTTAGCAGTACAGAATGTTCACTTGACAGAGCATGCCTGAACCAGAAGTGTATCGATCCTTGTCCGGGCACTTGCGGAATAAACAGCCGTTGCCAGGTAGTTAACCATAACCCCATATGCAGTTGCCCTGCAAGATACACAGGAGATCCCTTCATCCGATGCCAACAAGTACTAGAAGTTCCCAAGCCAACGAGTCCTTGCGAACCGTCCCCTTGTGGCCCCAATGCTCAGTGCAGAGATATAAACGGTTCTCCATCTTGCTCTTGTCTTCCCGAGTTCATAGGAGCGCCACCCAACTGCCGACCAGAATGTATTAGCAATAGCGAATGTGCGAATCATTTGGCTTGTATCAACCAAAAATGCAAAGACCCTTGCCCTGGCATATGTGGATTGAATGCGGAATGTAGAGTCGTTTCGCACACACCCAATTGTGCATGTACACCGGGATATTCGGGTAATCCATTCCAGCATTGTACGGTATTTGAAATTCCGAAACCCCCACCAGACGATCAGATCAATCCATGCTTCCCCTCACCGTGTGGGGCTAATGCCGTTTGCAAGGAACGAAACAATGCCGGTTCTTGTATTTGTCTACCTGAATACATTGGAAATCCTTATGAGGGATGCAGACCTGAATGTGTCTTGAACTCCGATTGTCCATCGAACAGGGCTTGCATTAACAACAAGTGCGCTGATCCTTGTCCCGGCACATGCGGACAAAATGCGAATTGTCAAGTTATTAACCACTTACCGTCTTGCTCCTGTCTCTATGGCTATACTGGAGATCCATTCAGATTCTGCAATGTAATACCTCCAGACACAGAACGTAAGTTGTTTTCACATCAAATAAAATTCATGTATTACGCTAATCCTCTTTCTATTAGCTGTTGAGATTCCAACAAATCCATGTCAACCATCTCCATGTGGACCAAATAGCCAGTGCCGTGAAGTGAATGAGCAAGCGGTATGTTCCTGCCTGCCTAATTACATCGGTAGCCCACCTGGTTGTAGACCAGAGTGCACAATCAGTTCCGAATGCGCACAAAATAGAGCTTGTTTTAATCAGAAATGTGTCGATCCCTGTCCTGGAACGTGTGGCCTTAATGCGAGATGTGAAGTAATAAACCACAGCCCTATTTGTAGTTGTTCCGCAGAACACACCGGAGATCCCTTCACTCGGTGCTACAAAATTCCACGTAAGACTATAATATTAATTTCAATTACACTACAATAATCACCTTCAACTTTTAGCGCCTCCAGAACAACCGAAACCTTCTCCAAATCCTTGCGTTCCGTCACCATGCGGCCCTTACAGTCAATGTAGAGATATAGGCGGAACGCCATCTTGTTCTTGTTTACGCAACTATATCGGAAGCCCTCCAAATTGTAAACCAGAATGTACGATAAATTCTGAATGTCCCAGTAGTTTGGCTTGTATCAATGAGAAATGCAAAGATCCTTGTCCAGGATCTTGCGGCATCGCAGCGCTCTGTGAAGTAAGAAACCATAACCCAATATGTGTGTGTCCTACAGGTTACGCTGGAGATGCATTTGTTTCCTGCATTCCTAAACCTCCACCGCCTTGTAAGCAACGTTAATAAATAGTGTACTTAATTTTTTATAACATTACAATTTGTTTTAGTACCTACAATAACGAATCCTTGCTACCCGAACCCTTGTGGTTCAAATGCTCGTTGCGATAATGGTACATGTAGTTGCTACCCAGAATACCAGGGAGATCCTTACAGAGAGTGTAGGCCTGAATGTGTATTGAACTCGGATTGTCCTCGTGACAGAGCCTGCATAAATCAGAAGTGTAGGGACCCTTGTCCCGGCACTTGCGGTCAAAATGCTGAGTGTAATGTATTCAATCATTATCCTTCTTGTTCTTGTTTGCAGGGTTACTCCGGTGATGCGTTCTTGTTTTGCGCCAAAATAGAGAGTAAGTATCATTGTTATCAGAAAGATGCAAAATCAAATTGTGGTTTTTATTTAGCTCCTCCGCCTCAGAATCCCTGCCATCCCTCACCTTGCGGGCCCAACAGCCAGTGTAGGGAAATTAACAATCAGGCGGTCTGTTCTTGCTTGCAAGGTTACATAGGTAGCCCGCCTACTTGCAGACCTGAATGCGTATCTAGCTCCGAGTGTTCCCTTGCAACCGCTTGCGTGAACCAAAAATGTATTGACCCATGCCTCGGCACCTGCGGATTAAGGGCTTTGTGCCAGGTGGTTAACCACAACCCCATTTGCACCTGCCCAGTTAAACACACCGGAGATCCATTCGTGAGGTGCCAGGTCGTAATCGGTAGGTGTACGAACGAATTATATGCGACCGCGAATAATAAAATGTTTTATAATGTAGACAAGCCACCAGAACCAAAACCGGCTGAAAATCCTTGCGTACCTTCCCCATGCGGCCCCAACGCTCTATGTGAACCAACCCCTGTCGGTACAACAAAATGTAGTTGTGTCGACAACTATATTGGCGCTCCACCCAACTGTCGTCCAGAATGTATTACCAACAGTGACTGTACTAAATCCCTAGCATGTATCAATCAAAAGTGTAGAGACCCCTGCCCAGGATCTTGCGGACTGAATGCTCGTTGTCTTGTAGTAAACCACATTCCAAACTGTATGTGTGTAGATAGTTACATTGGAGATCCTTTCACTATTTGCACGCCTCAACCACGTAAGATGTTTTCCTTTGTATGTATTGACTAACTTAGACAACACTGCCTTCTAACATAAAAACTCACTATGATGTATGGCTTACACACAAATACCACTAAATCGTGAGAATGTTTTCTCTAATATCCATATCTTTGACAGCTGCTCCTCCTACACCACCATCACGGAAAGACCCATGCAACCCCTCACCGTGTGGACCAAACGCTCATTGCCGCGTGGAAAATGACTATGCTGCCTGCGAATGTTTACCGGAATACCACGGCAATCCTTATGAAATTTGCAGACCAGAGTGTTTGTCTAACGCGGATTGTCCAATGAATAGAGCTTGTATCAGCAACAAATGTCAGGATCCATGTCCAGGAACATGCGGTTTCAATGCTCTATGTACAGTCACCAATCACGTACCTGTATGTTCTTGTCCAGATCGTTACACGGGAGACGCCTTCAGGCTCTGCACACCAGTAATTGGTAAGTTATAACTTAACTTTTAAAGACGTTGTATATTTTTTAAATAATTTCAATCAACATTGATAAAACATGATGTTGAAAACCAAATACTTCCAAGTCCCTGATTTTGTATTATAAAATAAAAAATATTAGTCAGCAATATTTGATTGTTAAGAATGTAAAAGTTTTAAATAATGAATAATCAAGTAATATTTTCCTATATAAAAATCTAAATAATTACGATTGTTAAGTAATATATTTGCGTAGTACGTAAACAAATATTTAATAAATTTATATACAAGAATATACTAGCAACTGATTAGGTATTTTATTATATTTGTACAGTATAAAAATAATAGATGCCAAGTATAATACATAAATGCACAATTTCATCAGATATTTTGAAGAATAAATTACAATTAGGCAATAATAATTTTCTAAATATATAGCGTGGTCTATTAAGAATTAGGAGACTCCTATACGTTTTTTGAGAAGCACGATTTGTATGAATTTTTTTAACACATTGCGGCTTTCTGAATGTAGTTTGTACATGGTGAATAAACTAGGGAAAAAGGTTCAAATGAATGTACTAGAGAAAAGTTTTGCGGCGATCTCTGTGGTCCTTACCTAGAGGTTCTACGATTCTGAATTGTTGCGAACAGAATGTAAAGATACAACAGAATCCCTGTCTGAAGTCACCGGACAACGATTGCTAGGTGGGAAAAGGTCATGATAAATACCCTCTATCGAGTAAGGCACTCGTCAAATTCCCATTGAATTGCATCCTGAATTTCAAAATTTTTTCATAGATTGTTTTTATTTATCGTCCTGAATATGCGGTCAAGCGTTATGGGTGAAATTTGTGGACACTCTGTATAGCCAAAAAAACTCTAGTGATTTTTCAAGTCATGCATCCCAGAAATATTTTAAAGGAGTGTCCTGGTTTCTCAAGAACCTACTGTATATGGTTTATATTAAACTAAACTTAATCTGATCGAACCTAACTTTTTTAATCTAATATTAGTCAGTCTGATCTGCATAGCTTTGCCAGTGTCAGTGCAAAAATACTGAAATAAACACTTTTTTGTAGCCATCAGATTTTAGCGATACTTTTCTGCATCAGTACTTTTCTCTTGTGAATGTTCACAACTATTTCATAAATAATATCCAATTCATTTAATATTCAGTGAGAATCTTACCTTAAATCTAACTTTTCTGGCGGTTTCAGCATGTTGCAGCATATCAAAATGTATTTAAACTAGGTTGAAGTACACCATAACTTCTCACAACATTAAAATGAACTCTTTTAATGCCGTTATACTCGTAATTTTTATGTTATGGTTCACACATTTGAATTATAGTGCATAAAAATATAATACAAACAGCTTAGATCATAATTGCATATTTTTTTCTAAATTTATTAGTTCCCTGTCTAATCAATTTAAAAAATGTAAATCTAAAAAATTTGCTACCAATGCGTTTTTCCTAAATAAGTACCATTTACTTTACATTTTAGTTAATTTCATTTACTCATTGCTGGCAACGCTAGTCTTTTATTTAAAGAAATACTTGGAAGTCAGTTCAGTTTTTAGGGGATGATTTATAGGCCCACATAGAGAACTACCTACCGTGATGAAAAAATTTCAACAAAATTTGCAAAAAAAAAATTGAAATAGGGGTGATCGCCTAATGAGGTTACACATATTTTTACAACATATCGAGGGCGTCATATCAGAAGGGCGTACGAACCAAATCTCAAATTTTACAGGAAATGAAAAAAACGTTTTTGAAGATCGAGATTTAAAATGAATCTAGCAAAATGCCAACAAGTAATTGATTTCCGGCTCATGTGCCTTTCTTATATTAGGATGTTCGAGGAACGTGTATTAGATTTATTTCAATAATAGACGTATATATATACAAAAATATGCTTTATTAATACAGTATTAATACAGTATTAATACCTACTAAAATTTGTTACATTTAATTTCGGTGCCGTTTCCTCTTTATAAGTCGTTCTCATATTTGTTGTAGAGATGTCTCGTCATTAAATTCTTCATCATCGGAATTTTGGGAACTATTTATTACTGGCAAAGAGACATAAAAATATTTATATTCTGGAGGACTGCATCTTTGCCTTGGCACAAACAATAAATTGTTATACTTTAACTTATTTGTAGGAAGTTTTTCAGAATATAGCGATGTTGTAACATTGACACAGTTTTTAGGACACTTACGATACACCAAAACCAACACAAACTTTATCTACGAACATTTACAAGTTTAACCAAATTTAAGGTTATACGTTATGTGAAATATACCAAATCAGCTGAGGGCGTATAGTTTTGGTAAATTGGTTCATACGCCTAAGTAAAATGCGTTAGAATAGTGTTGATGTTTATGCATATATACGCCCTTCTGATATATTAAGAGAATTGATTAAATGAAGTCATATAACTTAAAAACCCAAAACCGACTATAGTGGCTCTTACGCCCTTCTGATATGACGCCCTCGATATATACAGTGAGCAGCTAAATTATGGAACAAATTAAGTAAAACTGTAATAATTTTTTTTATAAAAACGCCGAGACAGATCGATTTTATTTTGTTTTTTGATGTTTTTTGCGTGCGTTTTTCTACAGGGTGATTCCAAAAAGCTGATGGTTGGCATTTCCAAAATTTGGTTTAAATGAATAATCTTTTAATAGTGTTTGTTGAATACTACTTAATTTAATTTACAACTGTTATTTGTTCGTTCTTAATGTTTTAAACTTTTTTCCTTGCATTCTGTTTATTGAGCACTCTTGGTTATATCTCCGTTATTATTAAAGATAGATCCATCAATATCTACATTACTGTATTCATGAGACAACTTTCTGTCCAAATCTGCGTTTTTATAAAAAAAAATTTTTTCAGAATAAAATTTTTCTTAAAATTATAGCATTATGAGGTTTAAAATTTGAAAAATGGAATGTTAATATGATATTATATCAGTATGAAGATGCGCAAGATTTGAGATCACTCCTATTTAAATTTTTTATTTTGTAAATTTCATTTGAAACAGTATGGGTCCCACTCACCATTATCAAACTGTGACCATTTTAATTTTCGAGAGCCATCACTGCTTGGCGGTAACAATATTTACGTTGTTCTAATTAACACTGCCTTTGATTATTATTTTACTCCTAGCAGCACGTACTTGATATTAGATACCCTATGATATACTGGAAGATATCACTTTGATTAAAATTAATAAATTTACTACTTTATAAAAGTTCCATTAATTGCCAAATCATTAAAGTAGATAGGTTTTCTATAAATAATTTTTTTATATAAAAGGTATTAAATATGTGAATCGCATTGACTTTATTATAATAATTTTATAGAAAAGCCACCAACTGATCCCTGCAATCCATCTCCATGCGGAATCAACACCTTGTGCCGCACATCTGGAGAAAACGCCATATGCGAATGTCTGCCTGGATTCTTTGGAACACCATCAGCCGGTGGTTGTAAACCAGAATGTACTATCAGCGCAGACTGCTCTAGAGATAAAGCCTGTGTAAACACTAAATGTGTCGACCCTTGCCCAGGTGTTTGTGGATTCGAAGCAATTTGTAATGTCATAAACCACAGCCCTATATGCAGCTGTCCTGCACCATTGATAGGAGATCCCTTCACGCTGTGCCAGGAGCCAGTTAAAGAGCAACCACAAGATCCTTGCAATCCATCTCCATGTAATTTGAATGGACAATGCAGGGTGGTTAACGGATTAGCAACCTGTATCTATCCAGAATGTGTCATCAATCAAGACTGTCCAAGAGACAAGGCTTGTTACTCACAGAAATGTAAAGATCCTTGCAGAGACGCTTGCGGATTGAATGCACTTTGCCAAGTTATTAACCACAAAGCCATTTGTTCTTGTCCGCAGGGATATGTTGGATCACCCGAAGTCCAATGTAGAATTCTACCAAAGGAACCACCAGCACCTAAAGTAGAGTGTACCCAAGATTCAGACTGTACTAATGACAAAGCATGTGTGAACACTCGATGCTTGAACCCTTGCTCCTCAAGTCCAGGAATATGCGCTCAGAACGCTGAATGCCATCCACAACTCCACAGAGCCGTATGCTCATGCAGAGATGGTTTTACTGGAAACGCACAACACGCTTGTTACGAAATAGGATGCAGATCAGATTCAGAGTGTCCATCGACTCAAGCTTGCATCAACAGAGAATGTACCGACCCTTGCTCCTTCACATCCTGTGGACTTAATGCTCTCTGTAGGGCCGGTTCCAATCACAAAGCCAGATGTTACTGTCCAGATAACTTCCGTGGGGATCCTTTCGTAAGATGCGAACGTCCTGAATGTGTAACTGACGAAGAATGCCCGTACAACTTAGCCTGTAGAAACGAGAGATGCGAAGATCCTTGCAATTGCGGCGCTGGCGCCACTTGCAGAGTCACAAATCACCGAGCACAATGTTCTTGCCCACCTGGCTATACCGGCAATCCCCTGGTGTCTTGTACTAGGGAACCTATTAAGATACAACCTCAATGTAGAATGGATTCGGATTGTCCCAGCAAACTCGCTTGTTTCAGTGGTGTTTGCAAGAATCCTTGCTTTGAAACAAAACCGTGCGGATTGAATGCCGAGTGTATTGTCGTTGACAGTTTGCCACTAAGAACCATGTCATGTATGTGTTTGCCGGGATATGTAGGCGATGCAGATACGGAATGTAAACCAGGTAAATTTCTATGGTATACGTTTCTATAGTAATGCTGATATGGCACAGAATTAATTTTTTTGAATGGAATAAAACCATTAGATATACAATGTAAGAGGGTATGTCTAATTGTTGACATTGCCCACAATTTTAGAAGTTAGTGCAGTCAATTTTCTCAATAAGCATGCCTCAAAAAGGGGCAATTTTGTTACATAAACTTTTCCTCTTGCCCGTATGTCTAATGATAAAATATAATGCTGGGTATCCAAGAAATGTTGGACAATCTCTGAAAAAGAAATGTCAAGGTTATATAAATTTTGTTTTTATTAGGGTGCCCCTGTAGAGTTATCTGGAATTTGAAAATTGAGAATTGAAAATTTTATTATCTTAAAAACGGAGACAAAAATTAAGAAAGCAATTTTTTTAGGGACCAAGATCTAAATTTAACAGGAAACAAAAAAATTACAACGAAAAATTGATTTTCAACTCTCAGCTTCAAGTTCAGCTAATAACACTACAGGGTGAGCCCAAATAAACAAAAATGATATAATCTTTTGACATTATTTTTGAGTGGCCTATCTAAATTCAAGAGATTGCCTGGACACCCAGTATATATTTTTTATCTGTTCTAAGCTGAAAGATTTTCAATAACGATAACATTTATCGCTAATAATTTATTTTAGTTCCAGGTTCGCATACTGCTTTTTATCCATTACATATCCCTAGTCCTAAAATAACAGCAACACTGCTTATTTACATTAACATTGATATTCATTTTAATAAGTAACTATTGTAAATGTTTAACATTTTAGCTCAACCAGGCGAACCAGGTTGTAAGAGAAACGAAGATTGTCCATTAAGTGACGCTTGCCTGAACGCACAGTGCGTCAATCCTTGTGCCATTGGAAATCCTTGCGCCTTGACTGCGCAATGTACGCCTCTCAATCACAAAGCTATGTGCAAGTGTCCCGCTGGTTTAGAGGGAGATCCGTTCATCAAATGTTACGAAAAACCAAAGATTAGACCGGAGTGCTCATCTGATTCAGAATGTTCCAACGATAAGTCCTGTATCAACCAGGCTTGCCAGAATCCTTGTACCTTAGCCAATCCATGTGGCAGCAACTCCGAGTGTCAGACTCATTTCCACAGACCTACCTGTAACTGTCCTGATGGTTGGGTAGGAAATCCACAAGTGCAGTGTTATAAACGTAATAAATCAACGCCCTTTTGTAGTTCTTTTAATAAATGTTTTGTTTATTTCTAGCGGAATGTCAGTCCAGCAACGATTGCCCCTATGACAGAGCTTGTATCAACGAGAACTGCATTAATCCCTGCCTAAGCCATTCCTGTGGTCGTGGAGCAGAATGCCAGGTATTTAATCATCGTGCCCAATGCCAATGTCCCGCTGGTACACAAGGAGATCCGCTACTGTCATGTATAACTGGTATATGTCACTACAACGAAGACTGCGCTGATCACGAGGCTTGCGATCGTCTCAACAGAGTTTGCAGACCAGTCTGCGACGAAGATACCTGTGCCGACACAGCAATTTGCAAGGGTCAACAACATCAGCCAAAATGTTACTGTCCTTCAGGAACAACCGGTAATCCATTTATACAATGTACATCGTTGATTTCACCACCAGATCGACAAGTGGAATGTCGGTCCGATTCCGAATGTCCTACGCAAATGGCTTGTATCAACCAAAAGTGCATAAATCCATGTGCGAATGAAGAGGTCTGTAAACCTGATCAAGAATGTCGTGTCTTAGACACGTCGCCATTAAGAACAGTCATGTGTCAGTGTCCACCCGACACATTCGTGGATTCCTCAGGTCGCTGCGTCTCCATAAGACACGAACAGTGCTACGCAGACAGTGAATGCAATGACAATGAGAAATGCAACAGGGGAACTTGTGTCGACGCATGCAAAATAGACAGATGCGGCGTCAATGCACTTTGCAACTCTTTCAACCACCAAGCCATATGTACCTGTGCCCCTGGATATACTGGAAATGCTCATGTGGAATGTAACACTAGACCTATAACTCCACCTGTAGTACTGCCGCCAGAATGCTACGTTGATAGTGACTGTACCTACGATAAAACCTGTAGAGTTGGTTACTGCGTAAACCCCTGTAGAGAAGACAATCCTTGTGCTGTTGGAGCATTCTGTTCTGTCAATCGCCATGAAGCGGTGTGTAGATGTCCAGCGGAATACATAGGAAATCCGAAGATAGAATGCATAGCCCGTAAGTTATCCTGTCCCCACTTAATTTACAGATTTTAATGTACCACTTTTCTTTAGCAATTGGACCAATCGTTGGATGTACTTCAAATTCTGAATGTCCTAAGAGTGAATCTTGCATAAACCATCTATGTGCGAGCCCTTGCAACTGTGGCCCCAACGCCGAGTGTAAAGTCGTAAATCATTATGCAACCTGCTACTGTCAACCTGGATATTCTGGCAATCCACAGTTGGGTTGTGTTAAATGTAAGTCAGTTATTTATTTATTACTTCCAAACAGGCAACAATACCTAATTACAAGGAACTTAAAAACAGAAACATAAGATAAGGGGTGTTCTAGAAAAGAAGGCCAATCTAGTAACCACAGACTACTAGGTTCAAAATAATATATTACCTATAACAAAAATGATTCCATTAAATTATAGGATGTTAAAATAGAATTTTCAAAATCGTTTTTTCTTAATAACTGATTATTCGCGAGATGTTAACTGCAAATTTAACACAGATTGTAAATTATTTAATCTCATAGAAATTTTTTATTTATTGCATAGTTTTCGGGATAAATGCCACTTTTTAATAGACTACATAAGGAACACAGACTGCTTTATAATGTGCACTGAATTTAAGAAAAACTTACTAAATTTGTGATTTGAGAAAGTTTTCAAGAATAATTTTTAAAATAGACAAAAATTTTAAAAATCCATTCTTACCAAATTGTTGCAATAAATTTATGTAAATACTTACACATTATTATAGTAAAGGTGTTATATTAACACTAAAAATACACTGCTTCATTAAAGGAGATGTGAATACTTTTTATTAGAAAAAATGTTAATGTTTTGAGACATCGTTGTGCCGAAATGAGGATTCTATCATCAATATGCTCAATATTATTAATTCCTTCAGCATAAATAGTACTCTTCATACCACCCCGGAAAAGGACATTAATTGGATTAAAATCTGGAGATCCTGGTTATCATTGAACAGGACCAGATTAGCTTCATTCAATCCAGCAGTTTGGAAATAATTGATAACACAGCCACCCAAAAAAAGAAAAGTTGTCTGTACTTTTCATGCGACATATGTTATCTGTAGTATGTTTTCCTCCTGATCACGAATCCGGTGTCAGAATTGAGCTGTTACATCATAGGAATTTCCTAACCTCAAAAAACAAGTCAATAATAGGAAAAATTCACAAAAAAGTTGTAGGAAAAAAAAAAATTTTCGTCTATATTCAAATGTTCATTTATATGGTTAAGACCCCGCCGAATGTGAATCCGCTGTCAGAATTGATGAGTCTTTTCTAACCTCAAAAAAAAAAAAAAAGGTAAGATCACGAATTTTCAAAAAATAACAGATTCGCGCCAAATTTGGTATACAGGGTTTGGTTTCAGGGTCGCTGATCACGGATCTGAGGTCAATTTTTCAAAATTCAGTATGGCGGATCCAAGATGGCCGACCAAATTTTCAAAAAATTACATCGGCACCAAATTCGGTACACGGGGATTTTCGGGGTCGCTGATCACGGATCCGAGGTCAATTTTACAAAATTCAAGATGGCGGATCCAAGATGGCCGACCAAATTTTCAAAAAATAACATTCATACCAAATTTGGTATACGGGAGCTTCGGGATCGCTGATTACGTATTCGAGGTCAGAATTGCGAAATTCATTTCATAATATTTTTGTTTACTTTATAACCTGTTTTTCGGGAATTTTTGCTATTTTTGACCTGTTTTTTGAGGTTAGGAAATTCCTGTGATGTGATAGTTTTTTTTTGTGTGGCTGTGTTATTTAAGTACCGACCTTTCTATTATATAGAAAGCTGTTTATTTTAATCCACATATTGTGACGAAGCAAAAATGCTCCTGTTCAGTGGCCACCATAATCCCCAGATTTTAATCCAATAGATTTCGTTTTCTGAAGTAGTATGAACAATATTGTTTATGCTGAAGAAATTAATAATATTGAACATCTTAGACATATATTTCTAAGACTGGCTAACAAATTCTGGCATAAAAAAATGTGTCTTTCAAAACATAAGATTTTCTCTAATAAAAAGAGTTCCCATGTGCGCCCATGAAAACCAAAGACAGATAGAACACTTATTAAATTAGTTTCCGCATAATAAATTAGCCAATGCACACTAACATTTTTTTCTGTAATAACATCAACAAAAATATTGGAACCAGGTAACGTGCATCGTTACACGTCACTTTCGCATGGATAAATAATGGATTTACACAATCTCGGTTGTATTAATTTGTTATGAATTAGTTTTAACAATGTTTGCATTTGAGACTATATTAGGAATATTGTGTAAAATGTTATTTATAATCTGCTATAAGTACGCGTATGCCTTTGTCCNAAACAGTACCCTTCGTACCACCCGGTAAAAGGACATTCATTGGATTAAAATCTGGAGATCCTGGTTATCATTGAACAGGACCAGATTAGCTTCATCCAATCCAGCGGTTTGAAAATAATTGATAACAGCCTCCTGATCACGAATCCGGTGTCAGAATTGAGCTATTACATCACAGGAATTTCCTAACCTCAAAAAACAAGTCAATAATAGGAAAAATTCACAAAAAAGTGGTAGGAAAAATACAAAAAAAATGTTCGTCTATTCAAATATTCATTTATATGGTTAAGACCCGAATGTGAATCCGCGATAGAATTGATGTCTTTTTCTAACCTGAAAAAAAAAGGAAAGTACAAATTTTCAAAAAATAACAGATTCGCGCCAAATTTGGTATACGGGGGTTTCGGGGTCGCTGATCACGGATCTGAGGTCAATTTTGCAAAATTCAAGATGGCGGATCCAAGATGGCCGACCAAATTTTCAAAAAATAACATCCGCACCAAATTCGGTACACGGAGATTTTCGGGGTCGCTGATCACGGATCCTAGGTCAATTTTACAAAATTCAAGATGGCGGATCCAAGATGGCCGACCAAATTTTCAAAAAATAACACATTCGTACCAAATTTGGTATACGGGGGCTTCGGGATCGCTGATTACGTATTTGAGGTCAGAATTGCGAAATTCACGTAGTAATATTTTTGTTTACTTTATAATTTGAGTACCCAATCATGTTTTAATTTAATATAATTTTATATTTTTAAATTTTTAACAGCGAATTTTGTGAAAATCTGATCTCGGATTTGTGATCAGTGACCCCGAAAACCCCCGTATACCAAATTTGGCGCGAATGTGTATATTTTGTTATTTTTTGAAAATTTGGTCGACCGCCATCTTGTATTTTACAAAATTGACCTCGAATTCGACGCGAATCTGTTATTTTTTGAAAATTCGTGACATCTGACCTCAATCGACCCGTTTTTTTTTAGGTTAGAAAATTCTTCACATTCGGCGGGGTCTTAACCATATAAATCAACATTTGAATATTGAAAAAAAAAATTTTTGTATTTTTCCTAGCACTTTTGTGAATTTTTGCTATTTTTGAACTCGGTTGTAATAATTTGTTATGAATTAGTTTTAACAATGTTTGCATTTGAGACTGTTAGGAATATTGTGTAAAATGATATTTATAATCTGTTATAAGTATGCGTATGCCTTTGTCTTTTTTATCGGTTTATAAAATTATTGTTGAAAAAATTTTTCACCACAAATTATTAGGTACGTTTTAAAAATCATTGCACATCATCAGCACCCATAATCATTATATGCAGTCTATTAAAAATTGGTATTTATCTCGAAAACTAATCAATTATTGAAAAATTTCAAAGAGAGATTAATTGCAAAAGAATTATGTACCTGAAAATTGGATAAAAAAATTGATAGGTAAGATGTTATGGCAAGTCCCTCGAAAATCATCGAAGATATCAAGAAAAGGTGATTTTGAAAATATAATTTTTAATGCCCTGTATCTTTTAAAGGAAGGAATTTTTATATAGATAAGTGTACCTAAGTCATCTTATTTTGATCCCAAGAGTGTACAATTACCAGATTGGCGTGTCTCCCAGTACACCCTCTATATGTCCTAAATATAGACAACTAACAATTAATTTATTTTAGTGGGATGTCAGTCGGATAACGAATGTTCCGACGATAAGCAATGTTACAACGGAAAATGTGTAGATCCCTGCATTCTTCAAGATCCATGTGCCAGAAACGCCGAATGCTACGGAAACTATCACAAGGCAAGCTGTAGATGTCGTGACGGTTACGAAGGCAATCCATTCACTAGATGCGAACGCATTGAATGCCATTCAGACCCCGACTGCCCGAATAACAAAGCATGCCTACAAAGGCGTTGCGTAGATCCATGTTCTAGCATTGCCAACCCCCCTTGTGCACAGAATGCAATCTGTTATGCCCAGAATCACGCCGCAGGCTGTGTTTGTCCGTCACATTTACCAGAAGGAAACCCACTGTCTTATTGCAGTGCTATAACTAAAGTTCCAGGCAAACCAGAATGCGAATTAGATGTCGATTGTCCCAGCAAGTTAGCTTGTATCAGGAACCAGTGTGTCAACCCATGCGAAAGCATCTCTCCCTGCCACCCAACAGCCCATTGCAGTGTACTAGACACCGTACCAGTAAGAACTATGATCTGCACTTGTCCAGAAGGCTGGGTACCCAACGAAAGTGGAGAATGTCACGCGATTATCGTACCCATACCACCAGGATGTGTGTCTGATGATGATTGTTCCAATAATGAAGCTTGCATAAACCGTTTGTGCCGCAGTCCATGTGACTGCGGGGCTAATGCCAACTGTTACGTCCAAAACCACAGGGGCATATGCTCTTGCGCGGAAGGCTTTGAAGGCAATCCAACCATAGCTTGTCACACTGTTGGATGCCGAATAGACTCTGAGTGTGAATCTGGAAAAGCTTGCGTTAACGGACACTGTATTAATCCTTGTTTAGTTAAAGATCCTTGCGGAATAAATGCTGAATGCTACGTATATCAGAATCAAGCAGAATGTCGCTGTCTCAGCGGCTACAGAGGAAATCCGTTTGATAGGTGCATAGTGGTGGGCTGTACTTCCAACAGCGACTGCCCGAGTGACAGACAATGTATCAACGCCCAATGTATCAATCCTTGCATCTACAACAATCCTTGCTCATCTCGAGCTGAATGTAAAGTTCAGAATCACCTGTCCCTTTGCAGATGTCCACCAGGATTAATAGGCAACCCGTATGTTGATTGTAGGCCTGAACCACAGCCAGAGTGCCGTGAAGATAGAGATTGTCCGTCCAGACTAGCATGCTTGAACAGCAAGTGCCAGAACCCTTGTACTGTCTTAGAACCGTGTCGAAGACCATCCGAATGTCTTGTAGTGGACACCGTTCCTTTGCGAACCATGATCTGTGTCTGTCCTCCTGGTTATATAAGCAGCGGAAGTGGAACTTGCAATCCCGTAACTGCAGTTATAAAAGAAGCCTGTGTTAGCGATGGTGAGTGCCCTGCCGACAAAGCATGTTTCAATGGACTATGTAAGAACCCATGCACGTGTGGCCCACATGCCGAATGCCGAGTGAAAAACCACAAACCTGTCTGTACATGTAGGCAAGGTTACGATGGAAATCCCGAACTGGAATGCCACCGAGTTGGATGTAGAAGTGACGATGAATGCTCAGGCCAACACAGTTGCATTAACAGGCAGTGCGTACCGGTATGCGCAGCCGACGGCTCGTCTTGCGGAGAAAAGGCTACCTGTTACGGCTATAATCATCGTGCTATCTGCGAATGCGCACCAGGCCTGAAAGGCAATCCCAAAGTCTCTTGTATATTAGTCGGGTGTAGGTCAGACACCGACTGTCCTGGAAATAGAGCTTGCATGAACGACAAATGTGAACTACCCTGCGAGGTTGCCAACCCATGCGACGCGCCTGCTGAATGCAAAGTCTTCAACCACATAATGGAATGTGTCTGCCCACCTGGCACAGTAAGTGATGGAGAAACTGGCTGTTTGAAGGTCGAAGAAAAATGCAGAAAGGATTCGGACTGTCCTTCGCAATATGCTTGTATTGGAGGTGAATGTGTTAATCCGTGCCAATCTACAGAACCGTGCGGCATTAATGCTGAATGTACGGTACTTAATACAGAACCCGTTAGGACCATGATCTGCCAATGCTTGCCAGGGTATCAAGGAAATGCAGCGGTGCAATGTGATAAGAGTAAGTGCACTGATGCTTAATGCGTTTAATTTGTTTCAGCAACTAGTCTTGTACTATTAAAACTAGTTGTTAAAACAAATTATTTCTTAAAAGCAATCCACGTAAACATTTTAAAATAATTACTATATAATTTGACTTATTTTCAGTGCCTATATGTGAGATCAGAGGATTTGTCCAAACACCCGAAGGAGAATGTGTTTGCCCTCCCAATACAGCTCTAAACGAAAACGGTGAATGCGTTCCATGTCCTATAGAGAAAGGCCTTAAAGTAGATGAGAGAGGCAGATGCGTTTGTGCCTTAGAAAAAGGCTTTATAATAGATGAAAGAGGAAACTGCGTCTGTCCGATAGAATTCGGTTACCACCTGGACAACCGCGGAAATTGTATATCGAAAATCGTACCAAAATGTGAAGAAGACAGCGATTGTTTGGACCACAAGTTCTGTAACCCGGAGACTAAGACTTGCGAAGACCCTTGCCTGACGAAACAATGCGGTATTAACGCATTCTGTAATGCAACGAACCATCAAGCATTCTGCTACTGCATAGAGGGCTACGAAGGAAATCCTAATGAAAATTGCAGTAAGTGATTAATTTAAATATTATTGAAAGCATTGTACTGAGGGGACTGCCTAGCCGGGTGTCTTGGCCGGCGGATTTCGATCTGCCGAGGCAAGCATCACGGACGCAGGCTGGAATTTGGATGGGTGACCTAAGGCAGGCTCGGGGACGTGGCTGTGGCAGCCTACCAGAGACCTGGGTCGCCCAACATTTGCCGCATGCGTGTGGTCCCCAATAAATGCTAATGAGAACAGAGCAAAGAAAATCTCTATAACTCAGGACCATGCTATCATACATAAACTGTACGAGACTTTGCCACCAAATAGTAAAAGGATGGTTTGAAGAAAAGTACTCGAGTAATGAAGGAGGGTGTACAAAGGGCCTAATAAGGCCCAAGTGCCGCGGTGGAAAACAATTCCACCACCCTCCGACATACATACATACATACATACATAAGCATTGTACTGTTAAATATTTTTAGGTTTTGTACCACGGCACAGAACAACATCTTTCCCAAGACCTGATTTGATTGTCAGCTGTTTGTCCGATGGCGTCCAAGTTGAAATAACACTGTCTAGTTTAGAGACCTTCAGCGGAATACTCTACGTGAAAGGCCACAGCAAAGATGAGAATTGCAGGAGGATGATATCCACCCAAACAACTGATAGAACTGCATTTTTCAAGGTTAAATTTGGAAATTGTGGCCTTATACACATAAATGTAAGTTAAAACACCTCGAAATTATTTTATCCGATAAATACACGTTTAATAAATTTGATTAAAGGGAGAAGCGAGCTTTGTCTTGGTCATCCAGAAACACCCTATTCTCGTCACTACGGACGCACAAGCTTACCACATCAAGTGTGTATACCAAACTGGAGAACAAAATGTAACCCTAGGCTTTAACGTGTCGATGTTAACCACTGCCGGAACGATTGCCAACACTGGACCTCCGCCTACGTGCTTAATGAAGATCATAACGCCAACCGGCCAGGAAATTGATTCTGCAGAAATTGGAGATAACCTCATGTTGCAAGTGGACGTTCAACCCGGTTCAATCTACGGAGGATTTGCTAGGAGTTGTGTTGCCAGAACCATGGAAAATAGCGTCGAAAATGAGTATTTGGTGACTGACGAGAACGGCTGCGCCACCGACCCTACCATCTTTGGAGAATGGGACTACAATCCCGATACCCAGAGCCTGCAAGCCAGCTTCAACGCATTCAAATTCCCAAGCAGCGACACTATCAAGTTCCAGTGCAATATAAGAGTTTGCTTCGGAAAATGTCAACCGGTGAGATGATTACATATAGTTCAATTTTTAACTAAAATGTTTTTTTTTTTTTGTCTAGTAAATATATTTTGAAAAACCAATATGTTTCAGGTTAATTGCCGAGGTTACAATGCCTTTGGAAGACGTAAGAGAGCTATCGACTCAGAAAATAATACCGATACTGGAGGAGACCTATTAGCAGGTCAATTAAGAGAAGAAATTACGATTCAGTCCAATGCGATAATAACCTTTGAGAAACGTGAGGAACGCGGACCAGATTCCCGTATAGGTATGAAAAGAATTAATAAAAAATTTGTATATTTACATAAACACGATGTAGCTTTGAAGTTTATTTTCTAAAGCTTCATTAAATTTAAAGTACATATTAGTTTATTATGAAATTGGCTCTAATTCCAATTTAAAAATGAATTATAATTATTTGAATGTTTAGTATTCTGGGGAACACCTACTGTTTTCCAATAAAACATTGATCCCTACTTAAGTAGTAGTGTAACTTTAAAGTTACACCCTGTATAAATATAAATAATTGGTTATATTTATCTCAATACTGTCCATGCCTTCAGAGTAATTGGTCAAATTTCATATTGGGTGGCTAATATAGGAAAAAAGGGTGTTGAAATTTGAAGCTTTAAACTTAAGATAAATGATCCCAAACAAGAAATTCGACTCCACCATGTATTTTGATATTTTTTTCTCTACTAATAATTCCTTGTGTAGACTAGGCGGTATCTGTTTTGATTTGGGTGAATCGTATATCCACGGAGATTTTTGGCTTTTTGGCTTCCAAATATCACTAGAAATGAAAATTTTTCTATGCGCATAAAAAAAAAAACGTGGGCTTAACTTTTGGCGGCACAATATATTTAAAAAATTTGAAAAATGTCATATTTTTCTTCCTACTTAATTATGTATCTTTTCAAGAGTTGATTTTAGGCTAAAATGGAAGAGGGAAAAAAATGTTTGTAATTAAATTTTTTACAAAATATGACTAGTTACAAATCGAATGAATCATGATTATTATTGTAAAAAACGAAAAAATTCGCAAAAATGGGGTCAACAACATTACTTTTTAGGAAATTTTTAGGGGTCTTTAAATTGGGTCTTTAAATGGCCATAATCGCTTAAGAAATCTTCATGTTATGTAGAATCATCACACCAAATTTCATCAAAATTGGGTCAATAGATTTTGCATAATAATTTTGCAACCCAGATTTTGAAAAAAGATTTCCAATTTTTCAAAATTTTGCACAGCAAAAACCAAGACCCTTTGATACTTGAAAATGTAATCACATCTAGAAGGGTTCTCAAGCTTTCTTTTAGGAAATTTTTTTGGGGTCTATAAATTGGGTATATGACCTTCATACTTGGCTTAAGAAAACTTCATGTTATGTAGAATCATCACACCAAATTTCATCAAAATCGGGTCGATAGATTTTGCATAATAATTTTGTAACCCAGATTTTTAAAAAAAAAATCCAAATTTTCAAAATTTTGCACAGCAAAAACCAAGACCCATAGATACTTGAAAATGTAATCACATATAGAAGGGTTCTCAAGCTTTCTTTTAGGAAATTTTTATGGGGTCCATAAATTGGGTATATGACCTTCATACTTGGCTAAAGAAAACTTCATGTTATGTAGAATCATCACTCCCAATTTCATCAAAATCGGTTTGATAGATTTTGCATAATTTTGCAATCCAGATTTTGAAAAAAAAATTGCAAATTTTCAAAATTTTTCACAGCAAAAACCAAGGCCCTTGGATATTTGAAAATGTAATCACATATAGAAGGGCTCTCAAGCTTTCAAACGCTTTTTGAAAAATTCAAATCCGTCAATTAGATCTCTGGCGCTTGTTTAAACATTGGTCGAATTTTTGTATCATCTGTTCCATGGAAAACAAAAAATAATACAGCAAAGCAAATAAAACTCAAAAGAGAATTTTGTAGTTAACGAAAATGAAACAATGCAATGGATATCAATTAAAAGAAAAATAATTTAATTAAATACATTAACCATTATACAATATTCAACATGAAATAACATTAATTAAACACAAAACACATTAAACGAAGAACAACAAATATAAAACAACTAAAGAAACAAATTGTAACCGTCCTCTACTGCAAATGACACAGAAAGAGTATAATGCGTAAAAAACTGGGACACGAGCGCTAAAATGACATTTACTTGTTTTGTTGTATTATTTTTTGTTTTCGAGGCATACATGATTAGTCAAAATATGTTTGTTGTCAATTAAGTGACAGGGCATTGTTAATAATGCGGTATTGACTAATATTTTCATGCTTTTTCTGTAATACATGTTTCACAAAAATAGACTTTATATACATCGTTGAATTCAGAATATAATTCTGTACAATAATAAATAAAAAAAACATATATTGCCATTTGATAGAACCATTTCACATAATTTTTTGTTTTTTAAAATTAGACTATAAATGACGGAGTTATGGCTTGCAGCGTTTGTTAGGAGACAGTCTGTATGTGCAAAATGTGAAATTTTTTCATATTTCAACAGCCTGTATTTCAAACATTAAGCATTTCTTCATAGGACTTTTTATTTTGCCTGCTCGAGTTATAAGTTTGGTCAACTGCTCCTGTATAAAGTGAAGTTACATTTTACTTTAATAATTAATAATAATGAATTGTGTTTGTAGCGCCAAATGCTCAGCGAGTGGAAGACATCTGCGTTTCCATGATAGGATTCATCATAGCCCTGATAATCACTGCCCTACTGGCCTTGGTGGCCGTTGCAGTGGCTGTATCCTGTTGGCTGATGGCCTACCGCCGCAGACCCAAAGCCACGGGGCCACTACCACATCCGCCTGAGTTCCCTAACCCATTGTTCACCACTCCCGAGCCCATGGCGGAGCCAAGTCCAGACTACCTCACATAAAATAAAAACAATGAAAAGACTAGTTTTAAGTTCTGAATACTCCTGAATGTAGTATTTCATACCATATCAATGACATTATTTATGTATATCCAAGATAAACGACTTGCTCAGAGCAAATGAAATACTCGATTATACATTTTTTATAAACGTTTTGTAATTGTATATTTAATTTCGGGCGTTTGTAACATTTTTCCACTTCTCATATCCGTCCGAAGCTACTCACTCAACTGTTACTGCCAAAAACGAAGTGACTAATGTTACAAACTCCAATAGCGAATGTGTTGTTTTAACTGCCGAGAATGTGTACATCCGTAATTCCGTTTCCTAAGTTAGTATTGAATTTTATCGCACGGCTCGTACACATTTTCATCTATCTTTTCCACTGGCTGTTCTTTTGTTAGTATTTTTACAGACAAGGGAAAAACAAATATGGTGGAGGTCTTCTTAACGCTTTAACGAACCGTTTCCTAATTAATCGACTAGAAACAAGACCCTTGAATCTGTGTTATATACGACTATTCTACTTCCTATTGTACATATATACAAGATAAGTAATATTTTAACTAGCAGCCTCTGGAAGACGTAGGCTCCTTTAGATAAGACTATAAATATTATTTTTATGATGAACCTGTATAAAGTGTGTGAATGGTGATGTATGCGGGGCCGACACGGCCCGAGATTTTATTTTGGTGCTGACTGATTTTTTTCACGAGACAGTCAAATGTTTAGTCAATCATACTTCTTAATATTAAATAGTACCTATGTTTATACACTTGTAAGTCTCGAGGAAGCAAACTTTACTGTCTAATCAAAAATAGTCGAATTTAATTCTATTTTATAAAGAAAATGCCTGAAAGTTTTATATTTTATATATGATTTTTTTTTGTTTTTACTGCTATTTAACTAATTCATTATTTATGTTAATTATTTGTCTATTTTAATACGATGTTCTAACGATGACTTCTAAAATTGTCATACTTGTGATAATCGCTTCTTTAATAAAGTATTTGTTTAATAATACACTTGTTTTTACTTTTCTAAAGATATGTGTGGCGGCCTTTATTATATCTTTTGTACAGGATTATCCATTTTCTCCTTGGGGAAGTAAGGTTAAAAAGAAAAATACACTAAATATTTGAATTCCGATGAAATTTTTATTTCATAATAAAGTTTGGACTATGCCATTATACGTGGAAAACAATATCATTCAAATATCCTCCACAGAACCGTTTGCAGGAGTCAATCCGTTTGTGGTAATTTTCGAAGGTACTTGATGTATCTCGTCCTTTAATTGCTCCAAAGTTGTGAGATTGTTCGCATAAACACGGTCTTTCGTATAGCCCCATAAGACGAAATCCAAATGCGTTAAATCGCAGGATCTTGGTAGCCAAGCGACATCGCCGAATCTCGAAATTACGTGTCCTGGGAATTTCTCGTGCAATAGAGCCATAACTAGCCGCGTTTCTGGCATGTAGCCCCATCTTGGTGAAACCACATATCGTCCAGATTAAAATCTTCAATTTCAGCCTAAAAAAAGTCATTGATCATGGCGGCATACCGCTGAGAATTGACGGTAACGGTGGCTTCTTCGTCATTCTTGAAGAAATACGACCCGATGACGCCGCTGGCCCACAATGCACGCCAAACAGTCACTTTTTGGGGGTGCTCACTACCCCAGATTTGGCAATTTTGCTTATTAACATAGCCACCGAGCGTGAAATGGGCCTCATCACTAAAGAAAATTTTCTTCGAAAAATCAGGATCCGTGGCCTATTGTTCTAGCACCCAACTGGTGTACTTACGGCGCAATCTATGGTCAGTCGGCTCGAGTTCTTGTGTGAGTTGGACTTTATACGGATGGAGATGCAGGCCCAAATGCAAAATGCGCCACAATGTGCCATATGATAGGCCCAAATGCTGAGCTCGGCACGAAATACAAAGATTCGGGTCATCGTCAACACTTTCACTCACAGCATCTATGTTCCCAATTGAACGGGAAAATGATGATGCACAGGTCTTACGATGTCTCTTCGAATTTCCTCACTATATTGGTAATTGTTTGCTGGCATGGACGATTATGTCTACCATAATCTCCATGTAATGTGCGAAATGCAGCCACCAAAGATCCACCATTTTCGTAAAATAATTTAAAAAATTTAACGCGTTGTTCGGCCGTAAAACGTTCCATAATGTGAAATGGCAAACCTTTAACTAAACCAGTCTGGATGAGAGTTACATTTGACAAATATCAAATGGCAGGGCTTTACTATCCCAAGCTCGAAATGGATAACCCGTTAGTTAAGGCAAGTTGACCTGGGTCGCGAAATACAATCGTTGCCAACACTTTGCTAAACAAGCACTTGTTTAATAGAATATGTAAATTAAACATGTTGGATATTTTGTGATTGGGCAATGAAATATTAAGCTTGTGCAAAATTAGCAGCAAGAGCCTTGTGATTAACTAATCAGAAACTTAAAAATATTAAAAAAAACCTTTCTATGGAATTTACAATTTTTCTTTTAATGCAAGATTAAAAGGAGATTAGATCTTCAAATATTTAAACCTGAAATATATAGTGTCTTCAAAACGTTAGGAAATCTCGAAACTAGAAACTAAAATATGTCGATGGAGCCAACAACTTTAGTCCAAACTTTATTGCTGGATTTAGCTTTTGGCTAAAAATCGGTATACGAGGGTTTTTTGGTATGACACATAGGAATCTGAAATCAGACTTCTATAGGGCAACACGTACATCACTTTTGTAAATAACCATTCATATATTTTTGTACCATCCTGTATGCAATTATTGATGGAAAAATATTAATCATTCATCTTTTCTCAATAAACAAGATGTACTTACTGAAAGTGAATAGTTTGCAATACATTGCTTTTCAATAAAAGTTATCTATGTGAATCTAAAAATTATCCCCTAAAAAACCAGTGTGGATATCATACTTTGTTATCAAAATATGACGTTTCATTTTCACCAGTTGCCAGTGGTAATATCTTAATATTTAGTACGCACTGTACGCATATGAGCGTTTGACAGTTTTCTTGAACCACAATGTATATTTTTTATCGTATGTTGTATGAAACAACGGCCACGATTGTACTACACTTTGTAAAATTGTGGTTGTTCTCATACTTCACTAGACACCTCACAGCTGCAGCCAGGGAGACAGAGCATTTCTTCTCGACAGAATTTGCCCTAGATGCAGCAAAATGTTTAATCTGCCTAGAACTAACCATGGTTCCCAGGCTAACCATCCTTCAGTTCCCAGATTTGCACTTCCATTTGCCTACACTTCTGATCAACTTACCTCCTTAAATAACCATAATTAAGAAAGACCATGTCGGCTTTGCCCTACTCACATAGTGATCTGATCATTGATTATATAACTATATTATCTAACCATACACCATAAACTGAAACTTGAAATGCTTGTCAGATGTCACAGATTACACTCTGCCACTCTGCTAAGAAAAACAAACTCTAGAACTATAACAATTTTAAAGCAATAAAAGATTTTTAAATTCACTTCTAAAACAAATACATAAAGAAATTATAATTTCTTTATGTATTTACCCAGTAAATACACAAAGCAACGCAGAAAAATAAGAGCCAGTGAAGGCTGCCGCCTAAAAACAGCACCCTTTTTGGACGTTTTGTTTCAATTATTTAACAAGAATCGAATTAAGGCAATGGAACGGTTTGTCAGTGAAAGTTCAACACACCAGCGAAATAATATGTTATAACTTCGACCAGAACAGCACCAATTAAATAAAATCCTACCTTATGGATTGAGAATAGGTTAACTTCCGATCTGTAAATTAAGAAATATTAAAATGTGTGCCTCGAGGGTTTATTTTAAGTCCTATATTTTCGTTAATCAATAAATCAATGATTTAATTACTTGTGAACCAAACAGTGATGCCATTTTATTTGATGATGGCACTACCACAGTTAGAATACATCCAGAAACACTTTGCTCTTAGCATATTTTCACTCTGACATGTCTTATATTAAAATGGGGCCTTTCAACTGGCAAGGGTGTTTTCAAATTAGAGGCGTATTCGAGTTATTACAGATTTAAACTATAGAGACCGTTGTAAAGCCAGATTCGCTGAACTGAACATTTGAGCAGCATCTTGTGTCTGTATTTTATACCGTTTATTATACATTAAGAATAATCTGTCCTTTTACTTGACACACAGCAGTAAACATTACTATGATACCCGTCATAAGAATAATTTGAAACCATTGTACTCGAGACTTTCAGAGAACCATTGTACTCGAAATTTAAAAAAAAATATTTTTAGAATGTAGGATTAAAAAAGTAACTGTAATGCTGTTATTTTTATGAAAGAAATACACGACCAACAAGGGGTGTTTTTTTGACGTCGAAGCAGGTAATTGGTATTAGCAATTTTTTTTCCAAAAAATCAATTACATATTCTCATTCAGCATCCCTTAAAACGTCTTGCCATCAAGTTTCATCAAATTCAATATATCTTTAGATGAGCACTAGTTGGCCGTGTATTCCATTAATAAAAAACAGCAGTATCACAGTTATAGTTTTTTTTACCCTACATTCCCAAATAAAAATTTTTGAAATCGGCCAAAAAATAAAGAAGTTACAGGCTTGTATCACATTTAAGAGCGACAACCTATACCGTGCTTTCACCGTACAACGCTACATAAGGAATTAGCTTCGTTCGAGTTAGTAAATTCGGACGGGTGGGGAGCGCTGGGTGCTGCAAGCTGACTGATGTGAGATGTGATCACGTTCGCCACAGCGCCACACGCGGAGATCAACATCCCCACCGCTGAAGCCGCACGAGTTTGACTGACGCACCTCCTATGTAGTGTTTTCCCGTGAAAGCATGCTATATACGATGGGATAAAAATGACCAATATCTCGTGTGATTACTCGATTATTAGAAGTGCTCAAGTACTAATAACTAATTATCAAAATTGCTCGATTATGCCCATCACTAATCTTGACATCGGAAAAGTGAACTGATTCATATAATAAAATTTTAGTATAGGTACTTAATTTTACATCCAGGCCCCAATTTCTTGTGCCATGCATTCAAACAATTGTGAGGAGCCATATACTTAAAACACCTGTTAAAATGATCCATCTGATTTGATTGTCATTTCCAAAAATTCCTACAGGAAAACACGACAGATATTATTTTTTAGTGATGGCTAACTGACCAGTCACTTAAGAATTGGTAACTTACCAGAGAATGCGACGTCATTTTAGGTCATTTTCAAATTTCGAAAATTACATTTCTTTTGACTGCACGTTTCCTGTTTTTGTAATTTATACAGAACCTTCATAAATGAATAAAAAGCCACATGACTGTGGAAATTAGGCAACCAACATTGCACGGCTGGTACCGTCAACTAAAAATCCCTAAAACTTAGTGTCACCAATATTAACGATTCGTTTACAATCAACAATGACACACCGTTGTGTCTACGCTCTAGATAATGTGACCGCAGATTCATTGAATAAAATTTAGTGAAAAATTACACCAATTTTACTGTTAGTTGCCAACGTGAAAGAAACAAAATTACTGTTCCAAAAATTACGCCAAGTGGCTTGTAATCATTTATGAAGGGTTTGTAGTACCTGCCCTCTTATTTTGATTGCATGTCCTACGTACCAGATATTAGAAAAGCTAAATTGCGTGCAACTTTAACCATTATTTAAAAAATTCCGACTGCACAAAAGGTTACGTCTTGCCAGTAAATAATGATTTTAATTGAATTATTCAAGTGTACAGACAAATTTTAAGTATACCATGGTCATTTGCAAAATGCAACCAGTCACCTGTAGTCACTGACTGGTCATTGTTGGCAAGTGACTGCCATCACCAGTTTTCTTAATAATTTCTTTTAAATTTTTCAAAAGCGTCACCCAATATTTTAGAAACGGGATGTAGGATTGGCAAAATTAAAAACACATTTTGTAATTTTTTTTTTTTTCAATATAATTCTCTCCCTCAGGTTAGTCCTGGGCTAACAAAATCGACCGCAAGGACTCATGTAATACTTAATATATTACCATAATATATATACATAACAGCAAAATTTCAATTCACAAACAAAAAATAATTAAGTAACGTTGAAACCCATTCAACACAATCAGTCAAGTCTCGTCATCATCACCACAGTAATTAATTAATCGATACTAATAGATACAAAATAAAAAAAATTACGATAAAAAATCTTTTACACCTTACAGGGGGCCATCATCTCGGAAAACAATGCAGCACAATATTAGCGACGAGAGTTCAGTACGGTCATATAAAAAAAACGAGAGGAAGGCACGATACACTGCCTTGTTTCCATAGGGCAGAGAAGTTATGACACAAAATAAAAATATATAAAACTTTAAAAATATAGGTATATGTATACATAATATATCCGTTAACGGAATAGTATGCACGGCTATGCATAATAGGCTTAAATTATATCTACCGCAATATACAGATGGAGTGAACATATTGTACAGCTAACTAAATAAAATCGTAAATATCATAACATCTCTACATTATTAGTGCCAGTAGTAGGCCGCATGTCCACCCAGATCAGGGAAGACATAATATCGTCAAAGAAACAGCTTGCGTTGGTTTTATTTCAGTTACCATATCGAGAGTCCAGTGTCGTCGCCAGGCCTATTAATGAATGCAGCAAACAGTGAGGGAAGAGGGTTGCAGATGCAACTAGCTTACAACTATGATTAGTTAGTAACTTAAGGCCGAAACTCCAAACTCACCTCCTCTCCGCTCTGCCTCCTAACCTACATGTTTTGGCAGTGACTTGATTTAAATCCGACATGATTATTACCCAATTAATAAACGGCCCCTCGTTCCCGAGCTTGTAAACCCTTCACTAGAGAACTACACACACTTTACATCGGCTCGGAAACCGAGGAATTATGGAGAGGATACCGAGAAAAACTAATACATATATCAAGCATATCACATGATAGGAGGTGAGCGGAAGGCGGCAGAATTTTAACGGCGAGCTCCCCAGGCTCCGCCGATGGGTGCCGGTGCCGCTTGAGGCGGCTCGGGACCGCGGCCGAATGACGGGAATTCCGTCACGCTGGCTGTGTTGGGAGCCCTCTGTTCCCACGGACCTCCCTGAACCACGAACCCGTTATTTTGCGGGTCTCTACCGCGTGACGGTGCGTTTTGTGCACCTGCGTCAAATAGGATGTTGAGAGTGTGTTGCTTTTCGCGGGTTTGTTGTTCCTCAACATCCTGCAACTGCAAGAAATGGCGAATTAAACGTTTTAGTTTTTAACTGGATTTAATAGAATGATAAGTATTGTTAATTTAAATCAATTATTCTATAATGCATGGGCCCACATATATTTCTTCATTTGTAGTAACATATAACATATATGTTTGAACTACTGTTATTTTATATAAAAAAATTGGATATAATCAATATGATTTTGTTTTATTATATGGAAAAATATTTAAAAAATGTTAATTTTGTAGTCACAAGTATTGATTTGCAACTTGAACAAATAAAAATTGCTGTTTATAATTTGGTTAAAGGCCTTTGATTAAAGACCAATTTTTTTATACATGGATAAAATGTCTAACAATCTGTTAAAAATTAATATAACCGTCTACTAAAGCGAAGATGTTATACAAACAAGTTTATTTAGATAAGAGTTATTTGGCAATTGATTGTCAGGGTACATTTTTGTTACTTACTTTTCCATGTACATGAGAAAGCAGTGTAGAATTAACAAAATTTTGTCTAAATGATTTTAAAACAAAAAAATTTTAGAGCAAAGTAAAACCTTAAAAGTTATACAGGGTGTGGCGTGTATAATCTATAAAAATTAAACTACAGCTTCCTGATGATATTTGTAATAGAAAAGTCTTATACAAAAAAGTTCTATATTTGCGTTTTTTTTTGTAAATTAAAGTTCATTTATTCAACGAAAATGAAGGCCAACCCTGTGTTACTTATTAAAAACTTTGGAAATGTTTTTATGTGGCTAGAGATGCAACCTTATAATTTAAGTCGGTATAATCTAACACTAGTAATACTAAAAGAAGGTTAGGTTACATTATCAAAAAATTTGTGCAGTCGACTGATTTTGTTTTTGTATTGAATTCATTATTCACTTAATTATTAAATATTAAGCATCATCCATCGACCCATCAGTGTTAAAAAGTGAAAGATTCTAGGCAAAAGTTTTTATCTTGTAATTCCACGATAGTGATAATGTAATTTTTATAAAGTAAAAAATAAGAATAGCGTGTTGATTACATTAAAAACGAGATTCTTATTTCTTACTTTGCTTAATTTTTTTGTTTATGTATAAACTAGTTTTACAATGAACCTAGAAAACAATGCATTTACTATTTCTGAACGTGTCGATATGGTGTTAGAGTACGGTGCAGTTGGAGAAGATGCGCTTGCGGCAACTAGGTTTTTCCAGGAACGATGGTCACAACGTTACCCCCCCCCAAGTTCAAATATAATCGGGAAGTATTATTCCTTGAGGAAAAGGACATAGTCAGCAAGTGAACATTAATGTTGAAGATGCAGTGTTGGAAAATCTTAACAAAGACCCCACAATTAGAACTCGACGACTCGCATAGCAAGTAGGAACCTCATCTCGTACCGTACATCGCATTTTAAGGCGCCAGCTGTTGCACCCCTATCATCTGCAACCAATTCAACAGATTTTACCCCCAGATTGTGATCAACGAATGCATTTTTGCAGATGGTTTTTACGGCAATGTGCCAATCAAGTAGACTTTCCTGCTTATGTCTGTGTAACAGATGAGGCGACATTTACCCATGATGAAGTGAATTTCCATAATATGCACATATGGGTCGATGAAAATCCTCACGTGATTAGGGAAACTCATTTTCAACATCGGTTCTCATGATAGGCGATGTACTTGTGGGTTCCTTATTTCTTTGAAGGACGACTAAATAGACCAACATATGCTGACGTTTTGGAGAACCGATTGCCTGAATTATTGGACGATGTGGCATTACAAGATCGGGCACGTATGTTTTATCTTCAAGATGGGGCTCCTCCACACGGTACTCAAGAAGTAACGACACTTTTGAATGACATGTTTCCTCAGCGATGGATTGGACACTTTAGTCCTGTGCCATGGTCACCGCGATCACCCGATCTAACTCCAATGGACTTTTATCTTTGGAGTCACTTGAAGTCATTGGTTCACAAAATTGGGTGCGTCGGTGCCATGCCTGTATCTGCGCTAATGAGGATCAATTGCAACATTTTCTCTAGAAATGGCAAGCTTTATTTCATTTTGTTCCATATTTTAATGGAGTTTGTTTAGTGCACGCAGTTCGGGACTACAGATGCTTGGATGTGGTTTTGTTTGCGAACTCTTGCAATAACAATAATGCATTTAAGATAATAATTACTATTAATTATTATAAAATATCAGTTTTTTTTTAAGTTTTTTAGTTTGTACTTTTGCATTGAAAAATTCCCCAAAAATTGAGAAATATCTTTCTATCTTTCAACGACGATTCCTTTACGAGGCTGGTCTACAGCACTTAACTCATCGTACAGCACACGGATAGGACCGTTTCAGAGAAAATATTTTGATCCACAACTTTAATTCACGGAAAAAAAAGCAAAAATATAACTTTTTCGTATAAGACTTTTCTATTACAAATATCGTTAGGAAGCTTGAAATTTTTATAGATTATACACGCCACACCCTGTATAAGAAAATGTCGGTAAAACTGGTGATGGGACAGCTAAAACAGTATTATGGTAGTTAGAGACAGAAATATTTGGAGTAATTCTGTGGCATTAAACATATTAATGTGATGCTGTGGAAATTAAATAAAATAATGTTTTAGAATTCTGTTGTTTCTGAAATATTTGCGGTAATTCTTTAATACCTCTAATTTGTAAAAAATGAATACCGAGGATGATTATTGTTAGGGAAACTTTTATTTTTAAATTTTATGAGATCATATGCAGGCCCATTTGCAAAACCATTGATTAAACCAAACTTTTGACAAAAAAAAATAATTAGATTAAAATATTTAGATAAATGCTACCCTTAACTCATACAATTTAATAATCATCAATAAATATTTAACATTACACGTTTACCTTATCAAATAATATCAATAATAGTTCAAGGCATGCATGTACTTACATATTCTTCTTCTAAGTTGAGCAAGTGATCGCAGGCCTCGACGACGTTCTCCTCTTGACCTGTAACCACCACCAGGTTGGGATCAGGATCGTCACTTCGAGGGAACTTAATGTCGACGTTATAATCTTCCATAATCTTTCTGATGTTGCGTCCACGCGACCCAATCAGCCTGGAGTGGACGCGGGAGTCTATGGCGATCTCCTTCCTGATGAGTTCATTCAGTTCGTTGACAATCTTCATGATGTCTTCCTTGGCACTGTAGGTGTTGTCCTCATAGCCGGTGATGGTTATAATGTGCTCTTCGGGGTCGCCTGAGAGTTGAAAATTTACATGGTCAATATAACTAAAAATATCCCATTCAATTATAATCATCGATGTTCCCTGATAGTCTTGAACTTGGCTTCGTACATTATTTAATTTTATGTTCGTTTCATTATTTTTTCAATGAGTAGTTATACTATTTATGTAATAATATAGTATGTATAATATTTTTTGACAAACATGTCTGGATTTGTAAGCATTTTGCGTAAATGTTACAAACAAAATTTTTAAGTACGAGTTCTACAAACAACTTAAACGCAGATTTGATGACATTTTTAGATGACATTTTTAGATGACTCATTTTGACAAATAATTCAGTAATAATTTTTTAATAACGTTTTGTTTCCCCTTACAATTGTTATTTTCAAGTGAATAAATACAGTCGATCGTTTCCATCATTATTTTGCAACCTAGACTGTAAAAATTGTATTTTAAGGATTATGTTCAGTTCTCAAATAGTTATCTATGCATCTAGGCCAAAAAAATTTTTTTATGGCTCGTCCATGCTTTGCTGAACAAGACATTAGCCAATGTCAATAAGCTGACAAGATCATAAGAGTACAAATAATTTTACTTCACTTCGTACATCAATCAGCCCTATTCTGTAACTTGCATCGAAATGCTCAGATCGAGTTGAAATGTTTGCAATTTGTAAAGTTCAATATCTATCTATCGACAGAGTTTGACCGATCGACGTCGATTTCTACCAACAACTTCGATAGTAGATGTCGAAACAAGTTATAGAATATCGATGTTGCCCAATTCCGATTTGATGGGTCGATCTTGATTCGATTTTATACATTTCTATTCGATTAGACGGTACAGAATAGGGCTGAATATCTTCCCAATTAGAAATATTTCAGAAAGAAATCTCCCGTAGACTTATGAATAAAAAAATTGGCAGATATCTGCGCAACTGTTTAATATATTTTCTTAAATTTACCAATATTTTAAGTTTTAAGTAGTGATGGGAAAACTCAAATGAAAAATCGAGTACTATTCGATATTTAAAAGTACTCGCTGTTCTCGGATACTTCCTGAAAGTTCTCGATAGTTGCCAGGCTACCTAGCAAATACCATGCGAAATGTAAGTTTTCGAATGCAGGAAATATACGAATGAATTTAAATTAACTACTAATTTAGCGTATTGAATGAATTGTAGGAATTTGAATACTTTGTTTTTGGTGGTTAACAAATAGTTCTCAATGGAACACACGGATGACTTGTAAAGAGAAAGAATTTCAGGTATTCTAAATATCTACATACATATTGTTGATGATTTTAAAAGTATTTAATGGAAACAAAAGAACATACTGAAATAATAAAACTTGTTTGTATACTTAAAAACAGCAAATAATTTTCGATTCTTAGTAGTCATACACGGTGAAACTTTGAGAGGGGGATAGTTTTTTAAGGGTAATAGTATGTGTTCCCTTGAATACGAATCTGAAATTCTTTTTTTTTAATCAAACAAATAGTCAAGTTATAATAAATTTTTTAAAATGCACTTTAATACTTGTGTAGGCCCCCCACTGTAATATTCATGTACTACAAACACATGAATTGTAGACAACTTACAGTGCAGGTGAAGGGAGATAGTGCAGGTCAACGGTGACGAAACGAAGAGGGTAAGTTGTTCCACATTTGATGACAGTACATCTAACTGTGAATTTGAATGTTTTTCATCACTGGAAGCCATCAATACACTATTTATTTTTGTGTACATCATTATTGATTACTGCTCGAGTTTTTTTGCTAGGTTACTTGTAAATTATCGTTTGTGTGGCGAACATCTAATCAACAAAAATAACTCGTGGCGAATGGTGTGTAATTGTGCATGCACTGCGACTAAAGCGCGCCGTTATTTGAGGTTACACTAGCTTCTCCAGCGGCGGGGTACGAAAATTACTAAATTTAAAAAAAATTTAGTTTTTACGATGTAATTAAAAAAAAAAACTATTGATATGTGTTTCTAAAGGTCAATGGAAGCCTCTGTATAAATATGACCCCCACTCAAAGTTACACCCTGTATAATCACTCAAATTTTAAAAATATTCGGAAACAGAGAGATTCTTAAGAATACCCAATTTTGCCCATCACTAGTTTCAAGTGAGGATATTGTCAGAAACAATTACTCTACTGGTTATTTGCCCCGACTAGCATTTAATCCTGCAATATCATTATTTAATGCCAGGATCACTCATAATGATTAGAAATAAATCTAAGAAAGCAAAGAAGAAAAAGAATATTCAACAAATGGCAAATTACTAACAATTACAAAATTAATACTTGGGATGGACATGAGGTAAAATTTCTATTTTTATATTTTATTCTGGGGTTCGTTTAGTGATTTTAATCTCCGTAAAAAAACTTACCCTTTTTAGGGAAGTTGATCTGCACATCATGGTCCTTTCTGATCTTGGTAATCACGGCTCCTCGTTTCCCTATAATTTTGGGATGGTAGTCAGGGTTGACTTCAATTTGCAGCACAAACGACCTCAGTTCCCGGTTCTTCCTGTCCGCCTCCAATTTCTTCACCCTATCCAGCAGGGCTTCTTTGGCACGTTCTACGTTGGCCGCGGTCCCAGTTATCTTGATAATATCCTCTTTGATGTCGGGTGGCGACAATACGATATGGACGTCATACTTATCCATAAGTTCCTTAACGTAATGTCCCTTCTGGCCGATAATAGAGCCGTGTAAATCGAAGGACACATCCACATTGATGGTGATGGGCACCAAATCCAGAAGGGCCTGTTTAGCTTGGTGGCAATTGCTCTCCTTGCCGTTTATCCTGATTACGTCACATTGGCGCACCGGCTCAGAGTTGATGTCGCCGTTGACTTGTTCATAATTGGGGTATTCCTCAAGGTTGTCCCTGTCGGGGAACTTGATCTGTACGTCAAAGTCGGAGGTGATGGCTTGGACCTTATGACCCTTGGCACCCATCACGGTCCTGTGGTACTTCTGAGGAATGATGCATTCTATGGTCACCATAGACTCCAGATCGGCGATGATCTCGTTGATCCTGGCTTTGGCAGCTTCGATGCACTCTTTGGGACCTTTTAAGACGACCCTATCGCTCTCCACTCCCGAACGGGGGAAAGATATCATGACACCACCGCAGTCATCTGCAATTTTATGGAGAACTTCTCCACGTCGAGCCACAAAGTGTTTGTGGTGGCGGGGCTCTACTTGCATCACACTCTCGATGATGTTGTCCTGTAATGGAAATTTGAACAGATATTAAGTACGTTGCGGTACATCCAACACAAACTCACGATATCTTTAATTGTAGTTTCAAGAGCGGCTTTGGCCTCTTCTACCGCGTCCTTCCTGCCGATGATTGTGATGATCTCGCGATCCTCATCGTTGTTAGAAGGAAAAACTATCCTGGCACCGGTAGAATCTCGGATTTTTTTTATATTGGCACCATTTTTACCAATAAGGAACTTGTGGTGTTGAGCTTTGGCACGTACCTGAAAATTCCATTGTTTTGAAACCGGTGGCGATAAAAAATCTTTTTTTAAATCAGTAATCCACACCAAAAGTGGTTAAATTCAATAATCCAGACTATATTCTATTAACCGGAATTATAGTTTATTGCAGATTACAGGGTTTATTTATTTCCATATACAGGGTGTCTCATAATTAGCTGCCAACCCTGAACAGGCCGATTCTATGATCAAAACTAAGTAAAAAAGTTCATATGAACATGGGTCCGGAAATGCTTCCTAAGGGCACAGGGACCCATTGAAGAGGGAGGAATGGAAATCATTTTTTTGCAATATCTCTCAATCGCGTTGTGATAAATGAATGAAATTTGGTATACACAGCTAAATTTTGATGAGCAATTTGATGGACTAATCCATTTATTTCCACAAGGTCCATTGGGGAGGGTACGGGGGGGGGGGGCCTTGGTACTTTGCATGTGAAACTTTTTCATCTTTGACTTTTTAACAAATTGGACAGCAAATTCCGTTTTCCCGAACTGTTTTACAGTTCGGGAAAACAGGCAGTAGGCTGTTAAAAAAAACTAATGGCCAATGTTTGGCGAAATGAGAATGTCCAAATATGTCTCTTATTCCTTTTAATACATTTATTTTATTACAGTTGAGCCGGCGATTCTTTATGTACACGTCACTAAGCGTAATTAATAAATAACTAAGGTTAAAAAAACAAATTTAAATAACTAAATGTGTTCATGAATTACTGTTCCTTTAAGAAATAATAATTATTCACATTTGTATAATGAAAATTCGTTTTATAATTTTATGCATGATAACAATACTTTAAAATTGTATTGAAAAGTTATTTGGAAATTAATAAAGAATCTTTGACAGAACGGACATAACCTCAATTATTATCGTTCTTTTGATATGTGCATGGTCTTCTTCTTTTCACGATAGAAAATAATTTTCAAGTGGCTGATTTGTTATGACAGCTTGACAAACATAGATAAGAAATACATATTTTTGAGGTTTGAGATAACGCACGGAAATCCACCAACTACTGCACAAAATGCTAATCTGGCAGGTTGACAGGTGACAGCACAAAGGACTGTAGCAGAAGTTGCAGGAAACGTCGCTAAACAAATACATATCTGCGATAAACGACAATATGTCTGTCTCTTTTTCATTCATCATACACAATTATTAATTATCACTGTCGGAACTAGCATCAACTGCATAATACATGAAGGTGATTGCTTGTCTTTTTCTATTCGCTACTCTACGTTAATCGATTATTATTGATTGTTTATCTTAGCTACCTGTGCATGGTCAGGACGTGAACGTAGAGAATCGTCGGCACAACTATATCTACCTTAGGTAGGTAATTTTGCGACATGCGTAAAGTATTAGTTTTGCTGGAATCAAAATGGAATTTATATAGTGTAGTGGTGTTTTAGTAAGTTTAATTTTATTGTAATACAGGGGTCGGCATAAGTCAGGCAACCAATTTGCATTAAGAGCATTAATTTTCATTCTGAAAATGCGTCTACTCGATGAGCACGTGTTATCATATTCATGACACAGACACAACTGTCTGAAGCACGAACATGCTTCGTTTTAATCTTTTCCGACACCGCTGCCAGACTTATGAGCGTTGCCGGACTTATGCCGATTTTTCGAGAGCATTGCCTGACTTATGCCGACCCCTGTATTATAGTGAAGTTTAGTGAAAATGAAAATTACAAAAAAAAAAGGTTTAAAATAAATTCTGTTTTCCTCTTTACAAATAAAAAATATATTACTTTCGTATTGATTGGTGTATTAAAAAATTTGAAACAAATTATGGACTAACAAGAAGGTGACATCGATGCTTTTTTTTCAAAGATATTCCGATATATTAATTCCTGCAGGTGGTTTTCGCTCCCACACCGATCTCAAAAAAGGGGCATTTTTCATACACTAAGGCTTTCTTTGCAAGCCGCGCAGCCTTCCTTCCTTTATCCGTTTGGCATATTTTGAAGGCGATTTCTTAACATCTTCTGAATGAAATTTCACTTTTCCAGAAGTTCCGCAGCCAAAAACGCAAATTTTTACTGTGGGAGAGAGACAGAAACCAACGGGCACGCCCACCGACGGATGTTTTGAGGGTTTACTCAGCTTCTACGTGCGAGTTTTGTTCTTTCTTCGTCTCCACGGAATGTTATCGAAAGATATTTTTTACTTTTCAATATCGAAATTTGCTTTTTAAAAAGTTTTTCTCCACCTTGCACCTATCTCGCGGAACCCCAATATTTTCGTAAAGCCCAGATTATTTTGCCCAAAATGCAATTTTCGCGGCGTCATATTTTCCTTTATGGATACTACCGGCACCCTAGCTTTGTTCCGAGAGGGAGCGAAAGCTTTTCTCTCTGCGTACGAGCAGCTCCGGCAACCCGGCAACGTCCCCTACCGGAACGCTTTTCTGATGCCGCGCAACGTTCTCTACCTTCTATATCGCCCTCAACTTTTATTAGGTCAAATGTAACAAAATATAAGACGAGATTAAGAATATTTTGATACAAACTGTCAAATTATACATGAGCCGCTTTTACAACGAGTGGAACAGGTTCAGAAACAAAAGAAGTATTTCATCTTGAGCTGAAGAAAATACTATTTTTTTCAACTGATACATAATTTTGTTATTGTTATTCTTTTAATTGCTTCCAAATGGCAAAACATGCATTCAAGATCGGATATTTTCAAAAAATATCCGAAAAGTCAATCAAAGTTTCCATTTCTAGAAAAGTTATGATGAATTTTCTTGCCAATAAATGCCAATTAAATCCATTTCTTAGTAGCTGTAGTTAGTGTACCAAATTTAAAAAAAACGGCTTCAATTAACTTATTGGGAAAAAAAAATTAATTTAAAAAAATTTACTTTAATGTAACACCGTTAATACTGATTGCGAAAAAGTGTCACAGGGACTTGGAGCACTATTTTTATGAATAAAATGACCTTAATTTTTTTTATAAATTTCGAAACTGCTTGTATAATTACTAAGTATAATCGAAACTCACCTCTGCAGTATAGCTAGCAAGCTGTCTTTCATTGGCCAAGTCAAGAAGCTGCTGCTTGGCTCGATCAACGTCATCCTTGGGTCCTCGGATGGTGACCTTGTCGCTCTTGCTGTCTGCGCTGGGGAATTTTATGGCAACACCCCCACAGTCCTCCATGATGGAGTGGATAAGCTTTCCTTTAGCACCGATAAGGGAATTGTAAAACTTGGGCGGAATCGTGATCTCTTCACTGACTATATTCTCCAGCTCGTCCTGGATCTTGCGGATCTTCTCGCGGGCTTCCTCAACGTTTTCCCTCTTCCCTGTGATGGTGATGACGTCGTTTTTGTCACCTTCGGCGGGAAGATCGATTTTCGTGTTTGTATCCTCACGGATTTTACGTATATTGGCACCTCCTAAGGAAATTTAATGAGATGCGTGTATAATTTTTTTAAAACGGTATTCTTACCTTTTCCGATTATGAACTTGTGGAACTGTTTGTAAATAGGTACTTCGATTTGATATGACGATTCATTTAGTTCCTTAACCAACTTCTCCAGGTATCTGGCGCACTTATCGACATCCTCTTTTGGTCCCCTAACTTTGACAATGTCGTTCCTGTCTCCGGGCCCGGGGAAATAGATCTGCACTTGATTGAATTTATCCCTGACCTCTTTAATGTTTTCCCCCCTAGTGCCGATAATGTTTCTATAATGACGCTGTTCTATGATGACGTCCTTCTCTTTTTCGTTTTCCAACTTGAATATCCTCTGCTCCAGCTCCGCTTGAGTGCTGGCCACGTCTTGCTTGTTGCCTTCGATCCGGACCAAACCACTTTCGTCTATGTTGATCACAACGTTGAATTCCTCTTTGAGTTTATTAACTGAAAGAAAAAAGAGATAGTTTTATAGATTAAAAAAATAGTCATTTAAGGTAAATCTTCTGTTTTGTCTGAAACACAGGTTTCCAAGAGCAGCTAATTTATTGAATGGTAAATCACACAGATCTTTTTAATAGTATCCAATAATTTTATAGAGTTATGTGATAAAATATCTCAAAATAATTTTTTAAATTTATTTTTCAAATTAATTAACTTATATTCAAACTACTATACAAGGTGTAACTGAGAATAGGGGTCATATTTGTACCAAGGCTATCTTTGACCTATAGAGACATATAATAAGTTTGTTTTTTCAAATTCTATTCTGAAAGTTGAATTTTCTTTTAAGCCTTTGTTTAAAAAAAAATAAATGTAACAAAATGAAGCGGAAACATATTTGGATATTTTCATTTCGTCAAATTAACATCGAGTGGATTGATATTATTTAATTTACCCAAACTAAATCAATGTCAGAGGTCACTGATACTGAAATTCACAAACTAGGCAATGTTTTAAAAAAATAGTAACAAATACTTTTTATTGAAAACATGAAATGGTTTGTAAAAATATTTCAAATCTGTCAAGTTAGTAGGAATTCTTATTTCATTCACTGTACATTTAACAAAAATAATTATTTTAAAACATAAATTAGTTTTACTTTCAAAATTTTCAACATTAATTAATATGAAATAAATCGTAAAAAACACAATTTTTTTTAAAATCTAAAAATATTCAGCGCTTTGTCCTCATTGACATAAAAAAAATATGGTGAGTATAAAATAACATGTCACAAAATCTGGCAATCTGTTTTTCATTATTTTCGATTGCAGCTTAAGTCTCTGCCACTCCATTAATTTTAATAAATTGGTAACCAATTCAGCAGTTGTCCATTGGTGTGATAGACAAAAGTTTAAGTACACTTTAAAAAACGAATTATAACTACTATTTATTGCATTTATTAAAAAAATTATTTCAAATTAGTATTCTGGGGAACATGTATCCGTACTAAACTGATCCCATTGAAGTTACTTACACTTTATATAAACCACTTTTCAGTAGTTACCCTATATATTTTTACATATTTCATTAAGTGAGAGTGTAAATAACAGATAGTTGGCAATTGACTATTTGCTTGTTTAACAAAATCGTGTTTGCACATTTTCATAGATAGTATGCGCGATGATTCTCCGAGAAAATAGTCAACAAATGCAACAGGTTCCATTTTTCGATTGATTCAACTGTCAGTTCCGAGAATGTAGCATGTATTATATTGTCATGTCATGATTAGCGCCAGTGCACAGTTAGTAGTGCTTCAGGATAGATGATGCTGTTGTTATAGACATTAACATAGAAAAATTGATGTGTGTGATGCAAATGCGCCATATTTTATAAGGCCTTGCAAAGACTACTATGACTATGACAAAAATATTTCGGAAACTGCATGTAAGAACCAAAAAAATATCTTCCGACTGTTTTGTGCGTGCCTTCACTAACTAGTTTGAGAAATAGTAACCAATGTACAGAGTTCTCCGAATTTTATCCAAGAAAATTAAGAAATTTTTAGAAGTAAAAATAATGGCACTTTGCCATATCATCTTGTTTTCAAAACTTCACTAGTTTTCATAAAGGGCGTCAAATAAAAAAAAAAAGTATATATTATTTGAACAAAAAATGTTTTTCCTCAATAAATTATTAAATGTGAACCTTGTTTTGAACAAAAGTGATCTCTTCATTCCTTTTTTACCATTTACAAATCAATAATTCATAAAAATGGTATGCTTAAATACATTTAAAATTACACTAATACAGAACAAGTCAAATATAGTCAAATACATATTTATCCTAGCCCAAAATGAATATTTTCTTGTATAAACAAATGCTCTTGAAGCTATTGTTTTTTAATATTAAAGTCAACAAAAATCGATTCATCAGAATCAGAATACAAGATTTTTAAAAGAGTACGCAAGTACAGAGGCACCATTTTGAACACATTTTGTGAAATCATTTAAATACAATGATCAGAAAATCGATTTTTTTTTCTATATTCTTAAACGATAGAACTGTAAGTGAAGAATACATTCTGAAAGTTTGAAAGCGAAATTCGAAAAACTCTGGAAGTTACAACCCTTAAATGTTGCGCATGTCCGCACGGGTTTCGAGCACACGACACAGGTAGAAGCAAGAGCGCACAGAGACAGGTATTCTCGTCAACAAGATGTTTGTAGGGGAATTAACCGTTTTCAGACGAGTTTCGGAAAATATACGCCAAAGTTTGTTTACAGTTTATAGTTGCCCTTTTACGGAGGAAACACATTAGGCGGTCGCGGTCCCGTCGCATCACAGACCATGCTAGTCTCGATCGCGCGAGGTGAAGTTCCTTCCCATGTTTTATAATGTATGCATTCTCACTAGACATTCCCGAGCCTGTTCCGCTCGCATCGCGTTTTCCACCGATTTTTTCCAGAGAATCTCGGGAGACCATAGAAGAGCCAGTAAAAATACCTATTCCATAGAACTCATTTTCTTAACTATTAAACAATAAAGCAACTATTTAAAAGAGAGAGCGAGTAGGATTGTGTGTGACTGTCAAATGCGACTGATTTTGTAAAAGACCGTGACCAGCTCAGCCCAGAACGCGATGGCCTAATGTGTTCTCTCCTTTATCCTTTGTAAACAGCAACGCTTGTTTGTCGAAGGATCCCATCTGCAAATAATAGAATAGGAACGGGAATTTACCGTTTTTCTCGAAATTACATTTCTGAAACGGGTGTACACGATTACGCAAAAACTATTAAACCGATTGAGTTCCCCCTTAGTAGAAATGTTGATAACACTATATTTTTTATACAAATGCAGAAAATTTCGCATGAAAATTCTATTTTTGTCTTTAAATGAGTGCCATTTTTACCATTTTTCTCAACGTCACATAGAAACTACACGTTTTAAATAAGAAAATGTTTATAATTTGTTGCAGATCAAGGAGCTAGGCTGTACAACATTTTGAAAGTCACGAGGCAACCTTGCTGAGACTCTACCACAGCTCCACCATTTTGACGATAAATAAATTAAAAAATTCCTACAGTCCAATGGATGTAGAATGTATATTTCTTAGTTGAAAAATTCCTCAAAATTTACTAATTTCCCTACGTCTAATCGTATATGTCTCTTTATGACCGTAAATAACTGGACAGATTCCTAAATATAGAGAATTGACATCTAAAATATGCTTTTCCGACAAACACTTAAATGTCTAAATATACGAAGACAAAAGTTTCAATATTTTATAGATGTTTTATTGACATCAGTGTGTTTTTAGTTCCCAAAATAGGACAAGAACGGGTACGCTGCTAAGAGGACTAAAATTCTACTCACTATTGGCACCGCTTTTTCCTATGATGTGTTTGAAGAGCTTTGGGTCAACGTGCATCTCCGTAAAGGTCATCCTACCAATCAGATCCTTGGCCATGGTTTCGATTTGTTCCTGTGCCTTCTCCACTTCTTCCGGAGGTCCCTCAATCTTAATCTTGTCCTCTTTGTCCGTGAATTCGACGTGGACTTTTGTCAGGTTTTGTGTGATTTCTTTAATATTAGCGCCTCTACGTCCAATTATGTACTTGTGGATCCAAGCGGGAGCGTCAACGTCACTTGAGCGAACTGAATTGGCTTTTTCATAGACAACGCTTAGGGCAAGACCTAGTTTCTCATGGGGGCCGCGGAGTGTAATTGTACCTGAAAAATTTAAAAGTATAACAGAATTAAAAGAATAATGGTTTTTAAATGTGCTCACCTGTGGCCAAGTAACTTTGAGGCATTTCAACGCTAACACCGGTTGTTTCGAGAATTTCTGCGATCGTCTGTCCCTTTGGCCCAATGACGTATTTGTGCTGTGACTTTGGTACTTCCACGGAGACCGTCGTCGATTTTTTTTCCATGTTTTTGTATATTTCTTCAATTCTGGCTTTAGCAGCCATGACGCCTTCCTTTTCTCCTGCTATGAATATCTCGTCTTTCATCACTGACGGTGGAGGAACGTTGATCTTAGCCCCCGTTTCTTCAATCAAGAGGTTAAGATTCTTGTTGTTGGGCCCCACTATGAAGGGATGGAAATGTTTTGGGATGTTGATACGTTCTGATGCCTTTTTCGACTGTTGATCAGACGTCACCCTGATCTCGTGCTCGGCTTTCTCGATGCCCTCTTTTGTGCCATTAATTGTGATTACATCAGAAGTGTCGTTCATCGGTGGTATTAAAATCTTTGTGGCCGTGGTCTTCTCCAGTTCCCTCAAGCGTTCGCCCTTCTTACCCAGGATCCACCTGTGGTGCTCTTTTGGAATGGGGATTTGCTTGCTAGCCTTAAGAGATAAAAAAGAATTTTTAACTGAAACCACATATCACAGACCGTCCACTTTAAGTGGTTCAGGTTAAATAGAGATATGCTTACTTGTGTCTGAAAATGAGTCAAGATCTTCCGCCTAGCTTCGAGGACTTCATTTTGTTTTCCGGTAACGAGAAATGTGAGGGACTGATCTTTAGCATGTGAAATCTCAATATGGGCGCCGGTTTCCTTCATTATATTCCCACATATGTGGTTAGATTCGCCTTCGCCAAATTTCTGACTGGATTCTTGTTTCCTCTCTTCAAAGGGAACCCTTAACATGCAAATCTATTTTAATCAAATAACCTTCTATGGATACTAGACAGACATGTACAAATTTACATCTAAAATCTAAATAAGCTAATAATTATTCATTAGAGCTTTTTACTCTTAAAAAATTGATGACAGAAGGTTAGCCACAACTCAAGTCAGAATATGTAATGCAGAAATATCAGCAGCTAGTTGCATTTCTTTCTAGTAATTAATTTTATTTGAATAGACGACACTTTTTACTTAATTAAATTCAGAGAATATTTTCCATATACACACTAATTTTCTGATTATAAGAAATTATACATTATCTTCTGTTATCAACACAGCATTTGTTTTAATTATCTTCAATTAAACAATTTAGGAATAATCAAAAAATATTTCAAACTATATCCACAAAATATGTGTCTGCTGATATGGAATTAAAGAAAACATATTCGTTATTTTAAAAACAAGATATCATGCCTCGTTAACAGTCCACAAACTTTGACATATAAAGACAAAGAATACTTATCAGACACAACAAAACAGTGCCGACCTGAAAAATTCGATAATATATATTTAAGAATCAAAAATGTAAAAATTAGACGTAATATGTAAATACATATTTGATTTTAATTATATTATGTAATATTTTATTTAAATTATATAAGAAAATACATAAGTAAATCCATTTTTACATAATAAATATCAGAAAAGTTTTCTTAACACTATTTCACACTACTAGTGAAACTAAATTTTTTACCATGCTGAGCAAAAATATATAAAAAATTTAAGACGATATCTAACCTGAAAACCTGAGTAATAATTGAAGATCCGACTCTCATTTTGTTGTTACTCCATTGCCCTATGCTGTTGTTACTCTGTGTTTGATTGGATGATTCAGGCAGAGCTGGGAAGAGGTCATCGTAACTTCTTATGGAGGGCTCGTAGGCCGCACCTTCTTCGATCACTGGTTGCTGCATTTTGGGAGTGTCCTGATTCGTGCCAAGTCGTTACAGCAACACTAAAGTAAAGGACATATAATAGCCGATTTAGGTATTACAAATAGTATCGAATATGTAGTGCATAACATAAATTACTGTTAAGGTTTAATTAACCGTCCACTTCTATTTAAACTGTATATAACTATAAAACCTTGTTCCCAAATTTATTAACTCTGAAAAACAAAATATATTAAAAATTAAAATATTTTTTATTGGTAGTATAGTAACATGGTAATTAGAAATTAGGAAGAAAAATACACACTATTAAAATTTCTATTGTCAACATATGGAGTTATTCATAGGCCTAAAAAGCGAATAAAAAATGCGCAGTACTTTAGTGAAAACTAAAATGGACCAAGTTAAATTAAAACTAATTGCACAACGGTTCGATAATTTGTTTAAAATTAATATTTTTACGTATATAGGCAATATCGAGTCGACGTGTCACTTCACCCGAGCATGTTGACCCAAGACAGCGATGTGCATATGAAATGGGAGAGAATTTTCGTTAAAATAAACTTACTGTACTGTAAAAACAGAAAATCCGTCCTAGAAAAACCTGGATCTTCGAAGAATCTCCAGTTTTACTTGGTATTCCTGTAAAAATAAAATATATTTGTTTTATAAAGACAAAATAACACACACGTTTTAACCCACCTACTGCCAAGTAGAAAATGAGAAATGAAGATTTTTAGAGACCGATGCGCGGTAGCAAATAATTCGTAGGAGTTGTTACCTTGTAGTTGAGAAATTTGTCACTTATCATTTTGTGTCAAAAACTTTCTTAAGTACGTTATATTTATTCTATTAGCCAATAGATGGCAAAAGAAAACCCCACAGAATATTAAGGTCGTAGAATAAAAAGACGGTTTTCTAGTTATTCTGTGATTGATAGGCCAGGCCACTGACCACTTTATTTTAAGTACATATGTACATAATCACTAGAGAGCGGACAATGTGTGACTTTAACCCGAAGAATAGGTCAAATTTTGGTAGAGATGTGTACGCGTTCAAAAATGTATTGTGTATAAACTATGCAAAATATAATTATTTTGTATAGCAAATATATCGTATTATCCTCGCGAAGATTTGTACCCTTTATTTAAAATCCATAAATCATGTGAACAGGTTAAATAACGAGAAAATAATTGAGTTAATTTAGTTCTAAAGAAATGAAATGACACTCGCGCCCATCTCTAGTCCATCAATCGACATCGGTTGCGTTTATCGAATTCCTATTGGTCGGAATTCAAACTGCAGCCCTGTTATGAATGGAGCGTGAGTTGGACTATTCTATCATGTGCGTCGCCTGAGGGTATTCGTTACATTGACTCCTAATTTCCAATTAAAAGAACGACACTATTTTTAACCGAACTTTATTTAATAAATATGTAGTATACGATTTCTGATTTTCTAAATATTTTATAACGCCTAAAAATGTATGTACCGTGGAATTTTCGTGAATTATCACGTATATTTCCGATGCATACCCGACACGCCACTGCGTCATGGGTAATGTATCTAGAGGTTTATGAATGACATATCTATGTTCAAGGTTAAAGTCACAAATTGTCCGCTCTCTGATAATCACCAAATAAACCAGACTCCAGACTCGATTTGTGATTTTTAAATCAATCTTATGGCGATTTCCATTGACACACTGAGTGCGCACCGAGTATATTTCCATCTTTTATTATCACTGTAGATAATATAGGATGGAGATACACTGAATATGCGCTCCACAAAACAGAGAAAAGAGATGTACTCAGTGCATCAATGGAAATCGCTGTTATATGTATTAATTTATCCATAAAGAACACGCAAATTTGATTATTATTTTAATTTCCACGGGTATATCCAGTATTACGTAGTAAATGTAAGTACACATAACCATTATAGTATCAGCATTTGAATTTGATACCCATCAGTTTTTTTTTTCTGGGTGATCTACTGGTGTCCTCTAATTATTGAGATTGTCCACAGCATTGATTGAAATATTCTACTTCAGTCAACATCCATAATTTTATAATTATCGAAATCATCAGACCTATGAGGCCTAAAGCTTAGAAATGATCTAAGAGTTCAAAAACCTCTGAGGAATAATATTCCTCTGAGTCAAAAACCTTTTTTTGATTGGTGACGGCTGACATATCAACTGCACGAAATCTATCTGAACAAGTATACAGTACAAATACACACAGTACAGACGATACGGTTGGACTATAACTCTTGGGTATCTGGCATATCTCCGTCAAAAATGAATATAAAAATCTGAAATTTTAGGGGTGTACTATGGATGGGGAGACCTAAGAGCGGACGTAGTTTCAACTCACCCCTTCCACCCTAAGGGGGTGCGGAGGGGGTGAGGGGTGTTTTTTTTTAGATATACTCTATTTATTTTGCGATTTTCGGATTCTACGAGAAAAACTACCCCCGGAGACACGTTCTTGCCGAATTTCCACAAAAACTAAAATCCACCCTCCTATGGACTTTGTCGTTTTTTCGATGATTATAGGTCCCGGGTACCCGCTCTTAGGTCTCCCCATCCATAGTAGAGATGGGCTAAACTGCTCTTTTTGCGGAGCAGTGACACCTGCTACTGCTCCGGCAACAGAGCAGTGACAAATAGCTGCGATTTTTCGGAACAGCTCCTGGTAGCGCGCGCATACATTCCTACCGTGATATGTTCCCTTATTTTCGCGTCAAAGTTCATAAATCGACACTTGTCGTGCTTAATAGCGGCTAGCGTTAGGGAATAGGGATACTTTCGTCATGCGCTGTTTTTCAAGCATGTGCCAACTTTCGTAGATTTAGCTCAATTTGTTATTTCGCTTTTGCATTATTTATTTGAATTTGATATAGCGTTATCTGTTATTTTGTCCTAAGTTACTACTGATAAATTTTTATTACAAATAAAATTGGACATGGATAAACGAAGAAAATCTTTCCTGTGGAATTTATTTTTACCAACGTATGAAAGTAAAGCTTGTTGTAATATATGCAAGCAAAATATTTGTTATAAATCTTCAATCACCAATTTAAAAAGACACATAGAACAACGACATCCTACAGTGAGTACAGTGCCAGATATTCAAAATTTTTCCGCGAGTGCAACAAAAACAAATGAAGAACAGTCGCATGTTTTTTGCTTAGTCTAAGTTTTAAGTGATTTTGTAAACAAAAACTTTTAAAATATTTGTAGAGCAGCAACCAGCAATACACGCATTGCTCTAGTCGCTGAAATACAATGTCTTTAAATCAAACGCGACTGTATTATATGTTTAGTGTGTGACACTGTGACTAATTCAAAATTCAAGCACAGTTCGCAACGGCTGAGCGAGAATCTGCTCTGCTGTGGCCGGCACGCCTGAGCTATGTCTCTGGCGCTAGTAAATTGCACTTTGCAGTAAACGCTCCGAAAAATCACTGCTTCTTTTGTCGCAGCGGAACAGTCAGCTCCAGTGACAACTGCGGAACAGTGCCAAAGTAGCAGACAGTGAAAGAGCAACACATCTCTAATCCATAGTACACCCCTAAAATTTCAGATTTTTATATTCATTTTTGACGGAGATATGCCAGGTACCCAGGTAATAATAATTAATTTATTATGTATTATAGTCACTCTTTATAATTTCGGCCGCCGAGTATAGCACATGAGTATAGTCCCTAGCCAGTAGCCACAATTCTGTCTTGTTTTGTGTTTTATGATGGTTCGTGCATGAGGTTATTGAGGTTTGAGGTTGTGTTAATTTGGTAACTGTTACATTGCATTGGAAGAACTTTCTCCTAAACGGTTAAAGTACATCCATATTTTGTGGTACATCCGTTTCTTTATAAAGTTATCTTCGACCACGTTTTTTTTTTAACGTAAGTATAATCATTCTTAGCCATTGCCTCTAGGGCATTCAATTTCTGGGTAGTATGTTACTTTAAGGTTAAATAAAATTGTACATTTTTTGAAAAAGGTAATAGATAAAATCTTTTTCATACTTCTAAATTTTTTTGACCCTGAAAATGTAGATTAAGTACCTACAAGTTAGTTATAATATTATATATTATAAATATTATTTAAATAGAAGCATGTCTATTCCTACAACGCTATGCTATATCAAATTATTTTCATTTTCATTTAAATCAATTTTAAAATGTTTAAATTTAAAAATATATACAAACCTTCAATTTTGCTACAATTTTTTTCTGCTAATTCAGTCCATTAATTCATGCCTACCTATCTATTTATTAGTAGTTAATGTATTTCTTATTTAAATTGTTACTATACTATCATATATAATCAGTCATAATATTTCAGTAAACTACATACCCCCTATTTGGAGAATATAAAATTCCAAACGAAATATGTGTAAAAGTTTCAAGTTTAAAGTAAATAATAAATTTCTATTTAGTTTCTAGTTAACTTTTGTAAGAAAAAAGTTATCAATTTATTAAATAACAGATACATTATGCAGCTATTTGTTCAGAGATAATAACTGTATTGACCTTTTAAGCTATAAGTTTACAAAACTTGCAGGCATATGAATGTATTTATCATTAAGTGATAACATATACATTTACAATATTAACGAAATGATGTATCGAAGCAACATCACATTTTCTTATAATCCTTTATATTATCACTGTTGCAATAAGTACTTATTAATTATAAAATCTTTTACTTCAAGGATTTATTGAATATATTAAAGAAATGAGATATAGTGTTGGTTGACAATTAGCAGTGACTATCAATTAGTAAAAACAACAGACACAAAAACATGAGTTACAATAAAGATTACTTATACAATGAAACAAATGGAGTTCCGCTGCAGCCCATACAAGGTAATTTTATGGTATATTTTTGAATGTAATTATTTTGCTTACTCCCAAACGATATGTAGGTACCTACTATTCTATAAATGTATTTAATAACTGGCCATTTTATGTAAATATTATTTCAATCTTAAAAATGGGGAAGTAAATTAATTTAAAGATTGCTGTTAATTAAAATTAAATAAATAAGCAAAATTATAGGATAAAGGAAATTAGATTTTGAACTTTTTCCTTATCACTACTTCTATTTTTGGGATCTTAAATATTTAAACAGTTCACTGAACTTTTATATATTATTTTGGATTTAAACATTTTATGTAGTTTACCAGACATTTAGAGTGTTTGTTTTGAATTATTGCTTTAACTACTTGTTATTCAAATTTAACCCGACTAGTGGTCATGGTCAGAGTACCTAATTATTACCTACCTACTCCAATTATGAGTATAGATATCTCTAAACAAGGTAAATAAAATTGTTTATTTTATATACCCATTCAAGTTTATATCATATATAAATGTATTTATATCTAGTAATAAAACCTATAGGAATCCAATTCAAAATTTTTAGATGCAGAAGTTACCGAGAAGACTTGTTTGCAACAGCCTACCAAACAGCAGTTGTCTTGGGAGGAGAAAGAGTTACAAGAGGACGAGTTGAATTTTAAAAATTTGACCGTAGACGAAACAAGTCTACCACTGAGTTCTCCTCCTGATACAAACAATTTGGTGTATTTTACTTTTCTCATACATGGTATTGGTGTTTTAATGCCTTGGAACATGTTTATCAACGCCAATGAAGTAGGTAGATCTACACTAGTAAATTAACTTGCAATGAAAGTAAATCTTGTCTGTGTTTCTTTTTTTATTTTAGTATTTCACAAACTATAAACTGTCTCCCGAATATATAGGATTTATATTTCCGTACGTGCCTAATTTCATGCAGTATCTGACGTTTTCTGCTCAGGTTCCTAGCGTTTTGTTCAATTGGATGAATGTTTTTGTAACGATTGGGTAACAAAAACTTATTTTCTGGCTTATGCGTCGTTATATGTTACTTTTTTTAGAGGAAGTTTAACTACCAGAATTGTATGCAGTATAACTGTAGAAGTAATAGTTTTTATTATCACAGTTATACTAGCAATGGTCGACTCTAGCACATGGCCACATGGTTTCTTTTACGTTACAATGATATGTGTTGTTATTTTGAACAGTAAGTAACTTATAATTTTTTTTATGTGACTTATAAATGTACACATAATTTTAGTGGCTAATGGTATATATCAGAACAGTATTTATGGAATGGCTGCCAAGTTACCAGGAAAATATACGGGCGCCGTCATTTTGGGCAACAATATAAGTGGCACTTTCACAGCCGTTGTTAACCTCCTTTCTAGCTTGATGACGTCCAATACAAGAATGGCCGCTATTTATTATTTTATAACAGCTTTGTTTATTTTGGTGATTTGTTTCGTCTCGTATTTTACTTTACAACGAAACGTAAGTACTTAATTCCTTTGTTGTCCATTGACGAAACAAATTCAGTAACTTTTTCTTGGGGTTTTAGAGATTTTACCGACACTTCGAATTAAAAGAGAAGAAGGATGTCGAACAGAGGAGACAGCTGATGAGGGGATCAAGCGAACGACCTCCTTACTTGTATATTTTAAAGAAATCTTTACCACAGTTGTATAACGTTTTCTTTGTATTTTTTGTGACCCTAGCTGTGTTCCCAGCGATACATGCCGGTAAGCTTTATCTTATTTATTTTCTGACGGTTTTTTCCTAATTTATCGAAAAAATTACTTTTCCGTTACGTAGCTAATAAAAATTGATTCCGAATTATTTGTAGACATCAAGCCGGTGGACGAAAATTTCTTCATCCCACTAAATTACTATGCAAGCATAACATGCTTTATAACTTTTAATGTTTTTGCCATGATCGGCAGTTGGTTACCCAGCTATTTCATTTGGGTAAGTACCATGTTGAAACGATCAAACGTGATCTAATTTCGGTCTTAAATGCAGCCGAAACCTAAGTACTTGTGGATTCCGGTCACCCTGAGGATTCTTTACATCCCATTCTATTTATTCTGCAACTATCAGGTGAAGGGATTGGATAGAATTTTACCTGTACTGGTGACTAATGACTTGGTTTATTGGGTAGTGGCTGCGACTATGGGCATTACTAATGGATATTTTAGCTCTCTTGCTATGATGTACACCCCAAGGTATTTGCAGTTTTTTTTTATTTATTCATAGTTACTTTTTGATAGTTAACAACAATTTGTACACAAAAATAAATTGATTAATTAAAGAATTCAAATCAGTTTAGATCTAATAACAAAATTCTAGAAGATAGATCTGTTTGCTCCACGTTGAATAAAATATTTTGTTTTTCTAAACAGTAAAAGCAATAGGTCATTTGAAGATATTAAACAAAACATTCCTTATTACTATTACAAAATATGTACGTGTATTTGTAAGCCACTTTAACTCTATTATATGTGACCTTAATAGGATCATTATTCTGACCCCTAATTTAGTATTATTTTTACCTCCCTTGTGTTGTAAATATTTAGCTGTGACATATCCCAGCGTTGCTATCAGTGCTTCTATACTTATACAACTTGGTGTTTGTCATATTAAATTTTTTTATATATTCCTTTTTTTATATACAGGGTGTAACTTCGAATGTGTCGTATTTCTACAAAGACTACCTACCTTTGACTTGTGAAAACAGATTTTTTGTTTGTAATCTTTTTTTATTTTTTCATTTTCATACCCTGTCGCTGGACAGCAAGTATAACTTCATGCTCTGCTGTGAGCACATATCCAGTTTAGACCGATCGAAATAACTCATTTAGAGGGAGAAAAAAAAAATTGTTACCTGCACTTGTGTAAGTGGAAATGGTAAAGGTGCTTATAATAAACGGAAGAAAAATTGTGCGCAGGGGAGGCAGAGGGTTGATTTGGGGGGTTGAAAAGTTGTGAAAAATTGTATCATCGGGATTTCTGGCAAAAGTTGATGTCAAACAAGAAAGTATCCAATACAAAAGTTGTAGATCATGCAAAAATCTACAACTTTTGTAGAGGTCACTTTTTAAGATAACCTCAAAATTTCCGATAAAAATGAGAAAAACCGGTTTTTTTCTTATTTTTCGTTTGATGAAACTTGGTGATAGTATACCTTTCTGTCTTAAATAACCACAAATTTTATTAGATAAAAAATTCAAGAAGTTTCTGAGATATTTATTTTTTCCGGTATGAAACACTTTTTTTCAAAGAAAAATTCTATTTAGGAAAATTATCATACAGAGTTCTGCCGGTGAAAATTTTTTTTTTGTTTTGACATATACTCTGGTGAAATAAAAAAATCTGTAATCACAGTTCAAAAACATGCTCAAAAATGCCAAAAAAATAAAAAATGATTTGCAACAATAACTTTTCAGTAATTGTTGATAATTTGCTTAAATTTTTTAAAAATTCAAAAACTTATTACACCATTCAATTGTATGGAAAAAATACAAAAAAAAACTGCTTCATTGTTTGACCCAAAACTTTATTTTTGTACAGTATTGCTATAAACATGAGTCGAATAGTGAATGAATAAAATAAATAATATTTTCTTTTTTCCGTAGGATCCATTAGTGTACTTATTTTTTTTTAATTTTGATGAATTCATAGATATACAGTGTGTACAAGAAAAGGATGGGATAGCATTAGGATCTAGGAAACGTAAGAGATACAGGGTGGCTCAGATTAGAAAAAGTTGTTTTTTTTTATACCTAACAATATGCCATTTAGAAAGTTTTAAAATTCCGGGTAGTTCCGGAGATAGATATCCAGAAAAACCCGAAGATTTGCAAAATTGTTTAATTTTTTTTCTGATTTTAATTAAAAAACGAATTTTAAAATAAATTGCATACATATTTACAAAACCACTTTTTTCGCTCTATACAATGGGGTCAACATTTTTGCAATCTGACGTTTTGTCTTCGAGGGGCCATCCATCATCAGGTTAATTTTTTTAAATGCGTCGCTGCTATTTTTATGACAAAATCTAATGTAATTTTTAATTCTGAATTAGATTATATTACTATTGTAATCACTTAAAAAGTTTTTAGCATGTTTTAACTATCATTTAAAGTTTTTCCTGAGTACGGCTCTGAACGCTTTCAAAATATCTTTTGAATTAAGTCATAACAGTATAAAAGTCAATACCGCACAAAATATCCAACAATTTTTTTTACTACTATTAGCAATACTAATTAGAAATAATAAAACATTTCATAAATTCGTATTATTTTTTAAATTATTGATTAAAAAAAATTGTTGGATATTTTGTACTGTATTGACTTTTATACTGTTATGACTTCCTCGAATAGATATTTTGAAAGCGTTCAGGAAAAATTTTAAATTATAGCTAAAGACCTTTTTAAGTGATTACAATAGTAAAATCATAAAAGATTGTCGTGAAAATAGCAGCGAAGTATTTAAAAAAATTAACCTGATGACCCCTCGAAGACGGAACGTCGGATTGTAAAAATGTTGACGCCATTGGATAGAGCGAAAAAAGTGGCAATGTAAATATGCAATTTATTTTAAAATTTGTTTTCAAATAAAGCCAAATTTCGGATTTTCGGGGTTTACGTCAACAGTAGACTTTGCAGTTAATACTTTGCATTGCTGAAATCTCATCCAAAGATAATTTAGTATTTGTAATTTGACTTACTAGGTGTTTGTAGCAATACTGCACAAAAATTAAATTTTGGGTCAAACAATAAGACACAGTTTATTTTTTATTTTTTCTCGTATAATTGAATGGTCTAATCAGTTTTTGTTTTTTTTTTAATTTAAACAAATTATCAACAATTACTGAAAAATTCATTGTTACGTCATTTTTTATTTTTTCATTTTTGAGCATGTTTTCGAACTGTGATTACAGATTTTTTTATTTCACCAAACAGTATATGTCAAAACGAGAAAAATGATTACCGGCAGAACTCTGAACGATGATTTTTCTAAGTAGAATTTTTCTTTGAAAAAAAAAGTGTTTCAGACCAGAAAAAATGAATATCTTGGAAACTTCTAGATTTTTTTATCTAAAAAAATTTGCGGTTATTTAAGATACAGAAAGGAATACTTTCACCAAGTTTCGTCAAAATTAAATTATTTTTGCGGAAATGAGAAATAAAAAAAGAAAAATCAGAAAAAAACCTGTTTTTCGGAAAATTTGAGGTTATCTTAAAAAGTGATCTCTACAAAAGTTGTAGATTTTTGCATGGTCTACAACTTTTGTATTAGATACTTTTTTGTAGGACATCAAGTTTCACCAGAAATCCCAATGATACAATTTTATTTTTTTTAGGTTTATTATAAGCCCTTTATCATTTCCACTTATAAAAGTCCAGGTAACAATTTTTTTTTCTCCAAGTGTAATTTGGTTCGACTAGTTGCGAAATTGAGATATTAACATTCATTGTAATTCTAATATTTCCAATTTGGAACGTGAATATAAATTTTAATTCTGAACAAATTGTTCTAATGAAATTGCACGTATGAATAGAAGCAAAACTTTTTAATAAGAATTATGTTTCTTACAAAACTTCAACACAGTTTTAACATCATTTAAGGATAAAATTGTGTATAGGATGTTAATTTTTTGTATGGTCAAGTTCATTAAACATGTTAAATACTTTTACTTATGATTAATCTAGCTCCATGAAAAAATTCATATCTCAAGCAGTTCAGTCTTTGTTGTTAAGTGAACGTTTTTGACCCAGTATTTACGAGTAATATATTTTCCAGGATGGTCGAAGAGAGGTATGCGACTACAGCTGGTATGTTGGCTGCAGCGGCCTTAATAACTGGCATCTTTACGGGCATCATCTCGTCATTCTTATGGCCTTGGGTGATAGCCAATGTAGGCTAACAATGATCACTTGCATGTGTCCAAAAAAGTAATTTAGTTAGGTTCAAAATATTACATATTTTATTATGGACCCGTTAGTTTGTTTTTCTAATAAGAAATATTTAGTAACTAAAAAAAATATTAAAAGGACAAGATTTTGGATTACTTTTAATTTGTAGCCAAAGAAAAGTTAAAAGTTAAAAATTTATACTAGTTTAGATGTTCCTTAATTAAATTATGGAACTTGCTTTGTATGTGTAAAAAATTTACATTAGCTAATGTAACATATCAACCTGCATTAGGTAAGTGCAAAATGTAAATAATATTTGTTGACAAAAGATAATGATATAGAGGTGAGGCAAAGTGGTTAATAAAATTTTATTTACCTTGTCTGCCCGATAAATATTTTCCAACCTTATTTGATAAAAAAATGGTGATATATTACTTATTTAACAAGGAAAATTAGGAACAAAATACACAGATTTTTACTCTGAGAATGATACAAAAATGTTTTTCATGAAATAAAATTTAATGCCGGTAGTAAAGAACAAACGTTACTAATAGTATCTTTATTTTGAATATTAAAACAATTGACAATAGAAACTGTTTTTTGTCCTTTTATTCTTAAGAAAAATATTTAGCGAACAAAATATTTTGATTTTATTTAATTTAGTTCTTCAATGAAGAACCAAATAAATCTGTTTGCTCCCCTACCTGAGTACATTGCATGTTTAATTTAGTTTTAAGTAGTTTCTGTTGAATAATGACCAGAGATTGAATTAATCCAGGTAGGCTATACAACACTTGCATTTAGCTACTGAAGAAGCAAATATTTATTTTGCTTTCAGTTTCCATTCAAGCATTTCATTGTATATATCAATGTTTTACATTTCCATAAATATTGAGATTACTGTAACAATAGGTCAACTTATTTGGAAATCCTCGGTTGCATGCGCCCTTATACAATGTGTTTTAATAAACATGTACTTTTAATTGGAAGATTCCTCTTATTTTATCATCCTTTTTTTTAATCTTTTATTTTAAAAAATATCTCCGAAACGACTTAAGTAAACTGAATGACGGTTGTGAAATTATTTAGAATAGTACATATTTTAGCATTAGGAAGATTTAGACACCTTCGCCAGGGGCATGCTTACAGGATGGGAATGAAATAATAAATTAAAAAAAAACATGTCCGACACTTTTCTTTTTTGATAGCACAGTTATCTAAAGAATTTAATGTGTATAGTCAGTTGAACATGTATAAAAACGCCTAGCAATAAAATTTAATGAGATTCATAGGCGTCTCTAAAAAAGTTTAAAAAATAATTTATGTAATGTGTAGCAAATTTCCTTTATATGTTCTTTTGGCCAACATCATTTATGTCCTCAAACAATTTTATTATATTTATGGTAAATTTTGATTATGGCATCAAAAAACATTTACATTTTTATTAAAATATATTACTGCCCTGCATTGCTGCACTGCACTGCTAGACAATTCCTCAACAACTGAAATTTATGGCCGGTCACCCAATGCGACTGTGTTTGTGCGCCGTTTGCCCGCGTGGAGATTCTTCAACTGGACGTATACATTTCTACCACCTCCACGTTTAGTTCGACCAGACCAGTATATGGGTATGGCTAAGTAAATATGGGAACAAGTTTTATCAAATGTATATTTCAATGCCGAGTTGCTGCGTAACAACCGAACTTGGTACATACTGTCTAGTTATTTGGTCTTCAATTGAGATCGGAAAATCTATAACAAAAGTTACATTTTGATACTTTTTCAAGTTTACTTTTGTTTTGAAAATAAATACAGGTATCATTTATTATTTAAATTTACTTGAACATACTTGGAGAAAATGGTGAAAATGGTCTCTATCTCCTAAGCTAAAAAAGTTGTTACTAAAGTTGTTTCAGATAAAAAAGAAAAAATTTTAAAAACTGAACTATCATAATAAGAACTCCATGTTGTTAGAAACTTTTTGTTTTATTTTTTAATTGGGAATCTACCTTCGAGCAATGACACATGTTCTTTGAAACACACTGTATAATAATAGTCGACAAAACTGCGAGATGGGCTTCCCTTTTAATTCATTTATCACTATGAAGGTTCTTTTTAAAATTTCTTTGGTTATATATTTTTAAATTATTCCAATTATATCACAACTTACACAGCCCATCAATTTCATTTAATTTTTGTATTTCAGTAAAATATTCTAATCACTGGTCTGTATAAGCTGTGATAATATTTTTAATTTATTAAAATCCAATATTTTACTAACAAATTTGGACTAATATTATTGTAGGTAGTATGATTTCACTTTATGTTAATACATTTTTATCAAATTTGGTTGTGCACCAGTACATTTAGTTTTAGTTATCGTAAAAATCAGTGAATAACTAAGTATATACAATCCATACGATATTTGTCGAGATGGAATTACAAGAAGACCCCTGCATCGCTTTCTTGGAATTAACCGCATTCGACACCCGAAGTAGAAAGACATTGACGTTCAGCGTAACTGCTTGCTTAAATACATGTTTCTTTGTTTATCCCTTTTTTGTACCAGCGTGTTTATAATTATTATCATCTTCTAGTTTACTTATGATTTGTACTCTACTGTACTTTAAAAGAAATAAAAACACATTTTAATCCAAAACTATATATATTTTGATATTTTGAAAATAACATGGTAAATTGTTACAGTTATTTCGATAACAGAACTTTATTGGCTTATTCTTGGAATTCTGTCTCGACAAATATCGTACAGGACTACTTTTCATTATTCATACGTACAACGATATATAATAATTAACTTTTATTTATTAATATTTAAACATTTGCTTCTGTTAATTATGACATTTTGTTAATTTTTGAAATTTCCTTATGAAACTTGTAGGGAACTGGTTGTTTTTTTTTGTTATTTTAATTTTATGGAAGACTGAAAGTGATTTTGGGTAATATCCTCTTTTTATTTATTGTTTTCTGATTTTATCTAACTATTAATTATTCGTTGCTTTGTTTGTAGTTAATATATTGAACCCAATAAAAAATTTTCTTTAATTTACCTCACCCTACTTAAGCTAAGGATTTAAAAACCAACAGTCACATATTTTACGCATCTTATAATTTTATTTTTTTAGCTGCTGATTTAATTGTTGACTGTACATATTGTTGCTGTAATATGTAAATTCGATTAATTAATTTGCCACATGCAACCACAATTTTTCTGTAATGATCAGTTACATAATTTTAATGTTTTATTTAGTGACTACAATGTTAAAAGTTTTATTGTTATACAGGGTGTTTGGAAAAGTTGGTACAAAATTTAACGAGGTGAAAGTAGAGCCAAAAATAGTAAAAAAAGTTGCTATAAACATTGGTCCTCCGGAGCACCGTTACTGAGATATGGTCCCCCAAAGGAGTTTTTTTATCATTTGGATATTTTTTAAAATAACTTTTCTGAATAAGATAATGGAATGAAAATTGTAGGTAATAATCATACCATAAAGGTCTTCAAATTTCATAAGTTTCATCAAAATCGGTTATAAATAAGGATAGTTTAGTGATAGTAACTAGCCTCAACAGAAATTTTGCGAATTTTTGTATTTGAATTATCAGACAAATAATATTATTTTTTAATGAATTTGACTTGTTTGAAGAAAAAATGTCCCTATTTTATTTTTCGAATTCTGCGTAGTTTAGTCAGAAATAATTATTTTTTAAATAATGTATGGCGCAGAGCAGTTAACATTTTCACATAGTAGGCACCTTTCATGGTGACAGTTTTGTTTAATGATACTAATGATTGTCACTTTCGCGTGCTATCATTTAAATTCTTACGTTTCCTAGTTGTGATCTTTGTGCTTGACTTTGCACTTCATTAGTTTTTTTACAACCATGAACCATCATGAGCAGACGCTCTTCTTACAGTCACGGTAGCATTACGTTAAAAAAATCCTGAAATTAATTCCTCTAAATCATGCCTATGCCTCCTTGAACAGCCAAATTCACGATATCACAATTTTGCAGAAGGTTGCCTTCTGACAGGGATAATTCATTAATTTGCTTGACAATTCAAAGGAATAAAAAAAATTCGAAAAATTTCTGTTAATGGTAGTTACAAAGCTATCCTTATTTATAAACGATTTTGATGAAACTTATGAGAAGTAAAGACCCTTATGGTATAATTATTACCTACAATGTTCATTTCATTATTTTAATCAGAAAGTTATTTTAAAAAATATCCAAATGATAAGAAGACTGGTTTGGAGGGCCATATCTCAGTAACGGTGCTCCGGAGGTCCAAAGCTCATAGGAACTTTTTTTACTACTTTTGGCTGTACTTTCACGTCCTTAAATTTTGTACCAACTTTTCCAAACACCTTGTATAAGTGCAGCTCAATAAGAACATGGAACTCCTTTAAAATTTGTTTGGGACACGCAGTGGCGGCGACGAGTGGAAATTAAAATGGTTTCAGTACTAAAGAATGGGACCGATACAGTTATGAAAACAATTCGAACGGAATTTGTAAAGTAAATTAAAATAGGGGTTGCTAACACAGATCTCGAACATTTATGCATTTTTTATATCGCAGATTTGGGCGTTTTTTTATTTTTGAGAAAATTAAATTTTGTGGTTACCTACACCTATTTTGAAACTATTTTTTAAACTGCATAGAAAGCTGTAACCTTACAAAAAATTTTAAAAACTTTTTTATCAGTTGATTACGGGAAAATATATATTTTTTATTTATTAATTTCCTCATAAAATGGTATAGGTCCCATGCTTTATCAAAATATGTCCATTTTAATGTTCAATTGCCATGGGAATGTAAAGATTTTTTAAAAGGGATTACTAGGGATATTCTATTTTATTAATTTTTAAATGGCCATTACATAACCTCAATTACCATCTCTTTATGTACCTATCTCAAATTCCGTTATTTATACCTAATGCAGAATAATTTTTATGCAGTGAACTTGTTTTAGTGTCAGTAATTGGCTATTTTTTTATCTTCAGGCAATTCTGGTTTTTAAATTGAAACAGAAAATTTCAGAAATTAAGAATTTTAAGTAAATAAAAAAATTCTGTATTACAAATTCTAAAAATATCAGATACAGTTAGTGATGCTCACCAATGCCAGATTTTTAATTAATAAAATTATCGGAATTTTTTTTAAATCGCAATAAAATCGCAGCAGCCATGGATTACTAATTAGATCATCGTAATTGGTTCAATAAATACATCTAAGAGGTCACTATAGGAAATAAAATGATTTGGTTTTTAAGTGTCCTCATTTGGGTTTAGTATTTATTTACTCATATGGGCCACCCTATTAATGATTGAATGTCATTTTCAGCACAACTTACATAATAAATTACACAGTAAACAAATAATATACAGGGTTTAACCATATGAGTAACTAAATAACTCTTATGGGTTTAACTATAACCATAAGAGTAACTATTTAGTTACTCATATGACTATAACTAATAATTTCTAGAGCAGTGTATTTGGAACAAAATACCTATTTATTAACTGTTAAATGGCTTTATTATATCTTTATTTTCAATGAAATGTCTCAATTCGAATATCAGAATAATGTATGTAGGTATATGTAGTAAATTTATTTTTTATAATTTAAGGAAATTAAAAATATTTTGGCCAATTAAAAAAGTTTTATTCAAAGTGTAGAAACTTCGAAATAACAATTTAATCCTCCGATTTTTTTTTATTTTCAAGAAATTGTTAAATCGGAAATAGATGTTTTTCAAATTATGCCGGGCATTTTCATGGATTTTTGTCGCCTATGGCGCCAGTGTCGTCCATTCTTATTGGTTAATTGTTTATCCTCATAGTGGCGGATTCGCAAATGTTTTGAATATGTGGTAATTTATTGTTTTTCAAAATTATATTCCGAAAAATTGTTTTCCCGTCAATTTCTAAGACCCGGTTGTGTGGCGTCACAAAAGATTCGCCTTTTCGCGTCAAAATAAAGGCGAAAACGCTTTTTAGGGCGTGTAGAAGCTGGCGTACGATAATGGCCGTGTTTAGTTGAGTTTGTAGCAGACCCAACAGAGAGACGTTCACAGTAAACCTGTGTGCGGGCGAAAATATCGACGTGGTGGCGTCGTTGCCTTGGAAAATATTAACTTTTAGTGTAATTAAAGTGCAGTGTGGGTATTAGTGTCACTGGTTTGAGATACATTTTATTGAAATTGCAAGCTGTCCAAGTTTTAGATGACAAAAATCAAGTTAGTATTCTCTTTACGTGCGTTCTCTTTATTTTAAACCTCTGTTATGTGTAAATCTCGAAAGTTTCGACGATGTATTTGTCTGATGTGGAAATTGTCGTCAAAACCTTATACCTGATAGGACATTTAAAATAGGTCGTGTGAGTAATATTTATAAGTAACCATTTGTTTGGTTTATTTATTACGTTCACATTCAAGTAAAAGTGCATTAGCGATTCTCTTTACAATTTACGGTTTATTATTTCTTGTAATTCAATAACTGACAGCCCAGTAAATAGAAAACATTGGTGTTAGGTTAGGTTAGTGCCAAAGTTTATTTATGGTAATAGGACTCTATCTGTCATTAATTGCATAGAAATATTTCTGGAGAAATGCCTTTAGTATTCGCGCTTGTATAGGCTATCGCAATTCAGTGGAAAATGCCAACAATCTAGTGCATTAAGTATCATTGTTACGCAACGTTGCAGTTGTTTTTAATATGGTAGTGGTAACATAATTTAAGAGCAGTACCATTCTGCTCATTTTTGTAATAAGTTTTTTTGTCGTTGTAAGCGTTTCGATCCAACGACTGCATAGCTTAGCTGCATGTATAGGTAAACGGCCGGGCCGACCCGCTTAAACAGTCCCACACGACTTCATGACAGCAACAGCACATTGTTGTCAGATTGTGCATGCCTTTTGGGAAAGCCTTACCCATTATATGATCGACATGCCACTGGTATATTTACAAATCAAGAAAAAATGTCTAGATTTGTAGGTGTACTTTTTGTGAACAAAATTTAGGACTTAATTAACTGTATTAATAATTCCACTGTTTACTTGATAAATGGTGCTTACATCATTTTTCCATAAATTTATACAGCAAATGTAACCCAAGAATTTATACTGCCTGTTTTATAACTTTTATATGAGCAGTTATGAACTTGTTTCACTTGTTTTGTATCGGAAGTGTGGCAACGCAGTCAGCTGTCGCTCTCCTCTCCTTCATTTCTTGTTGTTCTTACAACAGTGTAATAGCAAGGTTGCCACGTTTGGGCGTGCTAGATGTTTTATTGACGAATGGGCCGTTGTCGGACTTGTGCCATACAGACGAATCAATCGACATAACCGAACTGGGAATAAGCTACGGATTGTAAATAAATGTTTCTCTTTGTCGTAGACAATAAAACGTGAAATCTATATTGGGTACTACACTATATATTTTTTACGTAAAATACATAAACAAAATTAATGACGATATTTTCTTGTATGTCCTGTACCTATTAAACAACTTTTGTTTATTATTTGATTGCGTTATTACAATTGATAGTTTTTTAATTGTACGTACCTATTTCGATAACTAATGTTATTAATATTTTGTAAGAAAATTTGATAAAGTAGGTACACGTTTTAGTTATTATCGCTTTCATCATAAAGTGTATACCTAAGCCATCAAATTATTTTATAGTGAAGTGTGAATTACGACACCATTAGATAATCTTTAATGGAAATTTTATCTGAAAAATAGTTTGTACCGTTACTATAGGTATAGAAAGAAAGAAAATAATTATTACTAGCTTTGAATTCATAACTATAATTTCGATTAACAAATATTAAATATATAACAAGCCGCTAAAGAAGAAGGCAAACAATTCTTGAACGTTTCAGGTATATTTTTCATTATGTTTACCCATCATGACGAAGCGCTACTGGCCTGTGGAGAGGTAAAGTTCCACAACGTGGAAAACGTAGACTTGGCAACGTCACGTGGGTCCAACATACAGGAATTTATTGCATACTCTGCCATAATGTATTTTAACCATTTTATATTGTTAAACTATTACTCAGAACTGCTACTATTCATACATTTACATAAAACACTGGTCTTTCTTTAGTTATATCTTTCACACGTCTACGAATGACTAGTAATCGAATTTTCATTGATAATATAATTTCAAATACCTACCTAAATATTTACCTACCTGGTCGAGTCAGTTTTTAATTATTCTGTTGCCGAATTTAGAATACCTAGTTCTTTGAAATGCTTTATATCAAATTATATACCTATGCATTGAAAGCAGTTTTTAAATCAATGTTTAGTTTCTCCTTAGGATGTATGTATGATGAATTATCCAGTAGAGAATAAATTGAGAGCCGGTTACATGGGCGTGTCTTTGGGGGGCAATAAAGAGGGTTTTAGGAGTCATTTTAAATTTCTAAATACTTCCTTATTAACTGAGACATATGAAATGTGATTATGATGAGGTTTTTATCCGTTTTTTATTGTTATGTAGGGTCCTGTGCCGGTTTTCGACTTTTTTTTACTTTAGGATTTGTTTGTTGCGGGATCAACTTGCATCAGTTGCTGAAAAATTTATAAATATAAAAATAAAAACAATCTTTTTTTCCAGTTTTCAACTAAGTCCTACTTTGACCATAAACATATTCCCATTTTCATTCATGCTTGAACAAAGTAAAGGTTTTTTGTTTTGAATATTTTCAGAATACAGAAATAATAGTATATTATTGTATTAGGATTCAGTGTTATTTTGTGGCGAGCAATTTTTGTATTTGCGAGGCGACGTAGCGTAGCCGAGCGAATGCAAAATTGCGAGACAAAAAAGGCACTTTTAATCTGAATAAAACATGCTATTTTTTCTCCAACCGATATCCCTCATTTAATTATTACTTTGTGCTTTGAATTAACACTTAATCTATGGATTAAAAGTGTCAACTTTAGCTCCTGATATTAAAAGTGAATACTTTTGTTGCTAAGACACCATTTTTATCTCAGTAAGGAAAATGTCAACCTTAGAGACTACTGAAGGTCAAAAAATGTCATAGTTTTGTGACGGTTGAAGAAAAACGCCATTTTTCTTTATTTTTTGTAACTGTTGCCAATAATTTGATTTGGGTTTCCAGAATACACTCTACTACTGAAGGTACATATTTTAATAGATTAAGAAAAAATAACAGATTCTAAATAAATTGATAAATCTAATCAATAACAATTATTATAAAAAGACATCAACGAATCCAAATAAAGTGGTTGAAAACTAGATTTCATATTACAATTATTTTTCCAAATAATGAGTTTGATTAAAACAAAATATATCTGATTATATTCAGTAAAATGGGAGACAAAAATTTGAAGCTGATTACCAGATTCTCAACCAGCTGCTTGAAATCCGGTCCGGAACAGTTTTCTAATACCTATTACTCGACCATTCGAAAAAAATTATCAGTATATAGTTTAAAAGTTCGATTCCTGATATACATTAATTATAAAAATCAAATCTATTTAGAAATACTATATTATTTATCTTTCTATTATCTATTTTTAATTTTTGTCACATAAGTAGACTACTTGATTGTGTAAGGGGGAAATGATGATCAAAACCAGGAATGAATATTTATTATTGCTTACTTATTTCTGCTCTAGTTTTACAAAACTAGTTGAAAACGAGTATTAGTCAGATAGCCACCGAATTGACCCTATCGCAGTTCTATAAGAAAATCCTCAACACAGTGGTAGTGTTGAGGAAAGAAATGATAATGAAAATAATATTTTTATTTCTTGCAGATGACATCCGTACATCATATTTTTTAAATTTTGGGATGATATCCATTTGTGTTTGGATGGACATTATAGTCCTGTAAGTAAATTCAGAAGTACATATTTATTAACAGTAACCTTTCGGCACTAACCTCTAACCCTCTGATCATTTATTGCTATACCACTCTATTATTTCTCTTTATAAAAAAATAAATAGATAAATATGACTGCTAACAATTAATTTCCTCTTAACACCAATTAAATATGTTTTTTCTATTTCCCTGCAGAAATGGTTATGTAATGCAATGTTGGAAAGAACAACGAGATCATATTTCGAAGATATCTTATCGAAAGATTTCACTTACCTTGAAAAACAGGATCTGATCTCCCTAGAGAACAAAAGGAACCTGAGGTGCAAACTGAGAAATTCAAACTTAAAGGAGACCGATGACGTTGGTCGCTCCTCAGATGAGCGGAACATGACACGGAAGACCAGAACGAGGAGGCCACGGATACCAGCCATCCAGTCTGGATATTGCGCTGTTTGCAACATACCTTACAATAACGTCGAAGACCACATACAATCCAAGAAGCACTTGAAACTTATCGGAGAGGATGCAAATTATATCGCACTGAACGGTTCTTTAAACGGCTTCTTGCAAACCAGCAGCATCCCTTTTTTGAATCTTAATGGCATAGATGCAATAGGTGAGTCAGGACTATCTAATTTCATAATATAATAAGTAGTTAAGATTATTGTAAATACCCTTACTAGGACTGTTTGTTTTACGGTAAATGTTTATAAAAAATTGTAGTTTTTTTCTTTATCCACAGACACTTTTTTTATTACGTTATCTATAAATATTAGAGGTACCTATTAGGGAAATTTAGTTTTAATTGAAAAATTTAAATTAAAAGACGAATTCGAAAATATCATGATTGTTACTGTAAAGCAGTGGCATACTATTTAGAAAAAGATGCCTCCGATACCCCGTATCTCCGCCATTGAAGCATCTCAATTTTAGGAAAAGGCCTCAGATTTTGGACAATGTTTACATACATACAATTTTAAATTATTTCACTTACTAGTTTTTAAATTATTTAAAGAAATTATTATTTTTTTAAGTTTAACGCCCTGTATCTTTTTAGCGAAGCGACCTATATAAAAACTTTATACGAAACACCCCTTAAAATTCACCAAAGAATATGAGGTTTCATTTTTGGTCACCATTTGTGAATCACCCTGTATATTACAAATATTAGAAACATATTATGTATACAAAATGCCTTAAGGGGCAATTCCACTGTAAAATGCTAAAATAAAGTGTCTTTTTGCAATTCTTTTTAATAGAAGGAAAAGTAAGAGGATCATAATATTCAAGGATGTTTTTAACCATGTCTTTAAGTATTAAAAAATATATATTTATAAACAGTACAAAATAGCGCTGTTGGGACCATTTTCATGAAACAGTGTTACTGACGCAAATTTGAATATGGTTAAAAACAAAAAAATTTCTCTTAATCAATGGGTATGGTTAGAGAAATATGTAGGAAATTTTAAAATCATTAATTTTTGTGTGATTTGTGAGCATTTGAAGTAAAAAGTTCAATTTATGACAAAAAATAAGCAATCATTTGTTAATAAATAATGTTAAAATCAACTTATCAAAAATCGTTGACTTGACTTGATTATTGCCTTAGATATTGATGGGTGAAACATAACCCACCAATTATAACATATCTTCAGTGTTATTGTTACTCAATACCTAACAAAACAAGAAAATTAAACAGATTTTAGGGCGCCAAGTGATTTCTGTAATTTCTAAGTACCCTCAACCGAAAATTTACTTAGAGAACTATAATGAGGAAACCACTAAACATTCAATATAGATTTATTATAGGATTTGAATATTTATACAGGGTACTTTAAATTTAAAGGTATATGGACATCGGTAGAAAGACAAAACATATATATACATAAATTCACATATAAAAAAAATATATGTCAAAGGAGTCTTACCCTTGCAAAATTCTAACCGACAACTGTTTCAAGTATGGTCGGATAATGGAAATTCTTATGCTAAATAATCTTAAACTAATTTTATTTACAAAGGTGCCAACACTTATGGCTATTATTGATCTGTCGACTCGGTGGAAAAAAGAAAAAGGTTGAATCTTCAAAATTATTATTAGGTGCTTGGTACTTATCACGCGGTACACGCAATGAGGTGGTACCTTTTCCACAGGACGAGGGATGGTCGCTGGCCGAGTGGATTGTATTTAAATCTGCAGCGGTTTCTTTTCCGACCGATGACAAAACTCTGCCATACAAAACTCTGGCTTACAAAACTCGTTGGGGGGAGTTCTCCAAAAAAAATGTCGTATGACAAAAAAACTACTACCTCCCAGGTAAAATGTCTAAAAGTGTAGATAAAAACAAATGAGTAACATTGTTCTGTAATGAGTTAGGACTTGAATAATATTTTTATCGAAATTTTGTGCACGCTTACCTCCAATGCCGAATTCCTTAACAATGGAGACATAACAGACAAATATGGCTCGATTCAGAAGAAAATCTGGCACGATCTTCAACTAAAACTTACTAGAACTAAACAGCGATGCCTTTTATTGCGAATAGTAGTTTTAATCCGTGCAAATCACGTATAATAATTAGCAATAGTAATTATTTTGCCGACACCCATGACGTCTAGCCATTTTACAAAACTCGAACAAAAACTGTTAAAGAAGTGCTCTTTACTCTACGTGAGGCGACGTTTTTCGGCAACCGATAGTGTTATCTTCTTTTTAAAAATTTAAATACAAATACCTTTCCACTCTCCCATAGATGTCCCTCAGTGTCCGAAAATATTATTTATATACGTATTTAAAAGTGCTTATTATATATGAATAGATATATACTAAATAAAATAAAATCTAATGCTCTTTCCAGAATTTAATTTGTAAGCAAAACACAAAGCTAGTAGGCACAAAGTAATATTTTGTGTTAGTAGGCAATAAGTATCAATGATATTTAGGATATGTCATATGCTTTGTAGCTTATATCTCCCCTACAGTGAAATTATGCTGATAAATACAGGGTGTTAAAAAAGAGTGTAAAATATTTAAGGAGGTAATACTATGAACCAAAATAAGCAAAAAAGTCTCAATAAACATGGGTCCGCAAAGTAACGGTTGTGGAGATATGGAATGTTTTATGTTTTTTAGCCCCTTTTTTTATTTTGCAAAAATGTGTATTTTCTTATAATTGTTGGTTGATGTTTAGTGAAATAAACAGTACGTATTTGACAGTTGTTCTCAGTGCACAAGTTTTCTTTCGCAATGGCTGGTTACTCTTAACGCAGAATTAACAGACATGCATTTCATGTATGGTCGTGCTAATGGGAACGCCACCGAAGCGCGACGTCTTTATGTTGACGCTTATCCAAATCGCCAGATTCCTTCACAATGCATGTTTGGAAGAATTCACCAAATATTGCGTGATACCGGTTCCTTGAGCAAACAGTGCCATTTATCCGGAAGACCAAGGTCGGTATCCACTTCTAGAGCAGAAGAAGAAATTCTAGCACTGGTAGAGCAGAATCCAGGTACGAGTGTGCGGAGAATATCAGCCGAGGTAGGAATTAGTGGTCCTCTTGTTTGGAGAATCCTTCAGGAGCAACTGCTTTATCCATACCATGTGCAACGAGTACAGGCCTTAAATCCAATAAATGATCATCAAGCTCGTTTGGTTTTTTGCCGCTGGTTTCTACGTCATGATGCTGAAGACCCTCGTTTTCATGCAAACATTCTTTTTACAGATGAGGCGGGGTTCACAAGAAATGGAGTGTTTAATTTTCACAATACGCATATTTGGGCCGACGAAAATCCTCATGCTCTAATAGAATCTGGACATCAGGCACGTTTTTCATTAAACATTTGGATGGGTATTGTAGGTGACAAGTTTCTAGGTCCTGTTGTTTTACCAAACCGATTAACAGGTGCTGCTTACCTCAACTTTCTACAGAACACACTGTATGAGTTTTTGGAAGACATTCCTTTGAATCAGAGGCAACAAATGTGGTTCCAGCAGGATGGTGTTCCAGCTCATTTTTCCATGGCTGTTAGAGAGCATTTACACCAAACTTTTCCACATAGATGGGTAGGAAGGGCCGGACCTGTTTTATGGCCTCCAAGATCGCCTGATCTGAACCCTCTAGATTTCTTTGTTTGGGGATATTTGAAGACATTAGTGTATGGTACTACTGTAAATAGCCTGGAAGAGCTGCAGCTACGGATTAATCAAAAGTGTCAAGAAATCCAAACCAAGGAGGGTGTTTTCAAAAGAGTTCGAATATCGTTGAGACGAAGATGTCGTGCCTGCTTGGAAATGGACGGAGGGTACTTTGAACATCTTCTGTAACTTTGTTTTTTGTTTGTTAAAAGCTTCCTTTGTCGGTTTATTCCTAATAAAATAAAATGTTTGAAAAACTAATAGTGGTTCATATCTCCGCAACCGTTACTTTGCAGACCCATGTTTATTAAGACTTTTCTGCTTATTTTAGTTCATACTATTACCTCCTGAAATATTTTACACTTTTTTTAACACCCTAATACATCCAAATAGCGAAATTGTTAATAGGTCATTTCACATATGACATACTGATAAGAATTAATAATTTCCGAACCGGTCTATGTCCGGTGATTGCTGATGGAGACATCTCACAAAATAACCAGTTCTTAATCTATAGATTTATTGTTAAGTTGAAAATTTGTCACTGTTTCGAGTCAGAATTAATCAACTTGATGCAACTTCTATGAGTCCTAACCTAACATCGTAGAAATTGCTTTGATTTCCTTCAGTATATTTCTTTTGAAATGATTCGTTGAGATATGACACAGCTCTGTCTTGAGTGTTAACTAGCCTTATCCATTAAACTAATGATACACCTATGGCCGATTTAAAATTTATTGATTTATCATTCTATGTCATTTCCAAAAGGACTAGAGTTATTAACTATAATATTTCTAGGAGTACACGAGACGTCCCTTGAAGATTTTTCCCCGAAATACAAACGCAGAAGTATGCCGAGAACGAGAGCCACTTCTGTTGTGAGCGACAGGGTAACAAAACCATCTCCTCTATCGCCCACGGGTAGCGATGTGACAGGACATCATCTTAGGTCTCGCAGGAACATCAACTACATGACGCCTCCTTTGGACGACGACAGTTTACAGGAAAAACTGGATTTGACTGAGAAGCGAGTAATAGAGCCAGTTCATCAAGAATATCGAGAATATCGGGAACTGCGATCGAGTACGAGAGCTTTAGCGGTAAGTACTCTTTGCTTAATCAGTTGTAGTGGTTATGAAGTACGTATTTTTGTATTTTTGTTATAGAAATTAACAGAACAAATATCCGACCATCACGAGGAAGTGTGGAATTCAGGTCGACCAAAAAGAGCATGCATCAGACAGAAACGCGTCTCTGCCGATGAACGCCTCGTTTCTAACAACAAAACTTATTACAAGGTGGAAGTGTTGTCGTCCAAGCTCCGTTCGAATACGAACCAACCGAGGGAGGCAGACGTTATAAAAACGCGTCAGTCGCAGTTGGCAAAACGCGAAGAAGAGGAGAAGGAAAAGGGATTGATCGTAAAATTTAAAAAACTGAGGAACTCCGAGTTGATCCAACTGAATAACGAGGCCACAAATTTCTTATTCCCTAAAAAAGATGACGAATCGAGCGAAGAAGAGGAAGAAGAAGCGGATGCAGACTACGCAAGTGCCACGGCCAGTGTGACGCATGGAAACGATTCTAGCGATGCTGAGGATGGAGAACAGTTATCGCAGAAGTTTAAAGTGGAAGATGAGGCTTCCATGGATAGCACTTGCTCCGAGAATAAGAGAAAAAAGAAGAGACGGACACATGCCGAGGCGTTTATCATGGACAATCAGAAGTATTACAAGTTTGAAATGCCCGGTTCAAGGTTAGTGTTGATTTATTGTGATTTGTAGCCATGCATTTAGGCATTAATCTGGTTAACAAATATGATTCGATAAAGTGCTAAACCTTAAAAGTTCTTGCAGGTTGAGGTATCATGGGTCATATCTACCGTCTATTATGAAATCGCCAAAACATGGAGAAGCTTGTTTAGTGAAAAAGGAGAGGGACGATGCCACTGAAGAACCGAAGGAAAAAATCGGAAGAGTGAATAGGGGCGCAAGGCTCTCACTTGAGAAATACAAATTCTCATTTGAAAAGATACCTCGTAACACAGCATGGTACAACACCTTCCAGCGGATCGATAAAGGGGAACAGAGATATACATTTTTCAACAATCACTGTAAGTAATGAGCTCTTAAATATACAGGGTATTGCCCTTAAATTTTTAGCTGACAAAGTGTCATTTTTGTCGCCTAGCTGCAAAATACTTTTATTTAAAACAAATATCAAAATAATTTGTCATTTTTTCGAAACTTATTTATGATTCTATTAATTAAACGACATACATTTTAAGTAATATAACATTTCTATACAAAACAGTTATAAACAGGATGATTACAATTTATTTTGCACTACATGTAAATTGGAAGTGCCGATATTGCAGAGAGTTAAATTTATGTCAGATCCAGTGCTGTCAGTTATCGTAGCTAGTTCTGAGTGTTCAATGAGGCTGCTGATGTAATTGTTTAAGTTTACTGCGTATGTTGTAATATTGGCAAATTCCATAGGCTCTGCTGAAGATGGTAACAATTCATTTGCGATTGAAATTTTAATTTGGTATTGAATCTTGTATATATCTCCGCTACCGTATTAGAATGCCACCCCCATGCTGTTTAATGGTGGTAATATCGGCCCCTGCATCAGCTAACAAAGTGGCAGAATTCGGGAATTCTTATAATAATAATTGAACCTTTGTATTCGATATCATCGATCGTTATCTTTAGTAGCTCATCTGTTCTCAAAGCTCCACAAACACCAATTATTAAAATGACCTGAAAAATTCAAAATTGGTTAAATCGATCGATTTATATTAATTTGAATTAAATTTTCTAGCAGAAATCTATTATTAGGTGCTTCTTGTAAAAATCTCTCAATTTCCTCTTTCGTTAGAATTCTGGACTTTTTCGGACGGTATCCAACTGATTCGCTGTTCAGATATGGTATTAGTTTTTGAAATTTTCTGATATTTACATTTTTTTTGGCATTCAGTGTACTTTTTAACATGGAATATACCGACCATAACGTCGAAGATTTAATTTTATCGAAATATGCCAGTAATACTGCTTTGTACACTTTGTGCCACATCCAATACTTCCCCTGGTAATTGCTTGTCTTCACTTTCTGAGCTCATTTTGAATTAAACACTTAGAATATGAATTACAATATATAATTCTGACATTACTTTTTCATATAACCAATTTTTATTGTTTATTAGGCTGCTATCGTGCTATGATAGTCACCGCGCCTAAACCGTCTTGATTCAAACACGGTTCAAACGATTTCAAATATAAATTAAATTGTTGTTATAACACAATTGTCTTATTTTATTGCAGTTTTCGAAAAAATATTGTTTGCATCTCGAACGCGAAATGCTTTTGCGCTTTCGCTAAGCTCGGCAAACTAACTTCCATTCTTGAACGCAAAAGTACCATTTCACTTCTAGATACGAAAATAACTATTTTTTACAATTTTGTAAAATAATTTTTGAATATATTTCAATGAAGTTTGACATAAAGGAATTTTTGGAGCAGCCAAATACAAATGTATACTTATTTTTTACTTGAATAATATCAAAAAAATTTTTGTAAGGATTACGCTAATTTTTCTTGAGAAAAATAAATTTTAATTTTTTACTGCAGTCTTCAGTTACGGACAACAGAGTATTTGGTGATAGGAACACAGATCGAAAGGAAAGTTATCGATACTTTAAAATATCGATACTCGATACTAAATATCGGTTGCTAAAAATAATAAACTTCTATTTACATCAATGTTCCATTAACAAAAGCGAAAATCTAAGAAAAAAAAAAAGATGTTTAGAGACAAAATTTTAATAAAAAGAAACAAGAAATTGTAATTACTATAGCAAAAATGGCCAAATAGTCACAAAAATTTCCCTACTCTCTTATTTTCGAGGATGCTGAACACGAATCTGGAGTTATTTTTGTGCGGTCGATCCTAGTTTTCGAGAAAAATTTTTTTCACTACGCCCAACTGTATACTTTATGTAGCTTTCAGAACATCTGTAATGAACAATAAATATCGCTTAAGCAACACATTTTCGCAAATTTCAAGTAAAAAAAAATATATATTTAGTAAATAAAATATTATTTATAGCCTCAATCTGCCCTTTACAATTATTCATATTGTCATTGCAGTTCTTCTACCCTCTTCATCTGTGTTTATCATCATAGAAACATGGCATTTTTCCATACCCCGCGTATTCCATACCAAATTTTGAAATTTGCAAAGTAAAATAAGTTGAACGTAAAGCCAGTTTTTATGATACGATACTTTCTCTCAGTATCGATATTAGTAAAGTATCGAATGGAAGGTATCAATACCAAAATACCTTAGTATCGAAACAAAAGTATCGATACCTCCTAAGTATCGAAGTATCGTTCGCGTCCCTATTTGGGGGTATCCAAGTCTAATTAAACTTCACCCTTTTGCTAAATTTGTAATTAAATTATTATTTTTTTAAGTGAAATATAGCCTTGTGACGTAGATTGCAATAGGGGGAACCATGTTATACATTTTAGTTTTAATTACGATTTGATTAAAAGAAAAGTTGTATAATATATATTCTGAAAGTACCTACCTTCAATTACGATAAATTACATCTTTCTATAGGGTCTAATTTAAAATGTTACTTGCAGATTATTGGGACCCATTCATCTTACCTTACCAAATGCCAACAATCACGCCATTGGATCCGAGAGTCTGTATGGGCCAATATAGTCAGCTGTTGAAGTGCATCTGTGATCCAACATCAGAGACCGAATCGATAGGTTGCAGTACTCCAGAATGCAGCATTACCACTTCCAACACCTCTATGTATGAGCCGGAAATAGATGAAGACAGCAAGATGAGCGTAGTAACCGTCAGTTCTACGCACAGCATAGAGGAACCCATAGAAAGGAAAAGAAGAGGAAGACGGCCACGGTCACTCATACAGGCCAGTGCTAGTGGTAAAAATCCAAGAAAATCCCCAAGACAGCACGCCTCTACTTTGGCCATATTGAGTAGTCTGATTCACCAGAGGAAGAGAAGGTCAAGGAATAAGGCTCTAAACGACTCGAATCAAAGCTTGCCCGCCATCCCGGAAGAAGATGTCAGTCCTCAACAATCCCCTCAAAACCAACGGTCGCTACAAAAGACGAAAACACCCCTAAGGAAGTTCAAACCCAAGATAGACTACTTTTCGATGGCCCGACAAATAGACGAGGAACTGGACAATGCTTGGGAGGACGACAACTTGGAAGAATTAGAACTAGAAGTCGAGGAAAACCCGATAGACATCGGCAAGAACAAAGTAACTGTCAACGACGTCTTGAGGTTGTACGAGGAAGAAAAGTCGAAGGAAGACGGGAAGAGCTGCAAGAGGTTCTTTAACGGAACGCCGGGACGTAAACCCGGAAGGAGGAAGAAAAAGAACAAAACGGGGTGGCCGAACAAGAACAAGCGGCTGTCGAAGAAAGGACAAGAGAAGGAGAAAGAAGAAGAGAATGACGATAGTACAATAGACTCCATGAGCGTCAACATGGATTCCGAGGAGGAGGCGTGCGAGGAAGACGCAAACTCGACTGATAGTGTAAAGAAAGTAGTGTCGGGCAAAGGCCAACAGAACGGTGATCAAGCTTTAAACAACGTGAAAGACCAGAACGGCGACGTCGACAGGGTAGAGAAGACAGACATTAGTGACAAAGTACTGACCAACAAAGTGACTAACAGGAGTGATTTCCAACCGTACGTCTGTGTCGAAAAGCTGGATAGTGATAAACTGTTGGGGAAGCAAATCGGCACCCCCAAAAGGACGAATAGGAGGCAGAGGCGGATGCCCGGCTCGCCTAAGTCCCCCAGAATGTTGCGGAAGCCCAGAGGCAGGTGGTATCGAGAGAGATAGAATCCACATGTATTTTTGTAATTATTTATTTTAATGTATTTTCGATTAATTTATAAGAGATTGTATTCTATTTTGTACCAAAACTATATTAATTTTATAACTTTAATGACTTTAATTTTGTAAGGCGGGTGGCCCGTTCAGATTCTTCATTTCTTTAATAGCATCTGTAGTTTATTCCGTGTGTAAATAGAAATCCGCTAATTTAAAATCAAATGTTATCGAGTTGTCAGAGAATTGCACGAGGCCATCGACGGAGCGAATATTTGTTGCAAATAAAAAATTTAAATAAAGTTCTTTATATTTGATATTTTTATTATCGAGAGAGTACTATTATAAAAGATTTGCTTTAAAAATTACATCACGGTCCTGTAAGAACTTCTTTTAATGTGCATATTTCCAATGGTCATACTTGAAATGTTTCAGATTCTATTTAAAAAAAAAAATTAGAGGCAGCCAAATAAGCAAAGATGTCGCTCATATTTCAAAAGCACTTGGTAAAACAAAATATTTTTTGATTATAAACTGATGTAACTCGACAGGCGGGAAAAGAGAATATCGTTTGAAAAACGTATTCATCAGATTAGGTTTGCTTAAGAGGGTTCTATAGCAAACAGGCAACCAGCTATACATTTTTATAGATTTTATTACACAGTTTGTCTAAATATGAATTAATGCACAAATGACAGACTTTCTTGCATTCTAACACAGATTTTCTATAAAATGGAGCTAATTTGAAACTCAAAGTACTTTTTGGTGGAAAGAAATTTGAAATTTAGGACGCCGCTTGTTCAGAAGCGGCAAATTACAAATTTCTTTACAACAAAAAGTAATTAGTTTCAAACTAGCTCCATTTTATAGAAAATCTGCGTTAGAATGCAGGAAAGTCTGTCATTTGTGCATTAATTCATATTTAGACAGTGTGTAATAAAATCTATAAAAATGTATTGCTGGTTGCCCATTTGCTATAGAGCTAGTGATGGGAACAATCAAATGAATTAAATAATCGAGAGGTTACCGTTCGAATTAATTTTATAATCGAAAGTTTCCGACCCATCCCAAATCATATGAGACATGTTGACGCTAGGTAAATGAATGACTGTCGCAGATTGCGGCATTTCTTCGTTGCCAGTCGAGTGGTTCAGCAGCACGTGTTTAAAATGAGTAGTCACCGCCTAAAGAGGTCCATTGTTTGAGATTTTTTTTTTCAAAAAAATATCAGCGATATATTTAATTTACTAATTACTCATTTACTAATAAATGTTTTTTCCAACGCTCTGTGACGAACCACTCCTAAGGTGTAGCAGGAATCATTTCTTTCTCAGGCACCCTGTCTGTATACAGGCTGGTATAAAAGTATGGGAACCCCAAAAAATCTCACGAGAATGCATTTTCCGGTTAAACCAAATATAGGGAAAGTTGGTATTTTTCCCTTTCTATTCAATGGTGGCCATGCTATGACCACTGACCAGTTGGTCATAATGGGGTCAAGACGATTTTTTTAAATTCGGAACACCTCTTTTTGACCACGGAAATGGAGAGCGCAAAATATTTTATTATATGACCTTGACCATTTCAAAATGACGGACGAAATTTTTTAAAGTTAACCGATTGTCATCAAATTTAAGGTCGGATTAAAAAAATCAAGATGGCGGATCCAATATGGCACACGAATTATTTGAAAATCAACCAATTTGCACCAAACGTTCTATACAGGTGTTTTTGGGGTTGCCGATCATGAATTTGAGGTCAAATTTGCAAAATTCAAGATGGCGGATAAATTTTTTGAAAATCAGTCGATTTGCATCAAAGATGGTATACAGCCGTTTTCGGGGTTACCGATCACGAATGTGGGGTCAGTGACCCCCAAAACCCCCGTATATAAAATTTGGCCCCATTGATTAAATTTAAAAAACCCCATCCACTATCTTGGATCCGCCATCTTGAATTTTGGTGATCAGTGACCTCGAAAACCTCCGTATACAAAATTAGGTGACAAGTCCTAACTCTCCCTATATTTCCGGGTTTTTTCGGAAAATGCATATCTCACGAGATTTTTTGGGGTTCCCATACTTTTATGCCACCCTGTATATTAAAATTGGAGTCGATAAATACAATTGTTCTAAAAGATATTTTACAAATAAAAAAAGAACTAAAGAAAAAAAACGATTAATTATAAAATAACTTTATTTAACAATAATTATATATTACAAGTATATTATACCACAGAAAGACAATAAAAATAATTTTCAATTACATATAATAACATAGCAAAGTACATACAATATCTGAAATATATTTACGTTATATATACATAAAGTCAAAAAGAACTACCTACACGTACACGGTTGGTTCCAAATTTAAATATAACACTCTATTATCTGCTAACTACTTACACCCTCGAACATTGGTTATAATAAACGAAACCAAACAGGTGATAAATCACATCAATGAAGATCAATATTAACGTTTTTTTAGGCACCCAGTTTTCAGTCGTTTCATATAAACTCGGTAATCAAGTAGACGAACTATTTATTTTAAGTTTGTTTTTCACCCTGAACCTCTCCTCCAACTCCCCAGGGACCTTAAAAACATGCTCTGTTAATTTCTCTGTCAATCGAACCGATACTAGACTATCGATACTGGTTAGTAATTTTTTATATTGTAAACAAATAGGCCTACCTACTTAAACACTATAACTACAGTCACAAAATGTTACATGAGGTGATATCCATTTCCTTGTTTACCAGAAAATAATTGGAAATAGTTTGAATTGACGTTACAAATAGGCAAAAAACTGTATTTACTAGAACGATTTTCCTTCACGAGAAGTTCTATAAGACGTTGATTGTCATTGACTTATAAAGATAGTGTAAAACATTTCTAATAAATATATTTTCAACTAATTTCCTATACTACGTTCCAATTGACCCGAAATAAAAGAAAATTATATTTAAATTTTTTTATTGGCAAGAAAATCCATTGACAAATACAGATTTTCAATAAAACTTTATTCAAATATATCGACAGTAAAAATTTACTATGAAAGCTTATAAAGTGATCAAGATTAACACTTTCGACTAAAACACTTCACGAATAACTTGGCACAATTCAGATAAATTGAATTATTATAATGTGGTACTTCAGTACGTCTACGATATGTTTTTATTTGTCAAGGATGCATGGCAAGTACTTTTTAATATTAAGTATCGAACAGTCTTTAATAAAATCGTTGTTTTTGGGAGAAAAATAAGCGTACAGGACATGTATTGCTCTATAGAGTAAAGTAATGTGTTAGTACCTTGACCAATACAATTATTATAAAGAAATATGAATTGTCAACTTACATTACATGGACAAAACATGAGCGAGTCTTTACTTTCACAAATTAACATTTTTATTGACATTTGTTTAATTCATTGACAATTTCTATGATCACAGAGAATTTTCAGAGAAAAAATGTTTAACCAAAAAATTTTAAATAAAGACTCGCCCCATTTAACAAGGAACTCTCCCTAGCCAGAAGAAACCAAACTACATAAATAAGCTACCTATATAACTAGCTACCTTCTAAACATTTTTAAAATTCCAAATTGAACATTTACTTTCAAGTAATGCAAATTATTCCGTTGTGTTGCTCTAATTTTTCTTTTATTTTTGTTTCTTTTTTTTATTTATGGGCTACTGTTAATACGAATTATCAGTCATTTTCCTTGAATCAAATTAAATAACAACATTGCTTATCTTATGATATTGCTAAAATTTTATATTACTTATTACTGAACTTGATTGCATTTTTATCATGTAATATTGCCTTGTCAGTTGGTTTTAGTAGTTTGATAAAAAACTGCAAAAACTAAATTTGTTATTAAAATAAAGTACAAAGGTCTTAAATTTCAGATGGATCCTCTTACAGCATTTTTACTGATGATGTTTGTATTACTGATTTATTTAATCTGTAGATTAAAAAAACTCTAAAAGAGAAGGAGGATATTACAAAACAGCTCTACAAAGAGAAAGAGGATATTATAAGACAAAAGGAGGATATTGCAAAACAGCTCTACAAAGATAAGGATATTACAAAACAGCTCTACAAAGAGAAGGGGAATATTACAAAACAACTCTACAAAGAGAAGAAGATATTGTAAAATAGCTCTACAAAGAGCGGGGGATATTACAAAATATCTCTACAAAGAGCAGGTGGATCTTACAAAACAACTCTACAAAGAGAAGGAGGATATTACAAAACAGCTCTGCAAAAGAGGATTTTATAAGACAAAAGAAGGATATTGCAAAACAGCTCTACAAAGATAATGAGTATATTACAAAATAGCTCTACAAAGACCAGGAGGACATTATAAGACAGGAAGAGGATATTGTAAAACAGCTCTACAAAGAGAAAAAGGTTATTGCAAAATAGCTCTACAAAGAGCAGGAGGATCTTACAAAACAACTCTACAAAGAGAAGGAGGATATTACAAAACAGCTCTACAAAGAGAAGGATATTATAAGACATGGAGAATATTATAAGATAGAAGGTGGATATTGCAAAACAGCTCTACAAAGATAAGGAGGATATTGCAAAATAGCTCTACAAAGAGCAGGAGGACATTATAAGACAGGAGGAGGATATTGCAAAACAGCTCCACAAAAAGCAGGAGGATATTACAAAACAATCCTACAAAGAGAAGGAAGATATTATAAGACAGAAGGAGGATATTGCAAAACAAATCTACAAAGAGTAGGGAGATATTACAAAACAACTCTATAAAGAGAAGAAGATATTGCAAAACAGTTCAATACGACAATGCCGAGGAGTGGAAAATTGGCCAATTGAGATCTGCATTTGAAATTAATGAAGATTCCTGATGAAGATAGAAAATTAGAGGGTCTATCAGAACTGGCGTACCGAAATCATAGGAAATTCCTCATCTTCTGAAAATGATGGAAGAAATGTTTAAAAAATCTATCTTTAAGAGTCATTAGAAAAGAATCAATCAAACATGGCTGATTCCTGTGTTATAGCCCATAATGCAATTTACCGTTGCAGCAACGCACTACACATAATCTACAGGTTAGCCAATCCGCATGTATGAATTGCAGGTCTTGAAAAACTATTAAGTAGGATTTTTTAATTTTTTAAGAGCAAGAGAACAGATTTTATTTTTTAAATTGAAAATTTCAGTAAGCTGTTATATAACTTTTGTACTATGTGTATTTTTAATTTCTCTTTTTAAGTAATTAAACCAATGTAAAAAATTTTGTTAATTTTAATAAAATCTTTGTAAAAAAGCCATAACTTTGTACAGCGCAATCGTTTGATTTCCTACCATCTATTGGATTTAAACAAAAATGCATCTCTTGCTTTAATTATTTATAGATTATGTTTTTTAATTAAATGATAGACTCATTAGCCCTTAAGTGATTCTGCCGTGAAGGAATTTTGTTTAGTCTAGAACTGATAATGTTGATTATGTAACTTATTTTTTACAACAGATTAAGTCATAAATGCAGAAATTCAATAGCAAGTGAAATAAAAAAACTACTATAATACACTCCTCAAAACAATTGCATTATAAAAAAAATATACAGTCAAAATAAAATGTCATGTCAGCAGCAAAAAAGGCAAGTGTTATCAAGGAAATATTATAGATCGCATACCAGCAACACAACAAATGTAAATAAACATTACTCGTGTACATTCACATGCAGAATTTAGCTATATATTTTTTTCAATTATAATAATGTGAACTATATCGAAAAAAAAAGAAGAATATAGTTGAAAGTGTAACAGTGGGTTCCCAGATCACTTCCAGCATTTTTAAGGAACTTTTTAAGGAACGATTTGTTGATGAGCATCGAATTAAGAAAAAGCTATGAAAATCTAGACGTTACGTAAAAAATACATTTTTTTCCCATTTAAAAGAAAGTCAATAATAGAGACTTGTAAATGTGTGTATATGAATTTAAAGGTGATACTATCTCTCCGAGTGATATCTATGAATAAAACCAGGGCCGTCAGAAGGTTTTTTTAGACCATGATAATTTTTATGTAGGTATAATGCATTAAGACCCAGACAAATATTGTCATAAAATGAAATATTTGAAAATATGTTACCCATATTTTTTTATTTCTGTATAGAATTAAGTGACAATTTAAAACTGTTTTAATTTTTCCATCTATTAATTTGAGGTACAATTAAAATCTCATAACAATGTCTTCCAATTCGTAGCAGAGAAAGATTTAAATAATATCTCTTATAGAGGCTGTATCTAAATAACATCGAAAAAAATGTAAATGTCTGATAAAAATTAATAGAGGTCTTCGGTATAAAATTTTTTGAAAAAACCCCAATTTTCAAAATGTTTTTTTTTTATCTTCCATGTATATCAAGCTAAAGAAACCAAACTTGGTGAACATTATGTCAAAAAAACTACACTTTTTGAAATTTTTTCAACCCTGAAGTAAGTTCGTAAGGGGTTAAAATAATCAACTCCTGTGACATTTTTTGTTATAACTTTTTTTTGGATAAAATTTTTTCCATTTAAAAAATATGTTTAAAAAGCCCCATTCATTTACTAACTTTTTGATCTCTTCAAGTTTTTTCGAAAAGGTAAGGATTTATGAAAAAAATAAATAAATGAATTGCAATGCATTTTTAAAGAGATGAGCTGTTTATCGCGAATGTATTTTGCCGAAAGATCTAGTGGCCTGTTTTACTACACATTTTGAAATTTTTTCAACACTGAAGTATTTTCGTAAGGGGTTAAAATAATCAAACCCTACGACATTTTTTCTCATAATTTTTTTTTTCGATAAAATTTTTTCCTTTTAAAAAATATGTTTACAAAACCATTCATGTAACTTAACTTTTTGATCTCTTCCAAGTTTTTTCGAAAAGGTAAGGATTTATGAAAAAAAAATGTATTGCAATGCATTTTTAAAAAGATGAGCTGTTTATCGCGAGTGTATTTTGCCGAAAGATCTAGTGGCCTGTTTTACTAAACTTTTCGAAATTTTTTTAAACCTGAAGTATTTTCGTAAGGGGTTAAAATAATCAATTTCGAGCTACAACAGTGTATAATGCAACAAATTAGAAGATGAAATGCGACAGATACAACATTTCATTTATTTTTTAATTTTAAACTTTCGTTTATCTTAAACCCATATCAGACAATGCAGTTTAGTTGCGGCGACAAAATTGTGGGCATTTTGTTGCCCGGATAAAATACATAGTTTATAAAAAATTTGTTTAAACTTACGCAAATTTTTGCGTAAGTCGCAAATACCCTTGTGCCGACCCTAAATATCACAAAAAATCTAAAATGTTTTGTTTTGGTCAGTAAAATCAACAAAAATCTAGTAAAAAAAAATTACTGTCGTTTTTCAACGTTTTGAAGATACTGAGAACCCTTTGTAAGGATGTGTTAAGTTCCTAGCATAGCGGAAATGAAAAAGCGCGACTGTGGATCCAGGCCAACAGTGAAATATTTTTCCGTGGAAGAGGTTTCACATATCGTTTGTAATAAAAAAATTCTGCACGTGTACGTACGCACATGATACAACCACTTCCATAAAACTCTCACAAATAACAGTCTATTATAAATATTTTTATTAATTTAACGAGAAAGAATGGTCGTTCTCAGAAATCCACTGGACGGCAACAGAAAAAAAAAAGAATTTCTCTTAGTTGAAACTTTTGTTAACAGTAGAATTTCGTAAAATGACCAAACGTTATTAACTAGTCAGGGGAATTTAAAATTTTAACTATTTTCTTTTTCTACTCGTTGGTTTTGGCCTGGTCCCTGAAAAAAGGTTTAATAGGTTACATGCAAAGGATTTGGTTATTTTTTTTTAATCGTTCAAGCAGAATAGAGGACTATCGACAGAAGCTATCGGAATACGACATGAAACCGATTACACTTACTGCTGGTTTTGGCCTGTGGGTGTCCACGGCGTCTATGTTGAGAGAAATGTGTTCGACTCGGCAACCGTAAGCAACGGGCGTTAATTTTATTATGGTGTGCAGGGGAACTTTGAGATACGGCAGCTCATCTAAAAAAAATAAATAAATTTGTTTTAGATCCGCTACCCAGTAAAACAGTTATTTTCTTTAATAAAAACTAACTATTTTAAAAAAAGATATTCATAAACATTTATATACTTTACGTTAAACTTAAATGGGTTTCAGCTTGTATGAAATAAATAAATACCTGCGGATTTATCTAAGAAATACGCAAGTAAGCAGCGCAAGACGGCTTGATGGGACACCACAAGGACGTTACCCTGCCTTTCCAATTCCATAATAACGGGCTCCAAACGAGCCACCAGATCCTCGTAACTTTCACCTCTCGGGTATCGATAAGCAAACTTATTCTGATCTCGAGAAGCGAATTCTTCTGGATAATTTTCCTTTATCTCTTCATACGTCATTTCCTCACAAACGCCCTAGAAAGAGTTCGATTTTCACAAAATGACATCCAAAAAAGGTAACAATAACTTTAAAAATATTTGCGTTACAAACGCAATTTATGGAATTTTTAAGTACAAAAAATCATTGGTGTAGGAATTTTAATTTTGTTAGAGGTTAGAAAATTAGAAAATAAGGAAATTCTAAGAAATACATTTTCTTTGAACATTTGATTACACTGTATTCCTAACAAAAGCTTCCCATAACTGTTTCTTTTTTTAACTACAGTTATTTTTATATTATTTATTTCGAGTAGTGGGACTTTATCTGAAATTTTGTGTTCTATCAAATCGTAAAATTTCTTGATTAACACATGAAACGTCCCATATAAAGGGACGATATAATGGTTGGAGAAAAATAAATGAAGTGATTCGAAAAGAAATTATAGTTTTCTTCTTCTTTATGCTCAATTCTAAAAAATAATTAGCGTTGTAATAAATTTAAAATTCGATAAAATTCATATCTAGCAATGTGACAACGGCGCGGCAGATAACACGAGGTACTAAGCTGTCCACCAATACACAACACACGATTCAGTTGGTATCTGGAATTCGACCGTATCGGAGTGTTTTTTGCGTACCACTATTTCCTTTTTTTTGAGCCGTTTATCTTTGCTTTTTTAAAATGTTTACCATACGTGAGTATCATGATATGTTATTAATTTATGGGGGGGCTCACCGCAATTCTGCTAGAGCTCGACACATTTACCTTCGACGTTTTCCCCACCGGCACGTCCCTAACATTTGTTCAAGTTTCACGTCTTCTTGAAACTGGTAGTGGATGTCAATGCGGAAGAACAAATTTTAGACATTGTTGAAAGAGACCCCAGGCATAGTACTGGAAGCATAGCTCGATAAGTCGGAGTGTCTCACTGAACTGTCCACAGGACTCTACAAGAGCAGTTGTTATATGCGTATCATCTACAGAGGGTTCAAGAATTGTCAGCTGCTGATTTCGCTCCTCCATTAAATTTTTGTAGACGGTTTTTAACTAACACTGACCGCAACCCCCATTTTATTTCAAGAATTTTGGTAACAGATGAGGCGTGATTTACTAGAAATGGCATTTTTAATGCACATAATTTTCATAACTAGGCAGAACAAAATCCACATATCATACAGACATCAAATTTCCAGTGTCGTTTTTCGATAAATGTTTGGTGTGGTACTAAGAAATACATTTGGACGTAAGAGCAAATATGTGGTTCATGCATAATGGGGCACCTGCACATGCAAGTCGACTCGTAGTTCAATATTTAAATGATACTATAGAAAATTGCTGGATAGGCAGGAACGGTCCCCATCGTTGGACAGCCCGTTCACCAGATCTAAATCCACTGGATTTTTACTTATGGGGGCATATGAAGGACTTAGTGCATGCCAGTGAGGTTGACACAACCGAGGACTTGCGAGAACGAATTTTTGCCACTGCCCATCAAATATAGGGATAAATCCGGGTATTTTCCAGCGAGTGCGCCAAAATTGGATTTGAAGGTGACATGCGTTCATCGAAAATGGTGGTTGATATTTTGAGCATAAGTTGTAGTTTGTTTGTTTTATACTTGTGTTTAAAAATTACTGAATTTTGCTTTTTGGTAAGTATTTAAATTATTTTTAATACGTAGGATTATTTGGATGATGTGAATCTTTGGGTACTTTTTAATTACATTTTTTTCAAATTCATAATGTGATTAAAATTTAAGTTTCTGTTTTAAAGAGATTCATAATTATTAAAATTCGAGCTAAAATTTAAGCACAATACTATCTTCATACTACAAAATCGATACATTTTATTTTGTTTATTTAAAAACTGGAAAACAATTGTCTTGAAATTTACTAAATGTTTCACAATAATAGTTATTTACATTTTTTCCGTAGCACAAGTCTGCCGCGTGCACACGTGGTGTGCATCAGCTGTGTAACATCAAGTTAAGCGCTGTTGTCACGTTGTGATTAAACTCCCCAATATTAATACTCGTATTTTGAAAACTTTTAATCTTACGCCCCTGTAATTTACAACTTTTTTGTTCATTTATGATTACTCTATCTCATGCTGAAGTAATGGCAGTCAAACTTCTTACACCCTATACAAGAAAACAAACTTGATTCGTGAAAATTTAAAATGCGTAAACAATTTTATATCAAAAATCATTGCAATTAGGTGAACTACTGATACTTCATTCTACGACCATTGAGAATAAATTTAAAGGTAAAATTTCCAGTTAATACACAAATTTGTAAAAATTACCCCACTTTACGCTTACGGCTGTTTATACTCTTACGTAGAAGACTGTTAACCAGATTTATGTGAATAAAATCGGATGCAATGATAAACACAACCACTGGAACCTTAGGCGCATTTCCTGTTTTTTTTTTAAACAGTTAGATTAAAAAAAAGATAATTACTATGTTTTGTATTGGGTGATGGCAAATCCTAAAAATTGTACGCTTAGTTATTGTACTTACGGCATCTATCTCATTCAGTGCCTTCCATCTCTCCTGGGGTACGTGGAGCCCTGCAACCGTCTGGATAGTCCTCTTGAGCCAAGAGGTCCAAATTCTGAGACCCTCGATCTTCTGTTCTTGGATGTAAGCTGCTAGTGCGTTCGCATAATGCCTACCCCTGTCGCTCAAATTTGAGTCACCGCCTATGCGACACTCCAGATTTTGCTCACTTTCACCATGCTGTAAAAATTATTTCCATGAATTCACACCCCAAACTTTACAAGAAAAATCTACCACTCACTCTAGTTAGATAAATTGTTCGGGGTGTAATGTGGATATTCATCAAATAGTAAACGATTCTGGCTTGGACGTGTCCTTCGTGTTTGTGGACCACAACTTTTTCTCCTGTATTGTATATCTTCATGAAAGAAACGTCTTTCTCCAGTTGTTCGTCCAGGGGGTTGTATCTCTCTTGGTAATGTTGGATCCTTTGCAGGAAGTCGGTAAGGGCGGCATCTTTGTTCATGTTCATATAATCGGGACTGCTCACTTTAACCTCCATTATGTTTTGCTCGATTATAGCGGGATCGTCACAGACCTACCGAGAACGCCGTTATTATTGTCATTATTCTCTTTCCTATACCAGAGTCCCAAAATAGTAGGCAGTAAGTCTTATAAATAAATCAAAAGACAATTTTTACATGTTTGTACTGATAATAACTTCAGCTTATGCACAAGAACTAGGAACGTTCTATTGTTACAAGCGTCCATTTCTATTTTTGCATACTGTGTACAAAAAAAATGATTAAGTGATGCATAACTTAATTTCTCAATTTATCAGTTTCCAACTTAGGTGTTTTCTTTCATGTCATATGCGTGTTAGTGCCTAAGAAAGCAAATGATGTGGCAGGCAAATTTAAACTAACAGTGACGTTAACTATGCCATTTGTAGAAAGATTCATGGAATTTATTTCTAAAAGGAACTGCTAACATTAAAAAAAAATTCAAACTGTAATCGCAGAAGATAGAGATTTGTCTAGGTCTAGGTTGTCAAGAAGAGTTTTACTGTATACTAAGTACTAAGCATGAAATGAACTTTTTTTACTTATAACGAAATGATAAGAATATATGTATTTATTATCTCAATGAAACGTGGATGAATGATGTTTGGAAACATCCAAATATCAACAGCTGTATAAAAACCCCGAAAAGAACTTCTGCAGGTGATTAATCAGGTAATTGCGAAAACATGGAATAAGTGCATTATGCACATACAACAATGAAAGAGGAACCTGGATACAAGAGTTGAAGTTATAATAGAATAAAAGAACCACTTATACCTTTAAGCGACAGCAGTGATAGCACTAATAACAGTGATAGTGATAGCAATAATAGTAATTAGTGCTTTTAACGGTAGTTTTTAGCGTCTTATCAGTGGTATGCGCCTTAGCCCATGTCACGAATCTACATGTTGAGAATATTTACAATTTTAGGACTCTAGTATTGTAATTTAATGAAAGTAGATATTTTTTTTTACTTACCGACTCAACGAAGAACAGCTTGAATCCCATTTTGTTGACTACGAAGTTCTGGATAACCCTCCGTCGATCCAATGTGGAATTGGTGGCATCAAACACAGCCACTTCACCGCCATTCTCTAGCCACTGACAGACGTCATGCAATGCCTCGATAGCACACTGAGCACGGATAGCCATTGCTTCAGTGTTGTCCGGCTTGAAGAATTCATGATTCTTGTAAGCCGAGGTAGCATGGCGCCTGTACTCGCCTAGATTGAACACTGGAATAGAAGAAATAAGCAATAAGAGATTAGAATGGCATTTGGACAAACAGGCCTTACGATATTTCAAGCTGTATTTTGACACATTCAGCCTGAGGAAAAGTCCTTACACATACATCTACAGCAGACAGGCATACAACGTGTTTCACTTTAAATGAACACAGAGCCATAACCTCCTTCACAAGAGACAAAGGGAAATTTTTTTTGATTATTTTTTAAAGAGTTTGTGCATTAATTGGCATTATATGTAGAAGGTAGTTTTGATTAAATCGTGATGTTACGAGAACTAAAAAATAAAATGGCAGATAAGAATAATAATGTGAACGAAAGCAATAAATAATTTGTTTCACAATTGCATAACTTCTACCAGCATGTCGGTTTATTTTAAAAATGGCAAAACTATTTTCTGATTAAAGGTAAAAGGGAATAATAAAATATATAAAATATGTTTTAGATCGAAAGTTAATTTTCAATTCAAAATTTCATAATTCTTTATCAATTCGATTAGGTACTTTTTGTACTGTTGCTCTAGAAAGTGTTTTTTATCACTTTTTAGCTCAGGAACAGCGTCATTGCTAATCTAGATCGGAAAGGAAGGAAGAGCTTGGTAAAGTGACATAACAGTTCAGTAAAAGTAACTTTACTAATTTCTTATGTCAGAACTTACATTAAAAAGAAAGTAAATTTATATTTTTAAAAATTTCTAAGTTGTTATTGTCAAATTATTGGCAGCAGCACAAGAAACACGCTACACTCAGAAAGTGTATTAATAGGACTCTCATGCTTTTCATTCAAAATCTGCATCTTCGCCCTGTAAAGCAAGTTTTTGATCTTGACAGAAGAAACATCGAAAAATAAATATTCAGTTTTATAAGCAATGAATCCACAAAAAAAGATGAAATTTTGAATCAAAGTCATTTTTTATTAGAAACATTCCCAGCAGCACACATATATTGGATATTTTTTCCACATATTGGCCAAATATTGTAAACGGCAGATTATTGACATAATACTGGTTGACAATATAAAGCCAATATGGGTTCGACATTAATCTGCTGGTTGTATATTGGATCTTTATAGGAATTATATTGACTGCAAGGAGACCGCCTAGCCGGGTGTCTTGGCCGGTGGATTTCGATCTGCCGAGGTAAGCATCACGGACGCAGGCTGGAATTTGGATGGGTGACCTAAGGCAAGCTCGGGGACGTGGCTGTGGCAGCCTCCCAGAGACCTGGGTCGCGCAACATTTTTCGCATGCGTGTGGTCCCCGATAAATGGTAATGAGAACAGAGCAAAGAAAATCTTTGTAACTCAAGACCATGCTATCATACATAAACTGTACAAGAACTTGCCAACAAACCAACCCGTGTAGTAAATAGGATGGTTTGAAGAAAAGTACTTGAGTTTTGAAGGAGGGTGTACAAGGGGCCTAATAAGGCCTCGGTGGAAAATCAATTCCACCACCCTCCGACATACAAACATACACATACATATATTGACATCTGTATTGTACCAATATTGGCTAAATCTTCCAAATATTGGGCCTAGATTCAATATGTCATCTATATGAAGCCAATACTGGACCCATATCTTGTGCTACTGGGGATGTTATGCAAAATTTTCTCTTAAATTTAGTATTTTATAATCTTTATCCTACATTTAATCAGAAAATAGTTTGCCATTTTGAAAATAAGCTTACTATTTTGCTGATATTTTGTAAATGTTATCAATATTCATAATTTTAATATCTTAGACATTATACTACACTATAGTGTCAATTAGGGCATAAAGACGGTCTTGAAACAATAAGCAACCTTTTTTTTTTCTCTATTGTCCTTGTGAAGGAAGTTATGGATCTGTAATTATTTTAAGCTACACCCTGTATATTAAAAAAACAACTTTCAAGTAGAATCGTTTTTCTTTTTGATACTCCAAATATATTTGCTAAATACGTAATATCAAATTAATTTTTATTTGGCAAGTGGACGACTTAAAACAGGATGTGTTATTTTTAACGGTTATTTGGCTGTTACTTTTACACTGATGGGATAATATGCTGTTGAGTGCGCATCATGGTCAAGGGCAGTTTTAATGGCACATATCCTAATGTCCAATAAATTTCCACAAAATTCTACTCACTTTCGTTGGAAAAATTTCCTTTCACTTTTCACATTGTCTGCAGTGTTTCTTTCGAAGGTTTCCCTAGCAAACAATAATACAAGGAAAGATAATGGAAAAGATTTCGGTTGTCGCTTACCCCTAGTGTTGATGCCGATCCAATTCAGGTATCTGGATAGTTTCTTTGAAATATACGTCTTGCCTCTGGCTGGCAGGCCGACCATTGCGATGACATGAGGGCTGTTGACATAGTTTGCTCTTTCACCTATAAAAATATAGACATCCTTTCAGTAAGATTAAATTCAAAATGTCCATTCGTAATACAATTAAAAAAAAAGTTTACAGGCTGGTTTACAAAGAATAAATCTCGCAAATCAATCAAATATTCCTGGTTCGTATTTTGATGCATGGAAACGAACAAATTATATTTTTCAAAACTAAAAATCTTACATTCAACATGTTAAAAAAAAGTTACGACTTATTTTGCCACAATTTATTCTGCCAGTCCTTATCAGTACTACGTAGAACCAGAAATAGATGAACAAAAATCTAAAGACCTTTAACAATAACAAAAAAAGAAGACTAATAAATGTTGCACAAACTTAAGCCGGTTTATTTTAAAAATTATTTTAGTGACTAAAAAAAAAATGTGTATTCTGGGCCTCGATTATCTGTGCTTATCCATTCAAAAGCAGTTGCCAAGCATCAGATACTTCCATACCTTTAAAATCCAAAAACATCTATTCATGATCTATCATCAATCTGATATGACATCGTAGCGTCTCAAAATTCCTAGAGATTTAGATTGATGTAATATGCGGTAATATCAATCTCCCTAAATAGCCAATGACGGAGATATAAGCAATCATTTAATTAACTTAATAAAAAAACTAGTACGTGCTGGTAAAATTGGTTCACAGTTGTTCACAAAGTTTTCAATATTGAATGAAAAATGTCCCTTGGTTTTTAATTAATGTCTGCCCGCAAAGCATAGGCTATATGTTTTGTGTATCTTGCACACGGTACATTTGATTTTTTTTATTTTGCATCAGAGTACAATGCAATCTTGGAATATGTCGAACGAAGTTCTGGTTTGAATAAATTATTTGAAAATTATGTTAGTTGTGAAATTGAAAAAACATATACATATTAGTTTTTTAAACCTGGCCACTCTGTATCTCAAAGAAGTACATTTTTTGAAAATGTTCATATGAAATATGCTATTTATTTTTGAAAATACTATCACAGTAGCAGAGATACCAGAACTCGCTCCCACTGAAAATCGCCTCTAGATATTTTAGCAAAAAACAAACCATTTTCGATACAATACTTTTTTAATTTTCTTTAATGTAACCAAAATTCCACAAAACGTAAAATAATTCTAAAAAAAATTAAGTAATTGGAATTTTTTGCTAGAAAAAATCAGTAGTGTAGAAATTTTACATTTTGTTAGAGGTAGCAGAGGATACAGCCCCAAAAAAAAATTATGCTTATTATTTTCACGAATACGTTGTGCATATTTAAAAATTTTAAAATTGAATTAAAAAATAATATACAACCTATATTTGATTTTTTTCGCAAAATGAATTGCTTGGTAATATCAATGAAAGCTAAAAAAAGTAGGTAATAAATCAAATTTAGTTCGTTTTTCACATAAAACCTTTTATCTTAGAAGAAAAGTTAGAATTAACGACATAAATATTCAGTGGCTTCGAATTTCTGGGTTTTTAGTACAATTAACTTCCTGTATCTCCGCCTCTGGTACACGTAATTATATCCAAATTCAGTGGATTTTTACCTTTAATTAGATAAATTATTAATCTGAGTTTTATCATTCTATAGTTTTTCCGAAGTCAATTGAAGAACCAATAACTTCAAGGTATGTACCAGGCTCGGTCGCTACGCAGCAACTCATCATTGAAATATTTGAAAAACTTGTTCCCATATTTATTTAGCCATACCGATAAACAGGTCTGGTCGAACTAAACGTGGAGATGATAGAAATGTATATGCTCAGTTCAAGAATGCGAGCGCGGGTAAAAGAAAACGATTACAGTTGTATTGGGCTACTGGGCAATAAATCACAGCAGACGACAAGCGGTTCATAAATTGCCTAGCAGTGCAGTGCAGCTATGCGGAATTTGGTGTGAATCAGGTAATTTTAATTTATTATAGGCATTTATATAATAAAATTGTTTGAGAACATAAATATTTAAAATATGATGTTGTTGGCCCAAATGAACATATAATAGAAATCTTTTACACATTATATACAAATTATTATAATTTTTTACCTTTAGCAGACGTTTTTTTGCATATTCAACTGACTTCGGAAGAACTTATACATCAAACGTATTTTTTTTTTTAATTTCATCATCTGACAACTCAAAAACTATCGATTTTCGATGTTGGTTAAGAATCACTCAAGGAAACACCCCTTAAAGTTTGACGTACTTAACACCGTGCATAATGTGTAATTAAATAACTCGTTTTTAGTAAAGGGAGCTTAATAATAATTACAATCAATAATTATAATATAATCTATCTTATGAAATCAAAGCAAAGGATGATTCGTTCTGGTGGTTAGTATAGGTTTGAAAATATTAAAAAAAAAATTGAAACTACATACTACTAATTCTATATACTCGAAGAAAACTATATATTTCGCGGATTAAATAATGTACAGTAAATTTATATTTTGTACAAGTTTAGTGTTTAGAATAGGTAAATACATTTTAGATAATAATTAAAGGAAGTATTAGATTAGGTACTTTGTTCTGTCAAATAAAAATACACTTAATCATGTTTCGATTAAATTTTTCAAAATTTCTCACCTATAAACATTTTGGGCAAAGGCGCAGTCTGCCAAGCGAGATGAGATTTTTGTGAAAGGTCGATGGATATCATAATTTTGCTCAAAGTTTATTTTGAGAAACAACACAAATGTCAACTCAATACTCGATGTCAATTGAATTGGAACTGAAATTCCATCTAAAATTACGTAGTAAATCGTTTAAATATATTGCTTCGCCATTGGCGTAGTTAGGGGAATCAACGGAAAATTGTAACTACCTATTTTTCTTGTAAAAGTGCATTATCATTAGAAAAGATACCTCCGTTGCGCTTGTTTTTTTTAATCAATGATTATAATAAGCTATAGTATATTCAAGGGTTTGAATTAAAAAATGAAAACAATCCTCAAGAAATACAAAAAAAAAGAAGTACAAAACCTAATAATCTAGAAATAGCTCTAGTATAGTGAACCCCATAAAATTGCATTAGTCAAAATATTGATAAATTACCATTTCAGTAAAAAAAGAAAATTCAACCAATAAAAGACATGAAAACTGGTTTGACAGAGGTGTACATGCAATTTTACCTTAAAAATGTACGCCTATGATTTTTGCTGAAGTACAAGGTCAAGTTTAGATTTTTATATTTTTAAACAATAGGAACTATCTATTTATACAGCAGTCCACCTACCTAACATTATTTTCATCAAAGTTCCCAAAAATAATTGAATTGAACGAGCAGTTACCGAAATAGATTAAAAATAAACACATTACCACAAAAATATTTTAGAGAATCGTACCGAAAATATGTTGAATATCTAAGTAAAAGCAAAATAATGGAAATAGAGGTAATATTATATCAGAAATATTATCGCTAAGACTAAAAATATCACTTGTTATCGGACTTTTGAAACATTTATTTGTCATAAATAAATACAAGCTAATCGCTTTAAAAACAAACTATACGATAACCATCGCCATGAAATAGTAGCAAAAAAACTGTATTTAAATCGATGCCATTTTTTTATTCTTTTTCATTTTCATCAATTATTCAAATCGATGCATTTTATTACACCTAAAACGAATTTAAAGTCGCTTGACCTCGAACAATGCACCGAGTGATCCACTGATTAAAATAGGATAAGGACGATTCAGTCTTAATCCAAAAAAAAAAACTATTAGTTTATTTTTACCTATATGAATGGATGTAACCCTCGAAAACTGCGGTTTTATCTTTTTAACACTATCGTTCCGCATGCTCTGGCTGTATCAAAACGCGAACTGAACGAGACGAAGTTATAGGATGAACGAAAATAATTCAATTCATTACGCAGGCATAATATTTTAAATAAACACTTCACACTTCACTTTATCCCCCGCCTAGTTGTGTCAACGTATGAGGAAAAATTCAAATATGTGAGGGCGAAGCAACTATAGATTTTCAATAATGCGTGTTACCGAAGTGATCACAGCAGCACGTAAAGATATGTAAACTGGAAAAGCTAAGGTTAGGTATTTATTTATTTATAGATACGGACTATCACCAACATTCGGTAAGGAATATGATTAACCTTGCTGGACAGAAAGTAGGTAGGTATTTTTTCCCGGAAAAAATATTTTGGTTCAGGTACATAAGTGAGTCACGATTACAGTAAATTATGAAATTTAGAGTAATCGTTGGCGACTTTAAAATTGATTTTAACATACGCCTCTGTCCTAAATTATCTGGTAATGAAAGTCCAATTAAACTTTGGAACTTGTATAGTTGATTATTATTAGTATCCCATATTTATGAATAGAGCCAGTTTGAAAACTTGGTTTTTATAAGAAATGAATAAATTGGTCTGAAAGAGCAGTTATTTTACCTTTAGAATGAATATTATACAAGTACAGCTTAGAATATCTATTATACACCGTAGCGCATCCCGTTGTATATGCAATACAGATGACGACTCAGAGTAACATTGGTTGCATATTCACGCTGTTTAATATTTAAAATGATAAGTGTTACGAAATACCTGCAACATGATAAAATATGAACGAGAACGGACAAATTATTTATAACAGAATTATAAGAACATAGTAATTAGAGCAATGAACAAAAATTAACTTAAAAGTGATTTGTTTCTAACTAATACTGAATCATTAACATAGAAATTACAAAAGTCTAAATAAACATACCTACTTTGACTCGATAAATTAGGGATAATATAAATTATTTCATTTATTGGTATTTACCCCGTCAAATAATTATTTTAATGGTTAATCAGCTATGAATTTTAAAAGTATTACTACCACCTTTTTTTAATTGCATTTCACGTAAATACAGTGTACACAAGTCAAATGTTACCTTCTTAAAATAAGAAATTTCCTTGAATGTGGGTCAGGAAATATCTGGTTTCCGAGATACGGATGTTCAAACGCTTAAAGGTTAATTAAAATAGGTATTTTATATAGGTAGTTAATGGTTTAGTTTAGACTAAAGAGTCAATGCTACATACTTAGTTTGATAAATGATATAAAAGGATATACCTAAATTTAAATAAAGTAAAAACTTAACATTAGCCGTGTTATTCCTAATGCGCATGCTCGGAAAGAATAGCCTCATGGGCAGGTGCGACCTCGATGATATGTCATCACTGTCATCACTCGCTTATTTTCCCTTCTTTTGTTTAATCTTGGCATTTTCTAGTTCTATTAAGTATTTTTATTGTTTTTTTTTGGTGTTGTGCTCTGTCACTTTTTTTTTAATGATATCCTGTTGCGAGGCTACTTGACAAAACGTCATACCCAGAAAGATGTCTTATAAAAGATAAGTGAAATTTCTGTTTATCTTTAAGCATTTTTATTCAAAAAATCATTTTGAACATTTTCAATTTGAACTCGAAAATTGAGCATTTCTTGAACCATTCTTATGCGATTTTTTTTCTTGTTTTGAGGAGAATTCTGTCATCAGGTAAAGTTTTGCTTATGCTATTCGGGACACCCTATACATATATTTAATATTCAAGGAAAAAGTCATGGCCATGTCGAAAGTCACGATAAATATAAAAATGCCATAAACATTTGAATGTTTTTTTATTTGTTGAAAGAAAAGGAAAAAGTGATAACACACAACACTGAAATGGTTTGAAAAAACTTGTTAAAATATAATTTTTAGATTTCATAACGTATTCTATCTGTCTATTAATTTGTATTCAAATAATTATAATTACATAAAATAGATGGCAAAAATACCTGACCTATCTTTTTGGCAATTAAGTGAATTAAATGTTCATTATCCATTACACATTAAAGTGATGTTACTCCCCGATATCAGATACCTATGTGATAGCCATGTTTTAGCGGTAACGTAAAGTATTTATGCAAAATTTATTAGTCACGACCCATTCACGTGAATTTTACATGATACTATTTTATAAAGTCAAATTAAACGTATTATTTTCCATCGTTGGTTTTTATCGGACACAACTCGGGTCAAGATATAATTTACAGCTTTTGTGTAAGTGCAAAAATAACAACTTGTCTTCCAGCAATGGAAATATTGGTTTTGTTGGCATCTAATTAGTGTTATCTCGTTTCATATTTATATTTGTTGTAATTTTTTCGCTAGATAAACAAATCGCGACCGATGAAACTTTATACATGTCGATAACGTATCTACGGACGTCATTTCCATACCAATGTAATTATATGTATATCTCTGGGGTAGGTTAACATCAATAAAATGCCAAAAATAGCATATTCATAAGTAGCAAACTCATTTAAATTGATATTTTGCAACATGCTCAAGTTAAGAGCTAATGGTAGGTGTGAATTACTGATAAAATAATGGATTGGAAACTTGTGGCAACTGACTTAGCTCGGAAACACAAGCGTAGACGGAAAAGAACGGCACTATCGACAGACAAACTAGTAATTGGCTTTGCAAAATAAATGAGGAATGTTTTGAAAACAAACGCATAAACGCAGTCTCCTTGACACGTGGAAAGTGTATATTACAGATAAGACGCCAAAGAAATAAAATTATTTAAAGTCCAGCTTTGATTTCTGCGTGCATATGTAACTTTGTCATGCTCGAACGGTTTTAATATGAGTCAATTTAGAAGCAACTCGAGGCGAACATTGATAACAACAAAATAATTTTTATAATGTTTTTATGCTACTAGATTATGCGCAACCGATTCAATCAGGAATATGAACATTAATTTTTTATCCTCTAATTTATCGCATCAAAAATTTTCCTATATATCCACACAGCACTTAATATACCGAGCCTTTGATATTCTTTTATCTTTTAAGGAACCAGAAAAATGCCGATTCAAAAATAAATAAATAAATAAATCTAGTGTAAATTACAAAAGGTAAACATTAAAAATATTTTTCTGTCGTTACAACATTCGCCAATTTGCAATTCACGGTTTACAAATAAAAAAATAATAGTTTTTTCAAAATATCTCGTAAATTCCAACAGTATGAGAGGGTCAGTGCTCACGACTAACTTAATAACAGAATAATCTGAAATTTTCCCCATTTAAGCGTTTTTCTATCACTCATAGTTTTCGAGACGTATCACCAAAGCCAGCCGATATTCTAACTTGGAAGAATTAAGATCATAACGTTGTTCCCAGAGCAATGCAAAATAGTTTCCAAACAGTTAGACGCATGCGCATTTCGATATAATACTTACATAAGGTTCAAAATTCATTGTTTCGAACTAATCGCGATTGCGTATGAGTGTTGGCAACTATTTCTAATGCACCAGGACCAAAATACTTCTTATCATTGGATTGATAACTTGTTAATACAGCTAAAAAAATTTTATAAGACTCACGACGAAAAAAATTTATGTTCGGCCAGATTGGGAAAATTTACTGCCTATCTGCATTATCCCATTTAAAAGAATAAACTGGCAAATTCATCTTTGACCCACTGTGTATAAAATAAAATGTACTTACTTTAACTCGATTAAGCTATAAATTCACTGGGTTTTATCACATACGTGTAGGAAAATTTAGCAAGCTAAAACCTTCGGAACTTAAAAAAAAAGGTTGACGTTTATTTACCGTAGCATTTAGATGATACGTACACTGCTGTAGGATAAAGTGATAGTATATTAGACTTCACAATAACGAAATATCAAAGTAACATTATCACATATGTACAACAGTATGAAATTAACGAAATAAATTACCTATCCGTATGGAGCGTATTCTGCGTTTCCTGTACTCCCGCGCCTGCACCTCGTCGACGTGCTGCATTTATCTTTTGGGAAATACACTTCCCCTAAATAATAATCGTGGATCGACCCAAAAACGGTTATGTAATAAGGTAAGTTCTTGCAGCAGCGATTTGCGAGTTGTGATTAACGATTTTACGATTTATGCGACAAAAATTTAACGTTCGTTCATGCACATACGCGAAAACTAGTTTTAAATTTCTTGTGTTACTTGCCTTGCCATGCCACAGGCCACAGAGTAAACAAAATTAAACAACATAACAAGCTCACAAAATATTTTTGTGATTAATGATTACATACGCAGGACATTAGACAAGACCAAGACGTTCATGAACATTCTGCAACGATGAATGTGGTAAATAACAGTGACTATCATTATGTTATTTAATGTTGTTTATAAAAACATATAGGTTTTGTGCTGTATTTGTATTGAAAAATACGATTTCTTCGTTTAATAAAAACGAGTTTTTATTATTTAATTAATGCCTTTACAGAAAAATTACTTTACATAAAAATAATGACAAGACAGATGGATCATAAAAAAACAACTCAATCTTTTATTTACGTTTCTAACGTTCTTTTTACTATTTTATATCTATGTGCACTAGGTTCCCGTTCCAATTCTCAACAATTGTCAATAGCGTAGAAAGTTGTTAATCGCTTGGTATTTTAAGGAAAACAAAAAGCAGTTAGAAAATATCTTGTGCCGTGAGAGCATTATTTTAAAAAAGAAAGATCAGAGGCCTATTTTTTGAAAGTACTTTTCAACTTATTTTCACTTTTCATTTTATAAATGTAGAAAAGCGAAGAATGTAAGAAAAAATGTATTTTACAATTTGTATATTTATTTTGAAAACAGAAAATAGCCAAAAAAGTGAAAAGGAGAAAAATGTTGAAATGTACTTGCAAAAAACAGGCCCCAGGGCGCTTATCATAATTTGGTAATGGAAATGAGATTACATTATACTAATAAGTATTTTAATCACTTACTTGTGAACGGAATTGGACGGAATGCACATGCGCAGTTTGTCAAAATTATTGCGATTCTCGCAATATATTGAAATGAAGAAATGGATGTCAAAAATATTTTATTTCAACCAATCAAACTGAAATCCGCAAATCGTGAATCGCAAATCGCTGCATGAACTTACCTATAGGTGTTCGGATATCGACTAATTTTAATTTTGTTCACTGAAATCACCTGGCTTCGGCCTTAACTGATAAGCAAGTCAAACATGAACAAATAACAACTACGAGATGCAAATATAAATCATGTGAGAGCAGCAAGTGTGCTAGAAATCGGAACGGGTTTCCGATTTTTCCAGCCTCCAACGATTTGTCGATTAGATTGTTTCAGATCGTCACATCTGAGCTGGGCTGATTGATCAGAAGAATAGTTGAGGGGGAATTTGGATTTCGATAGTTTTATTACCCATTAATTATAAATGTTTTTAGTTTCTCCACTAAACAAACAAAACGTAAGGGTAACAGTAGTTAATAATTAACCTCGAACATGTAGTCATTTTACTCATTTCAACGACTTCCTCGTTAGGTGGCGCTAGCGACACTATGTGTTTAGCCGGGAAGCTGGGTCCACATAGAAGCGGACAGTGGGGACAGTGTCGCTAACTATATTCGTATGTTTACGAATGTTAGTAAAGCTTGAATTTGATATGCAATTTAGAATTAATATTTCAAACCCATTTAAATTGGGACTGTTTTACATTGACAATTTATTCATGAATAAATTGACAAAGTTCTTCATGAATTAATTCACAAATTTATTGGTAAACAGTGTGGTTTTGCACTGCTACAGACTTTGTCAAGTTTTTTGACGTATGAATCAGTTCTACCAATGAATCAAAGAGGCAAATAAATTTCAAAATGTCACCTTTCCACTCATAATTTTAGTGATACAACAGCGGTACCGTTCTGACACATATTATATAAATATTAGTTTTGTAAGAAACAAATCAGTAAAAACAATGCAAAACTACTACGACGCCACACAATTATTTACATATTCCAATAACATAACCTCATTACCGATCTGAGGCTGGAAATCTGTTGGGTTGGTACTTCCGAACTTCACGAAGAAATTGACGAAAATTAGAACATGCTCTAATTCGTCAAGAACTTGATGCATAAATTGATGAAGTTATTTGACAGCAGATTTGGTGCATTACACTTGTCCAATTTCTTGATGAAGCGACTTCATGAATGAATTGATCAATAAATTGTCAATGTAAAACAGCTATTAACTAAATTATTTTTTTTTTGTCATTGAAATCCCATTCTTTTTAAAATTTGTATCCAGACGAATATCTTTGGTCCAATCAAATTTATAAGATGTTAAAGTTTGTTAGACATTCTTGTAAAATGTTTAAAATCGCTGTAGGCTTCTATTCTCAAATGTGATCATAGAGATCTGGTGCATTTTTAATGAAGTTCTATTCCACCATCATGTATATAGGATTGTTTGCTTTGCTTTTTGAAAAAATACCGTTACTGCGGTAGTATTCGAAATGAGATAACATTTGGGTATTTTTTCAGAACTATTCATCAAACCTTAGACTTTTTCAAATGCATATTAGTTTACTTGTGTGTAAAATCCACTACGTGATTGTTTTGAAAAGATAGAAATGCTAAATGTCTAAACTTTTTAGTTTTTTTATTTTTTGCTTTGCTATAGCTTATAATTGTCATGTATTACTTTTCTCATTTTCTCATGGTTATTCATTTTAATGCGAACGCCTCATGTTAGCTATAGTCTGTTTAGAAATGAAGGAGAGTAATAAAAGCTTATTATTATGTATGCAAATCGTAAATAAATGGTGCTTATATTCAATATTTTTATATTATGTATTATTGGTATAGGATGAGGTGTACTTTTAAAAAAACTGTGCGATCGGACTGTACTAAATTGTAGCAGGTAGCTAAAATTTAATCCCCGACAATCCGTCTTTGTCTATGCCGCTTCAATTTCTCGGTCCATTTCTCTTATAAGTAAACAATATAAAAACAGCTTTTCAAAACATGAGGCTACTTTAAGCATCATAACCGGGTTAAGAGGGTTTTTAGTAATTCAAATAAAATTATTCAATATTATTATCAAAATATTTATTTAAATTTAATGAATAGACTTTTATTCCACACAAAAATATATGTATTTTGAAAATTCAAATTATGGTGAGTAAATGTAGTGTTGTATAAATGTACAATAAAGAAAATAAAAAAGTAGGTATATTAAAATTCATCCTCTGAATATTCTGATGAATTATCTTCGTCTCCTAGATTGATAACGATAGGTTCCACAGTAACGTCAATT